ATATTAAAAATATTTTAAAATGGTGAGTTTTTCGGAAAAACTCTTAAACACGTATATTTTATTTTGTTGTTTTACATATTTTAAGATTTTTTATAAATTTATACAGGGTGTTTCATAAAATATGACCGTTGAGTAATCACGAATCTGCTTAAACTGCTTGACGTTTAAAGCTGATTTTTGGTAAACGGATTGATTGTGGGGTGTAGAGGTTCGATAAGGAGGGGTTTCTCGAATCTCAAATTCCAAGAGGGTGAAAATGCCCCTCAAATATTACAATATTTGTTATTTAAAAAACGGTTAGTCTTTCGGGAAAACTCTGTTGGTTTTTTACATATTTTGATCTTTTTTTAAAAATCATACAGAGTGTTCCAAAAAGTTGGCTAATTGATTAACCACGATTCTGCTTAAACTGCTTGACGCAAAAAAGCTTATTTTTGGCAAACGGATTTTTCGAGAGTTAAATTCCAACGAGATGAAACTACCCCTCAAATATTACCAAGTTATATAATAATATCGCCATATTGTTTTTTCTCATGCTGACATAAATGTGAGAAAATTTTATCCAGTTTGTGTGTTAATGGAAATGCTTGCTTTGCTTTATCATCACCATTAAAAATGATTAATTCGACGCGATCGAAGTCGCGTGTACACGCTAGTGACCTTATATAATTTTCCACATAAAATGACAGCGATCTTTATTATATTGTATTGCAATAATTGTTGATCACCCTGTAATATATCATCTTCTTGAAATCATATATTTTATGCTCTTGCTAGACGAAGTAGATTTAAATTTAGAAATAAAGTTGTCTCAGTGGGGTAAAGAAACATTACCTAAACCTTAGATATTTCAAATGTCTATAAATACCCAAAAGTTTACAGTCGCAGCGGGATGTGCATAAATCTAAAATAAGCCTTTTTATAAAATTAGAAACTAGATCAACCGCATTATACAGGGTTACAGTTTAAAAAGAAGCTCTAGGAAATACTTTTTAAAAATTCTATCAGGGAGATCTCAACTCAAATACATGGTCGTGGTGAGTCATGCCTGGTGGTAGTTGAGCTGTTTATTGAGAACCGGCGATATGTTTTATTTTTGGAAAATTATGGTTAATTTTTATTACATTTTATAGGATAGTGTTTTCATTTTTCATAATTTTTCTACTATACTATCCTATATCTATGACCCAGAAAAATTAAAGATTTTCCTTGATTTAAGTAAGAACAATCTTCGGATTGTAACGAGGTTTTTAACAGGACACTGCCTCCTCAATTAACACCTCAGTAAGATTGATTAGGTTCGAAGCAAATGCAGATTTTGTGAGGAAAGTAGGGAAACACCAGAACACCTCATCAATTGCTGTCCTCCATTCGCGAATTTCAAGTTCCAGAGCTTTACGCCCTGGGCTACTCGAGAACTGTTCTGAAAGGAGCTATGCGCGATAGTCTGGTGCCTCCATATGACGCGGAACAGTTCTGAACTTTATGACTCAATTGAATGGAGTGACAGTATCGCGTTCTTGAACAGTTCAAGACCTGCAAAACTGTTAGTTATAACTCAGGGAAGGAGGACACAATAGAAAATCACTGCTTTCATACATTCTACAAATCTAGTTTGATTTTAAACTATCGCCCTGTATAATTTTAAGGAGCTTCTTAAAATGTCACTGTCGCTGATAAATTTACGGAAGCACACACTGACACAATCTAACTTATGGCTTCTTATTTTCGGGCGTCCTTTTATTTTTAACCAGTCGGTATATATTTAAAAAGAAGAAAATTTCTCTGAAAGTTCCTTGCCCCATCGGAAGCCGGCTCTGTAAATATCTACTGTTCTATTAACTATTGAGCGTTTTTAAGTCGACGGCGACGTCGTGTTTACTAGAAAAATGTAAACATAGGTTTTCAGTGTTTGAGTGTTCTTGGGGCTAAGGCCGGGGACAAACCGCACGAAGTTGGAAAAATACACTCCAAAAAATTACTTACCATAGGAAAATCAATCGAGTTGGCGTGCGCGTTGTCAAAATATCTGACGAATGCACGTCGCATTGTTGCCACGGCTACTTTTCTTTTTTTTTAATTTTATTTTTGAAAAGTGTCAAATAAAATACGTAATTTTGTCACATTGTCACCGATTTTCCACTCCAATTTTAGACACAATGTATACCGGGTGCGTCTCAAAAGTGGCTCACCCCTACAATTTTTTTATTTTTTCAGATTTAAAAACGATATTAATATTAACGTAAGTTATTATATGACATAAATTAGGATTGATTGACGTATTCAATTATTTTTGGTCACTTTCTGTTTTACAATATATAAAATGACTACATTTTATTTGATTTTCAAATGACACCTGCGGTATTTTTTTACTTTATTCAATAGAAAATGACACTCTGAATAGAATGACATATCATATGTCAACTTTTCAACAATATTTTGGCACATGGTTAATTTGAAATTGTAACATGCGGTTATAACAACAATTTGACTCGAAATACCAAGTATGTGGTATCATATTATTCCTAAAAAAATGCTTTTTTCAAATATGCTAATGAGCTACCCTTGTTCCATTTGAAAAAATTCAGATATGATTAAAAATACGATTTGGGAATCTTTTAACCAGCCAGGACAAGATGCAAAAAACATTAGATGAACAAATATATATTTTCCAAGGCTCCTTGATTGATTTTTAAATCCAGTTTGTTAAGTGATTATGTCAAAATTTGACATATGATATGTCATTCTATTCAAAGTGTCATTTACTTTCGAATAAAATAGAAATATACCAAGGGTGCCATTTAAAAATCAAAAGTTATAGTCATTTCCGGTGAAACAGGAAGTATCATACCTACGAAATATATTTTTTTTATCGGGGTGAGCCACTTTCGAGATGCACGCGGTATATAATTCTTAATGAAACTATTACTAAAATACGATTTGGGCGTCATTTAGTCAGCCAGGAAGACACGAAAACTATTAGACGATAAAATCTATTTTTACAAGACTCCTTGATTAAAAATTAAAAATTAGTGTTTTTAACACAAATAATTTAATACAATTTCTTTTTAAGCGATAATGTCAAAAGTTAACATATGGTATGTCATTCTATTCAGAGTGTCATTTTCTATGGAATAAAGTAAAAACATACCAAGAATTTAGAATTTAGAATGAGTGAGAGGGGGGTTAATCACTGCGACCTTACAGATCCATTGTGTCCCCCTTTCTTGAGTCATAACTCATCATACAGTCCCAGGGCTTTGACAAAAGCCAGTATCTGGGACGGTTTTATAGAGGGTAGTTCTCCATCTCCAATATCAGTCGTACCAAAATTCATGGCACGAATGGTTGTCGTCTCGGCGCACTCAGTGATGAGGTGTACTGGTGTTTCCCCATCTTCCCCACAGAATCTGCATTCGCCGTTTCTTCTTAGTTTCAATCTACTGAGGTGTTCATTGAGGAGAGAGTGTCCTGTTAAAAACCCCGTGACAATCCGAAGATTGTTCTTACTCAGACCCAGGAAGATCTGTAATTTTTCTTGATCATAAGCCCTCAGAAACTTCTTCGAGTGTCTTAGACCATTGCAAGATTTCCATTCCAGGTTGCGGATGGAATCTTCCAAGTTCTTGAGTTCCGCCTTGAGTTGGTTACCACTTGGAAAGCAGAACGGTTCTGGTCCAGTTAGTGGAGTGTTAGCTCCTTTCCTAGCTAGATTATTTGCTTTTTCATTGCCTTCTATCCCTTGGTGAGCAGGCACCCAGAGTAGGAGGACTTTGTTTTCTTTGCCTAATTTATTCAGCTTCTCTATGCATTCTTTGACCAATTTCGAATTGATCGATACTGAGTTGATCGCTTTTAACGCTGCTTGACTATCAGACAAGATGGCTGTTTCTTGTTTCCGATAGTTGCTATCTAAGATAAGTTGTACGCATCTTTCGATAGCGTAGATTTCTGCCTGTAGGATACTAGGGTAAGTGCCCATTGGTTCGGAGTATTTAGCTCTCGGTCCAAACACTCCGATCCCTGTTCCCGTATTGGTTTTGGAAGCATCAGTATACCAAGTTATGGTATGGTCTTTTAACTGCTGGGCAAGCGTTTCGCTCTTCAATCCTTTTATTGCTCAATACTACATTGAGATGTTTCTCAAAGTTGTACGTTCTTGGCATATCGTCCACTGGGAGTTGCAGGAGTGGTATTTCCTTTATGAGGGTGTTCCAAGCCCCTGATCTGACAATTCTCCCAGTACTAATTCCGTTAGTGACCATTCTAATCATTGTCGCATTGGCATATCTACCAATGACAATGTGCAGTGGTGTTAGATCTAGAATGACCTCCATTGCTGCTGTTGGACCTAACATACTAAGAAACGGAACGGACTATGGAAAACATACCAAGAGTGCCATTTAAAAATCAAAAGTTGTAGTCATTTCCGGTGAAACAGGAAGTGACCGAAAACAATTGAATACGTTGATCCTGATTTATGCCATGCACTAACGCACTAAATCTCGTTTATTTATCTAAAAAAATAAAAAAGTTATAGGGGTGAGTCACTTTTGAGAAACACCTAGTATATAAATTCATATTTAAACAAAGAAAAAATCTACACGCAATAAAAGATTTAATTAAAAAGAAACTATGTTACACGCAAATATCACAGTTGTTTCATTTCCATCACTAATCACCATAAAATCACCAATCCGTTCAGAACAATTCAAAGCGAATTACCATTACAGATTCAATTTTTACGTTTTCATTATTTGCTTTAGCTCAAAAAGCAAAAAATATATATCTCATGTTACAAAATCCACGTCTTTCTTCAGAAATTCGACGGGAAATGAGTGAAAACAAACAAAATAACAAATTTTCTTCGGGTTGGTTAGTGTTAGTAGTCGAAAATACGGCGCGTCGTGCAAGTGGTCCTTGCCCGACCCTACGCTACACATATCTGTATTATTAGCAAAGGAGGAGCCACACACATGTGATAATAATAGCGTCATTTTTAGCTTTGATCGCGGCGTTGGTCGCGTATACCTAGTTCTAGTGTAGTTAATCGAAAAAACATCGGAAAATGTAGACAAGGTGCGGAGAATTTCGAAAAAATAAACGAACTAACTCAAAATAACCGGGAAATCTCAAAAATCGAAGTTAAAAAAAAAATACTAATTTTTTTTGTGCGCGTGTGTTTAAAGTTATAGAAAAAGGTGATAATAGTAATAATAATTAGTGACGAAGAAGAAAGTAAATAAATCGTAGTACGTTTTTCCGAAATTTTTGGAAAACGTCAGTGGTTTTTGGCAAAGCGAATAGTTTGAGTATCATCAGCGAAAATACGCGCGACTATAAAATTTTTGGACGGAAAATTGTTATTTTACTGAACTGAAAATAAAATACAATAAATTTTAATTATTTTCTTGAGTCTGATATAAAAAGATATTAAAAAAGTTGTAACTGGAAATTTTTGGGTTTTAAAAAATCTATATCAGTGACTGTATGATTAATTTTATGGGTAATTTAGTCAATGTTTATTTTTCTGTGACTAAACATCCTCAAAATATAGTTTTATACAGGGGTTTTGATGTATCTGGGTCATTAAAAATTTTGTAGGGTGTAATTTAGATTGAAATTTGTTTCAAATTTCTACTTCGTTCCGGTTTCACCGGATATGGCTGTAAAATTGCTTTATTTTAAATAGGAACACCCTGTATATTTTATGATTTTTGAATTCTACATAAAAATCTAAACACCATTTTGTGTATAATGTGTATTATATACCTAAGTTTAGTCGATTATGAAATAAACCCATTTATACAGGGAGAGTCTTAAATAAGTGCAAATATTTTCACGGCTGGTAGATCTCGATAAAAGAAACATATTCTCTCTTTACCGTAAATCAAATAATTCCAAAATAACTGAGTTATTTTACTTTGAAAATTTAAGAAAAACGAAAATATTTTTTGGTTAAATTTTGAGAAACCACTGTATAAAAGAAACATATTTTCTCTTTACCGTTTTTTAAATAACTTCAAAACAGCCGAGTTATTTTACTTTTTCAAAACTTTTTTTCAAAAAATACCAAACTTTCAAAATCTTTTTTCGCGAAATAAACCCCTAAACTTATTTACGACTCACCCTGTATGTCATAAATGATTTTTTTTGCACAGTAAAAGATAACTACATATTTTTCAGCATCAATGCATTTGTTGATAAGTTTTTATTGCTTTTATAAATTGTTTTACTGTACTTAAAATTAATATTTTCTTATTAGTCAAATGCCAGTTTCCGTTATTACTTCGTAACTATACAGGGTAAGTCCTAAATAAGTGCAAATATTTTTAGGGGTAGTATATTTCGACCCCAAGGTTTTTACGCGAAAAAAAAAAATTGAAATTTGGAATTTTTTGAAAAAATTTTTGTACTTTTTTTTTTATTTTTAGCTAAAAAATAACATCTTCATAATAGGGCAACATAGGTTTGTAAAGAAAAATCTATTTTTTTTAAATTTTCAAAGTAAAATATCTCGGTTATTTTGGACTAATTTGAAAAACGGTAAAGATAAAATATATTTCTTTTATCAAGATCTACCAGTCCTAAAAATACTTGCACTGATTTAAGATTCACCCTGTATACCCATGAAGTTTTTTTTATCTAACCGGGAGTAGCTACAAACTCCTTTTTTAATTTACTTATTTATTTTAACTTTTTTGTACACCCTGTATACCACGATTAATAAATTATCAGCTGGTTCATAAACAGCGGCATTGAATTGGTAATGAAAAAACCTACATTTTATCTCCACGAAAAATTCTATTGTTTAACATCAAATAAACCTAATCTTTTTTCGTCTTGTCTTTTTCAACATACATAGATATAGGCATATTTACCGACGAGATAATTAGACTACACAGATTTATTTAAATTCTTGGCGCTTTTAAGTTAATCACCGCGACCTTATAGATCTATTGTGTATTCCCCTTTCTTGAGTTATAACGAGTTATAACGAAAAGCCAGTATCTGAGACGGCTCCTCAAAGGCCAGCTCTCCATCCTCGACATCAGACGTACCAAGGTTCATGGCACAAATGGTCGTCGTCTCGGCGCACTCAGTGATAAGGTGTTCTGGTGTTTCCCCATTTTCCCCACAAAATCTGCATTCGCCGTTGTTTCTCAGTTTCAGCCTACTGAGGTGTTCGTTGAGGAGACAGTGTCAGACTGTTAGAAACCCCGTGACAATCCGAAGATTGTTTTTACTTAAATCAAGGAAAACCTTTGATTTTTCTCGGTCGTAAGTTCTGAGGAACTTTTTCGAGTGTCTTAGACCGTTGGAGGACACCCATTTCAAGTTACGGATGGAGTCTTCCAGATTCTTCAGTTCCGCTTTCAGTTGGTTCCCGTTTGGAAAACAGAACGGTTCTGGTCCAGTTAGTGGAGTGTTCGCTCCTTTTCTAGCTAGATCATTTGCTTTTTCATTGCCTTCCATCCCTTGGTGAGCAGGCACCCAGAGTAGGAGGACTTACTTATTTTCTTTGCCTAATTTGTTGAGTTTCTCTAGGCATTCTTTGATCAACTTCGAGTTGATGGTTACTGAGTTGATCGCGTTAAGTGCTGCTTGACTATCGGTTAGGATGGCAATTTCCTGTTTTCGATAGTTCCTATCTAAGATAAATTGTACGCATCTTTCGATAGCGTAAATTTCTGCCTGAAGGATACTGGGGTAGGTGCCCATTGGTTCGGAGTATTTAGTTTTCGGCTCAAATACTCCTATCCCTGTTCCTGCTTTGGTCTTGGAAGCATCAGTATACCACGTGATGGTATGGTCTTTTATATGCTGAGTAAGCATTTCTTTCTTCCAATCTTTTTTATTACTCAATACTACAGTGAGGTGTTTCTCAAAGTTGTAAATTCTTGGTATGTCATCTACTGGGAGTTGGAGAAGTGGAATTTTCTTTTTGACGGTGTTCCAAGCCCCTTGTAACTGACGCTAGCTCGTGTATCACGGCCTTGAATTTTTACTCCCAACGCGTTGCAAATTTGCAAGCTATTGAGGAATTCGGAAATGTACAAATTCCAAAAATAAATTGAAAATAATATGTATATTAAAACATTTTTTTTACGAAATTTTTTAACAACTATTTTTTTTCGTTTTTTTATTTTAAATTTTACCTGTTTTTATCTTTATTGCACGCCGTCACTGGCACCATCTGTTTCCACCGAAACAAGATACGTTTTGACAGAATATCTGACAGCTGCGTCAGCTGTGTGAGTTATCCTTTATTTACAAGAGAACAATGGCGCGTATGCCGTTTTGTGGTACCATATGATCCCTCGCTCAGCTGGTCTTCCCCAGTAGTACCATATGATCGAAGGAGGCTAGATTTTGACAGCTGGAAAATTACGGATTAATAGTTTTTTTACATTGAAAACATTAGAGACTTATCTCATGTAAAATCATTAATTTCTTGAACGCGGTGTTAGATTGTACCATACGATCGAAAAAAAACGGTGTCAAAGACGGCTGGGGAATAACAATCAGTGATAATTTTGGCGAGGTCAAGCCCTAGACGTCCTTTACTTGGCTTAATAAGGTTGTAATTTATTTTTATATTGAGTAAAAATGATTTTTAAATGATGGCTACTGAAATATCAGAAAAAAAGGTTTTTTCAACGCTAAAAGTCACAACCCATAAAAGTTCTCTATTATTAGACCACCCTGTATATCGATTTTGTTGACACGCGGTTTAGTAATTTGTTTATTTATTGTATAATATATAACAGGAAGAGTGGAACAAATTAAACTAGATTGTTTAAACAATAAAAGAAATTTCTAAGGAAGTTAAATACGTACATACGCGCGAAGAAGTCAATGATCTCTAATAGACAAAACATTGTTTCAGTGAACAACTTATGTATATTTTAATTACTTTTTGATTTTCCTTAATTTGGTTTTTAAAAGCTTTAAAAGAAATATCTTGATAATATTTTTTTAATATGTAAATACTATTTACAAAAATTGTTACATTAATGCGAAAAATTGTTCGTTAGAAGGTATCCAATAAACAATAAAATACATTTGAAATTATTAGTAGAAGTTCTACATATTTTTATAAATTTAAAAAGCAAAATGTACCTTTATAATATGGGGTTATCATAGTTCATCGCCAACCATTTTTTAATCATTGTTCATCATTGCATAAAAAACTTTACAACAAAGATATAATATTTTAATTTGAACTATTTTGCGTTGTACACACACCATTGGGATTAGTTCACTTGCAAATTTAAAATGTCAAACAGTTAACAATCAATATAACTTATGTAACACTTTTAATTACTTTTTATCCACCCGCTTTGCAAATTGTTAGTTCTTTCATTCCCTAGGCAACTTTAAATTTATTTTTATTGTACTGCAACTACACGATTACTATGCTATCTTGTTTATATAACGATTTCTGTGTTGGTATTTTATTACATATTTTTTGCACGATCTTTTTGATTAATATTTTTTTTATTCAGTTAACACCATTACTACACCAATCAATTAAATTGTTTGAAAGATATATAGATCCCCTAGATTTTTTTTACGAAATAATTAGATTAGAACTAAATCAGAGAAATACGTAAAGCTAGAGGTATTCGAAAATGTATCACTATTTATGTCATAAGCAAAAGTATATATTTAGGCAGAAGATTATTACAGAAAACATATAAAAAATAAAGGGAACAGTATACCTATAATATCAAATCTACAGGATGTTTCAAAACACGTGTGCCATTTCTCGTGGGGAGATTCCTTGCGTAAAAATAAGACTTTTTTTCCATAGCATCTGTTAAAATTGCAAGCAAGGGTAGATTAAATGATACAGGGAGGATTAAAAACTTTATTTCTTCTCGCACGTTTTTTTATTGCTTCAATTTTTGAAAATTTTTGTATTCCTTTTCAAAAGTTATTCGGGATTTAAATGTAAGTAGTTTGGATATGGCCTTTCAGCCTCAGCCTGAATATCTGTTGATAATTTACTTATTTCGTTTTGAGCCATTTCTGGCTCCAATTCATCAGCAATCGACACGAAAGAGAATTAAAAAATATTGACTCAAAACTGACAACTAAAGAGACAGCTTTATTTATTTGTCAAATTACATAGAAACCAGCGCCAACCCAGCAAAATATTTTTTCTACTCGTAATAAATTCCTTGAAATAATAATTCCTGAATATTTTTTTAAAATTTTTCAAAAATAGGTCTTTTGTAATGTATCTTAAATACAGCATTATATTTTTTTGAATTTGATATACAGGGTGAGTCTCAAATAAGTGCAAATATGTCAACATAATCAGTCTTTTTTTTACTCTATATGGTACTAAAATAAGTGTCTTTGTATTGTTATGAGTACAATGACCACAAAGCGTAAAAAATAACCAATTATTGTTGCAAAAAAATGAAAAAAACCCAACACAATGTATTACCGGTAATTTTATTTAAAAATCAGATTGTAATTGAACGACAATTATTATCAGTAGCCTGTTTGGTACATACGCACATAATATAGGCTTAAAGTACGACCTTCAGGTATATAAATACATTTTACCTGCTATTGGATAGCACTGCTGAATGCAAAATTTCATTTTATATGGTACTAGAACAAATTGCCAATACCAGGGAGCGAAAAAAGTATTTAATTGTTATTTAAATCAGTTTAAATTGCTTCTACACGTGATAGTTAATGCTTTTGTTTAGAATTAATACAAAAATATATTCATATATTGTTTTTAGTACTTTATACATCTTTTCCAATTTAGTGTATTTTAAGCAATTTGTAGCTAAATTCTTTGGCTTCTTAGCAAATAGTAGAAAAATATTTAGTGCTTTTATATACATATACAGGGTGGTCCGAACTGTATTCCGGAAACTTCGGCAGCATATTCTGCAGATAAAAATAAGTAAAAAAGTTCGTATAGATGTACGTCCTAAAATGCTTAGTTTCTGAGATACAGGGTATAGAAGTTTCATTTTTATTTCGATTTTTTCCAAATAATTTCTGAAGCAACGACAATATTTGGATGAAAATGGGTGTCTGGGAGTTTTTTGGCATGAGAAATTTGACTTTGATGTCAATATGACTCCTACTACTAGAGGGCGCCACCTACATATTTTTTAACTGGTTTGACGGGTAATAACTTTTCGTCCGTACCTGTATAAAACTACTGAGTCAAAAAAATTAACATTTACCACGTTTTTTGCGTGAAAAAGGTCTCTTGGTAAAAATCGCTACGAGTAATGGTTTTCGAGTTATTTGGAATCGAAATTATGAATACCTGTCATCATTGACATAAATTAAACATGTTGACCAGAGATGTTGACTAAATAGTTATTAGACTGAAATCATAAATTTGAAATGTTTTTGTGCCAAAAGTTCAACAGAAACTATTTTATATTTTTTGCAGACAAAATTAGGATAAGTTTAAAAAAATAAAAATTTCCCAAATTTATTATTTCAGTGAAATAATTATCTCCTCAACGTGTTTATTGTTCGTCAATAATGACATGTATTGTCTATTTCCATTCTAAATATCTTAAGAACGGTTGCTCGTAGCGATTTTTACAAAGAGATATTTTTTATGTAAAACGTCAAAGAGATGTATTTTTTTCACTCGATAGTTTTATACAGGTACGGACAAAAAGTTATTACGCTTCAAAACAGTTAAAATACATGTAGGTGGCGCCCTCTACTAGTAGGAGTCATATTGATACCAAAATCAAATTTCTAATGTCAAAAAACTCCCAGACACCAATTTTCATCCAAATATTGACGTTACTTCAGAAATTATTTAGAAAAAATCGAAATAAAAATTAAACCTCTACACCCTGTATCTCTGAAAGTAAGCATTTTAGGACATACATTTATACGAACTTTTTTTACTTATTTTTATCTGCAGTTTCCGGAATACAGTACGGACCACCCTGTATAACATATTTTTTTATTTTTCAAGTATTTATTAACTATGTCCTAAAGAATCACAGGAACACAAAAATATTATGGTTACTTAATTTTCTCACTGTTAAACTGAAACCTCATACAAAATAAATAATTTCTGATGCCCCCTGTATATTATTAGGTAATTCTACCTACGTACTGGTACCTACCGACAGTACGGTCAGTACCAATTATTCTATTTGTCCGACGATTACCTATGTACCTTCGAACCGCATTTTTCAGCTGGTTTGACAAATTTCAATGCCAAAGGTAGTACGGCAAGTTAGTTCAGTAAATTAACAACTTTTTTCGGTTCAGATCATTAGTTTACATCGACATTTTAACGCGAATCAATCGAAAACAATATTTAACTCCGAGTAAAATGTAACAAAACTACTAAAAATGAAGAAATTTTGTAACAAACTAACTAAAAAAGACTGGAGAGTGACTATACCCAACTTAAATTCACCAATATTCAAGAAATCACCTAATAAAGAAGAAGAAGAAATCAAAAACACCGACAAAACTTCTAAAAGATCATCCGGATTCTATGATCTTCACGAAGCTCAGTTAGAGTACGACAAATGCAGAAGCCTACCTAATAGTATTTACATTGACAGCCCCAGCAGTTCATCTGACAGTGAAACCGATGACAATTTCCATGATGCCATAGAGAAAAGCAGCTACCAAGACGTCAGAAAAAGCAATACCGAATCAGAAACTGATCAAGAACTCTACGTAGACGTTGAAGAACCAAGAAATATCAATAAAAACAATAGCAGGTTTGAGTACGATGTTCCTAGGATCAGTTTTAAGTTTGTAGAAAGAAAAAACACCGACGAAAACGTCTACGAGAATGATCCTGTTGAATCTGAGCCAGTTTTAGTCAAACACACTATTAAAAGCGAACTGAAGATTGTTTTGAAGCCTTTAGATTTGGATGAAGCTGATTCTACCAAAGTCTCGATTCATTCTCCTGAAGAAATCAGTAATATTAAAGAAAATAGTGATGGTAAGGATGAAGCAAGCGATGTTGGTGAGGCTGAAGAGCCGAAATGTCATGCTTCGGAGAAATTCGGCAGTCAGACTGAAGTAGTAGTGCGCAGGAGTCGCGAAAGTATACCCCTGTCCATTATAAAAAGTGGTAGTGACCCGAATCTCAGGTCTAGCATCGAGGATGACAGCCTGTATAAAGTTCCTCGCAATTTGAAGGCCCAAAATCGACTTTCTCAGTCCTTGAATGATTTTGATCCTGACAACATGAATCAAGAGATCTCTAAGTCAAATAATTCGAGTATTGAGCATATCTCTTGCAGCCAGGTTGATTTGGCTAGGCAAAATTTAGCAATAAACCGGAAAAATTCACTATCTAATGACTCAGTGAAACTGGATTACTGCACGACTCGCAGTAAACTGCCTATCAGGATTAGAAGACCTTCCATGCTGTCAATTCCAAAAAAATCAGTCGGGTCATGGAATAATTTTAAAAATAAAGTTAGCAACATTATATCGGACCAACCAGCGCTACAAAAAGTCGGAGCTCTCACTGACAAAGACAAACTAGCTCATAACATCGAGGGAATGTACAGGACGTCGAAAAATAAGTGCAAGAAAGTATTTATAAACACCGGGAAGATTTTTTCTGGAAAGGGAAGTCCTGGGAGACGAACCGGAAGTGCGGAAAACTCGGAAAAATCTTGCTCGAACTCACCTAGTGTCGGTAGGACTAGTGAAGTAAGTTTTGCGCGAAATAAACTGACTGCTAGTGATATCGAATACAAACTGAACATTGGTCCGGAGAATGGTGCTGTTGTGAATGTGATTAGTGAGAATGGAGCTCAGTCGCCTGTGAGTAACGATGGAAGTGAAATGATCGAAGACAGGATTAAGGAGGAGTACGACTTTTCCACGTTGAGGAGTACGTTCAAGAAGAAACTGTTTCTTCCTGAGGTAACTAGGTTATTATAGGAACAATGTACTTTTTAGTATTGCTTGAATTGTTATGGTTATTGTATACTGTATGTAATATTGTTACTGGATCCCAAGAGAATATGTGATAGTGAATTTGTCATTGTCGGTCATTTTAATTTAGATTTTTTAAGAGATTTTAATTTAGATTTTTTAGATTTTATTATAGATAAACTGAACTTTCTGTTATTTTTTGGAAGTCTACTCTGTGTCCTGTGTCCGATGAATGTTAACAAATCTTAGATTTACGGAATTTTAAATAATTTTTATGTTCCTTAATTCGAACATTTAAAGGTCTAGATGTTTCCACTAATATAAAATTTTTAACTATCATGTGATTCTTATCTGGTCATATTTCTTTTGTATACAGGGTGAGTTTCCTACGATGTTCTCTATGGGTATCTCGGAAACTACTAGAGATAGAGTCGGTTCAATGGGGAAAGAATTGCAGTTTTGTGGGGTCATAAATATGCGCCTTTCAGATTTTTGAAAAAGTTCATGTCTTACTAGATATTTCGAAAAAAAAAACAAATTTTGACTATTTTAAAATTTGTCTCTAATTCCATTATAATCTATTTTAGACAACAAGTTTTTAGATAACAGTTGTAGATATTCACATCCCTAATGAGTTTGTGTTCTCCGATTTTTTCTAAAGCCTGTCATTTTTGACATATGACACAAACATATGTTTTTTTAAATGTAAACAATAGTTGGCCATGTAATAATTGTAAACCAATGTTAGCCAATATAATAAATATGTTTTTTTCACAAAATTTCTGACTTATAGCCAATTCTTATCTTTCTTGACTAATTTCACTTAGTTAGCCAGGGAAACGTCATTCAAGTTCAATCGTCATTGCTCTCAGAAATGTGAAACTGTGACATCCAAACTTTGAACATTAAAATAAGCAAAAATTGTAAATATGAATTGTTCAAATGAAGAAAAGCGTGTAGGATTATTTGTTCAACTTTTCTTGGCTATACAGTTTCGAGGATACGTTGACCGGTGAACGTACTGTGATCGGTACTGTTAGAAAAGTTAAATTTAGATACTCGTGCATTAATAGAATGGTTCCATCATGACTTTCATTATGACACACCACCCCCACCCCCACCATGAAAGAAACGTTAAAAATTATTTATATCATAATTATGTAGGATAGAAAGAGGTGGACTAATTGTTTGGGCCTCAACATACAAACCAAAACATATTATAACTCATCGCTGAAAAACCTAAAAATGGCACTTTTTATGAAGTCATGGCCAACTATGGTTTCTATAAAAAAAAACATATGTTTGTGTCAAATGTCAAAAATGACAGGTTTTAGAAACAATCGGAGGACACAAACCCATTAGGGATTTGATTATCTACAACTTTTATCTGAAAACTTTTTGTCTAAAATAGATTATAATGGAATTGGAGACAATTTTGAAAATAGCCAAAATTTGTTTTTTTCGAAATATCTAGTAAGCCATGAACTTTTTCGAAGATCTGAAAGGCGCATATTTATGACCCCACAAAACTGCAATTCTTTCCCCATTTAACCGACTCTCTATCAACAGTAGTTTCCGAGATACCCATAGAGAACATCGTAGAAAACTCACTCTGTATATACAGGGTGTCAAAAAATAGTGTATCTAACTTCGGTGGGTGATTTTACAGATAAAAATAAAACAAAAAGTGCCTATGAGTATGCCCTAAAATGCTTCCTGAAGAGGTTACACCCTTCGAAAGGGTAAATAAAAATAATATATGTATTTTGTTTATTCTTAAGAACATTGGTAAACTGTTTTTCTTGAAATTTTGTACTATTATACACATTTTAATATCAAACCAAAGTGTATTTTCTAAGGCTTTTTTCAAGAAATGAACCCAATGATATTGTATCAATTGATATTTTAGAACTAATCTAGACCTTCTTATTTCTCTGAGATTTAACGAATTATATGCCATTTTTTCTCGGAGCATCTTAACGAGGATTTCATCAAATTTCATACTAATTTGGTAGAGTAATTTATCTAACTCATGTCGAACCATCAACGTGGGTACCTATAACCCAATTAAAAGATACTTCGTTTTTAAGTTTGAACCTATCGTTTGACCTTTTTGAGCAATAGCTAATTCTTGATATGCCCATACAGCTTTGTTACGTAATGGTATTAAGAGTCTTGGGCAATTATTGTTAGCCTCCGAAGGATATACCTGCATGGCTATATAAAATATAGCTTTACAACATAACAAAAATTATATACAGGATGGAACCGGTTTTTTTCACAAGTTTCGAAGAGTGGGTTTAAAGTATTTTAAGATTTTTCAAGGAACACCATGTTTTTGTTTAGATCTACCATGTCTGTGTTTAATTTGTATATCAGAAATTTAGACTGAGAAAAATCAAGGATTTTCCTTGATTTAAGTAAGAACAATCTTCAGATAGCCATGGGGTTATGTCACCAAAAAAAGCTGAAACTAAAGCAATCAAAACTCATTCTTGCAGTTTCGTGTCGATTCGATAGTCAGTTACCGGTAGCGGCTAGGCGATTTACTTTTAATAATAATTATTTTTTATTTAATGGATAATACAATTTCCGGATTTTTAGGGTTCCGTACCCAAAGATAAAAACGGATAATGTATCTATGTTGCCGCTATGAACAAATACTAAAAACAGAATTAAATAAATGTTTATAAATAAAAAAGTACTTTTACTAAACATTATCTTTTAAGTAAGAATTTTACATAGAATCTTTCAAGTTCTCGGTGGCCGCGTGGTTAAAGCGTTAGGACTTTAGGCTGCTATGACGTTGTAGCCCTAGTAAGGCAGGTTCGAATCCTAGTCAAGGCGACTTTTTTTTAATCGTTTTTTTTTTAATTTTTACATATTTATTTTTACTTTTTACATATTTATTATTGATTAATACAATTTTTAGTAACGTGTTTCTTCATTTTTTTTAAATTACTTAAACGCGCAATCAAAATTTCACCTAAATCGGAAAAAAAGTTTATAATAATATAGTGTCTAATGTTGTATAGATAATGAATGGACTGACTAATGTTGTATAGATAATGAATGGACTGACTAATGAATGGACGGAACCCTTCGTGCGCGAGTCCGCCTCGCACTTGACCATTTTTTTATTAGAATGCCTCAGCTATAAAATATAATTATTATGTTATATTATAATATATATTCTTGTTTTATCTACAACGACCTTACAGGTTGGCGAAAAACGCCGTCAGGTGCTCCCAGAAAATGATGGAACGGCTGTGCTTGAATTAGCAGACTTAATACAAATACAATTACTTTTATGTAAAAGTTACAACGAAACTTATTTGATGTTTTTCAGAAAACTATTTAACCCAATTTTACTACCAAAAGTAAATGAGTTATTAAGGTATTACATGATATTTGCTGTAAATACAAATCTATTTACATTCTCTGCTTTGAGCGGCTTGTTATACAACAAAAGAAAAAATGTTCAATGGAGCAAAACCATAGCCTGACCATGATGAGAATCAAAAAGTTAAACAAAACAATTCGATTCTGTTTGTAAGAACTCAATCGGAACAAGATCAGGTTAATTGTGGGGCTTGGTAGAGAACCTCAATACAAAATATTTTCATGGTGTCTGTCTGTCTGTAACACGATAACTCAAAAACCGCTAAACCGATTTTAACCAAATTTGGCACAAAAATACTGTGGCACCCGAGAATCTGGCCATTAGTTTTTGGTAGGGGTATGGGGTTGGTAAGGGGGTATGGGAGAGGGTTAAACATTTTAAAAAATCGTAACTTAAAAATTACAGTAGCTAGCGAAACGCGGCTTTCAATTTAAGATTAGGAATAATATTTGCAACCAAATTTCTAATAACATCAAAATCAGTCAAAGTCGCAGTTTTTGAGATAAAAAAATTGGAAAAATTCCTTTACTTTGAAACTAAAAGAACTGCCTACCAACTTTTTTTTATTAACCTATTTTAGTACTAAGGCGGATATACGTGACTCCCGGCGCCAATTTTTTGTATTGCCACTCACGTCGCAAAAATTAATAGTTTTGTGACGTTTTGGAAAAAATAACTTTTCGAAATATTTATAAAATATATTTAACTAATAATACTAAGTTCGGCTTTGTTTTTATTCTATTTTATTTTTATTTAATAAACTTCCAATTTTCACTGCTTTGAAATATCGTGATACACCATGATGGGAATGGTTACACTATGAGAACCATAGTATTGAATTTATTAAATTTTACTTAGAAAAAACGATATTAGATTAAATTGAATTACAATCAAAATCGATTTTATTTTATTGTTTAAGTTATATAGGTTACTGGCGATAGTTATAGTAAGGAGATAGTGTCACGCTCTACTTAGACACTATTTTTAAGAAGTGCTTTTTCTTCAATGGTTGGATAATCAGAATTTTTTGGTACGGGCACTTAAATAATCCGAAGCCAATCAAACGTGCCATAGATTTAATATTTTTATTTTAATAAAAAGTAAATTTTAGATTAATAAAAAACCCGTTTTTTTGTTTCAGGGTCAGAATGGTTTTGAAGATCTGCGAAGGTACGTCAAACAAGGAGGCGATTTTTGCAAGGAACTAACTACTATACTTCAAGAGAGGTAAGTAATTAATTACAGTTAATAATATTTTTAGTAAGTTTAGTTTTTATTGCTCTATACAGGGTGTTTTTGAAAAGTAGCTCACCATCATACCTTTTTTATTAGATAATATGTTAGTACGAGAGTTGACTTTTATAGTTTGCATTATAGAAACATAGTAGGCGCCTGTCAACTTATATATCAAATATCAAAATTAATTGTCAGCTCGAAAACCAATTGAGTTTTTAAAGCAAGAAAACATAAGCCAAGTTAAAATTGTCATTGCCATGATTACCTTGATCAATCTCAAGCCACAATAACCTATAAATGTTAAACAAACAATCCTGATTATATATCGTTGATTTTACCTTTTTCAGAGCCGAGGCAGAGACTCAGTATGCTAAAAGCCTGTCGAAGCTCAGCGCCAAACTGTCAAGGGCATGTCGAGAAGGCGTTGGAGGTATCAACGAAGCCTGGAAAGCTGTCGCTCAGGAACTGGAAGCCAAAGCCGAAGCACACAGGGTAGCTGGCAGCGCGTTGCTGGAAGACGCAGCCAAGCCACTGAAAAGCCTGACAGAAGGTCAGCACAGGTAAGAACTCATGTTCCTATAAAAACTAACTGTATCCGACTTGTGCAGCAAATACCTTTAATTTACTAGTAAAAGGGGTTCATTGCTTGGTTTGAGCGAATAAAGAAATTGGATTTATTGTTTAATCGGTGAAAATATTCTTCTAGTAAAATTGAGTTACTACATGCATTGATTTTTTTGCACAAGTCGGAGTTGCTGAAATATCTTCTTAAGAAATTAACATAAGATTTTTGTAATTTTAGCGATGAGAGATCTACTAAATACGCTTTAGTTCACAGAAAAGTGTGAGTAAATAACTGTTTGAACCTATTTTCTCGAACCGAGACAGTGTTTAGTGTTTTGGTTTTAAAAATAACTTATAGAAATTTAACTTGGCAGGAGAAGAAGGGTATGATAGATACTGTCACGTAGATGTCAGACAGTTTTGAAAACTAAAAAGGATTTAAAAAAATATATATGTATATTAGAATCCTTTTTTTTTCTAGGCTTTTTCATAAATAAGAACAATACTTTTTTTTAAATAAATTAGTATATATCATGGTTTTCAAAAAAAGTTAAGGTAAATTAGGGTTTTTTGTAGTTCTTGAAGGTTATGGTAACTATTCAAATTGTAGGTAGATAGGTACTTTGTAGTTATTATTGTGTGATTTAAAAATATTTCTTACCAATGTTTCTAGTAGTTTAAAAACAGAGTATTTTATTAATAAGAATAGGAAAACAGAAGATTTTTAAAAAATTACTTCTATTTTTTATTGTTCTTTTACAATTATCAAATATTTTTGTTTCTTAAATCATTAAAACTAATATGTATTTTTTATATTTTCTTTTAACAACTTCAGAATTGTGGAAATTGGAGTATAAAATTCTTTATAACAATCAGCCAAGTTGAAGTGCTTACAATAGAATTGACTTTCAAGATATTTTACTAATATTATCAAGTTTATCAGCTAGTCAATCAGGAATCAATTGATATACCATATGTGTAGTACCGTATGTGTAGTACAATATGTATTATTTTGCTGTGTATACTATAATAGAATTTAGAATTAGAACAAAAAAGGTCAATATAAGTTTAATACATACATAATTTTATTTCTTCTTTTTTCTTCTAGATCTAGGAAGCAATGTGAAGGGGCAGTTGAAAAAGCTGCACGTCTTCTAGCTGATTGGCGAGCGGCTGAGGCCAAGGGCAAGAAGCACAGCCACACCTGCGCAAGGGACAACGAAAAGTTGCAGGACGCAGCAATTTTTGACACTACCAAATTCGGAAAACAAACGTAAGAACATTTTCCAAGACTGTTTTTGTGTATATTTATATACGATCGAAAAAAATAGGCGTCAAAGACAGCTGGGGAATGGATATCGATGATAATTTTGGAGAGGTCAAGCTCTAGACGTCATTACTTGGTCTGTACCCTTCTTTTTCTTTTTTGGCGCTGACTGCCAGTTGCTCTTAAAAAAGTTGTAATTTATTTTTATATATTTAGTAAAAATCATTTTTAAACGGTGTAGTTTAAAATTCGAGTAAAAATATTTTTTTTTGGAAATAGATTTGTGTATGGAAATTTTCAATCCTTTTTATCTTTCTATAAATTTTTTTTCTTCCTTTTTTTCTTTATTATTTTCGTCTTTTTTTTCTTTATTATTTTCTCTTTTTTTTCCTTCTTTTATCATTTTTAATATTTTTATTTTAAATTTTGTATTCAAATTTTATGTCAATTTGTAGTAGACTGTAGAATGTTTAGGAGGGGAGTTAATCACCGCGAGCCTAAGCCATTTTTGACGCCGTTTTTTTTATCATACGGTATTTATTTTTAAGAGTACTTGGTTATGGTTTACTTATTTCTATTAGGTTTTATCTTAAAGATATTTTTTTCGTTCAATAACAATTATCTAAAAATAAGAGCTTGCAACAAACAGATATTGCTTACGCAATATCGTGAACGTTATTATAGTTATTAAACTAAAAAAATCCTTCTTTTCTAGGTTATCGAAAAGTGCAAGTCTCATCCACCTGGCTCATCGACAGAATTCCGCAGACAAGGAGAACGCCAAGGTACTACTTATATTTAATAACCAGTTACCATTACAGAGTACCATACTATACAGGGTGTTTCTTCAATTATTCGCATCAATAATAAAATTGAAATCAAACGTTTAAGAACATCTGTTAGTATACTTAAAAAGATTTATGTGAAAACCTAGTGAACATAAGCCTGATCAATCTACAGGTGTGTAGAATGTAGAATAAGTAAGAGAGGGGGTGGGGGTTAATCACTGCGACCTTAAAGATCTATTGTGCCCCCCTTTCTTGAGTCATCACACAGTCTATAACCCATCATACCCCTGTTGTAGAGAGGACAGGGTATTTCCCATCCTCCTCTGACAACAGTTCTTTCTCCGAGGATACACACCCTTTTACGGTTGGAGTTTGGCCCTCCGTGCCGAACCTTCATAGTCGAGGAGCTTGCCTCCGGCTGAGGAACCCGTGAGGTGGAGGCTGGAGGATCTGTCTCCATTTTCTCCACCTCTTTAACTTGGTTTTCCTTAGACCTGAAACCGCGGTTTTGTCCCGTATCTATAGTAGAGGATCTGTCCCTCTTTCTCTATTGCTTCCATGGATTTGAGGTCAGTTCCTATTGTGAGGACCTGACCATGACCCTCCTCCCTCGAGTTGATGACTCGCCAACTCGATGTCCTTACATTAAGCTTAGATGCGATTTCCACCGACCAATTCGCCGATTCTCGAGATACAACATCTATGAGGATCATGCCCACCCGAAAGTGTATCCTCACACAATCAATCTACAATAGAAAACACAAAAAACACTACAAAGAAACGTTTGCCTATTTTTAGTGGTTATATATTTAATAAACACCGTGTATTTCTCGCACTTCTACAATAAAAACATACATTTATTTAATAACTATATCCTTCAACCTTTAACTCTATCTTATGTAACAAAGATTGAAATAATAGGTATATTTTCACACAGCAAAATTTCTGGTTCAGTTGTAATTTGATCTTTTCATACCTCTGGGTACCTATCGCTGGGTGGTAATGCTTTCAAGTCTGATTTCTACAATCGTTCGGTTTGTAAAGTGCATTTAGCGTAAGTGAAATGGCCGATTCAACCGTATTTTTATTTCGTTTAATTTGCTGGCGTGTTGACTAGGTTTTAAATTGAAGTCGGGGAAAGTAGGGTGTTATAGAACATAAAGCTAGTTTTCTACCATACAATCGAAAAAAAAACGGCGTCAGACTGCTGGGAATGACAAAGAGTCCCTTTGACTAGTCCGAAAAAGTAGCAAAATAAGCGTTCGGTATTTAATGTTTTATGTAAAAATGACTAGGTATTTTTACACAAATCAAGAAGGAAATTAAAGATGAAGGATTATACTATATCCGTATTTTAGCACATTTTTAGACAACTTCTTTTTTAAAGATTTTGATGGTCAAACATCAACAAAATATTCCTTATGTTTGGATTAGATTTTCTCGAAAATAAAGACTTAATTTTAAATTCTGTTACAGTACGGAAAGAGATTGAAGTTTGGTGATTACAGTGATATATAATTTATATGGTTTTGTAAGAAATTGCTCACTGTTTTATGGCAAATGCTGAAGCTCTGCAAATCTTAATCAAGCCTTAATCCAAGCACGTGTGTTTGGAATTTTGGATGTGGCTGAACACAACAGGATCGGGTTAAGGTTTAGGCAGATTTCTGAATTATAATATATGTTTCCTTCGGCCATACACCCGCTTTACCCGACCCCTGACAGCGACCTGAGCAGTACAGCGTAATAGACTTTTAGGAAGGTTGTAATTTATTTTTGTATTGGATAAAAATAATTTCTTAAATGGCGTAGTTTAAAATTCGAGAAAAAAAAAAGTTTTTTCTGTTAATTTTTAGTAAATTACGTCTAGAGACTGACCTAGTCCAAATTATCATCGATTGTCTCTGACGCAGTTTATTTTGGATCATACGGTATAATAAATCATATAACAGGGAATCACAGAAAAAAAACAGGTTTTGTGAAATGACGTTTGCTGGCTGTCGACTTATCAAATTCATAGCATACCAAAATTCGTTTCTTTACTTTACTTCCAAGGTTTATATTACCTCACGTTCCCCTAACTTTTTCTCTGTCGCCTTTACGCTAATTCGAAAACCAATTAGAATTTTAATTCGGATTAAATGTAAGTAGAAGTGCGAATTTTCGACAGATCACGTTCACTTTCCATTAATTTATGCCAAACTAATTTTACGCCTTTATTTAGCATAATATACGTATTATAATATGCAAAGATTGCAAAGTCACCTATCTAAATACTTATTTGTTCTTGTTTGATTCTAAAGATAATGTAGATGTCTAATGTGACAGCTCATTAAAGAAATATTGATCATTCGATAATCGTTTGTAAAATACAATGAAAAAGATTGTTTTTATTTTTTGTATTAATGACACTACATTAAAATAAAAAATTCAGTTTTTATTCATTGTTTTTTGATTCGTTTTGAAAATCGACATCTATGAAACTATGAATCCTTCCTGGACACAAACGGTACATTGTGAGACAGGAAATTGTAGAGAGAAACAGGCCCTGTAACATAGGATACAACATTTTCATGAACAGTGCTTTCCATATAATCAATAAAGTGAAAAATATACGAAATAATATACATGTACTGATTTCTTTCGAAAATCGACATCTATGACACTATGAATCTTTCCTGGACACAAACGGTACATTGTGAGACAGGAAATTGTAGACAGAAACAAGCCTTATAACATAGAATACAACATTTTAATGAACAGTGCTTTCCATATAATCAATAAAATGAAAAATATAGGAAATAATATACATGTACTGATTTCTTTCGAAAATAGACATCTATGAAACTGTGAACCCTTCCTGGACAAAAACGGTACATTGTGAGACAGGAAATTGTAGAGAGAAACAAGCCCTATAACATAAGATACAACATTTTAATGAACAGTGCTTTCCATAAAATCAATAAAATGAAAAATATACGAACTAATATACATGTACTGATTTCTTTCGAAAATCGACATCTATGAAACTATGAACTCTTCCTGGACACAAACGGTACATTGTGAGACAGGAAATTGTAGAGAGAAACAAGCCCTATAACATAGGATACAACATTTTAATGAACAGTGCTTGTTTGTTAGTTTTTTCTTCCGATTAATTACAATTTTTGTACAAGGATCAGTCTAAATATTATAAGCAATATATGAGTTAATTGTTAGTATTTCTCAAATATAAGGTGATTAAATTATCTGCACTAATATATTCAAAGTAAAGGAATTTTTCCAATTTTTTTTTATTTCAAAAATTGCGACTTTGGCTGATTTTGATGTTATTACAAATTTTGTTGCAAATATTATTCCTAATCTTAAATTGAAAACCGCGTTTCGCTAGCTACTGTAATTTTGGAGTTTGTAAAATTTTCAAAAACTAATGTATTTTTGTGCCCTTTCAGCTGGACTGAAAATCAATAAGTCTATTTTGGATTATATATTCTTTGAGCTCTGTCTAGCAAAACGTGATGAGAATTTTCTTAACCACAAATTAAAAGGAAAACAGCGACATAGAAAGCTGAGCTGATGCTGATGATATTGTTATTATAGTTAAACTGTTTAGTTTAAATATTTTTTTTACTTTATTTAGCTCGAAGGGAAGAAGAAGAAAGCAGAAGACGCAGTCAAAAAGGCAGATATCGAATATTACACACTATGTGTTAGGGCAGAAAGAGCCAGGTAAATAAAAAAAGCTTGATATACTATACAGTATGTCTTTAGAAGAGGAAAAACTTTTTTATTATTAAAACATCTTGAAAAAATTCACTCTTTATAGAATTTTTGCTTGTTCTAATATGGTTAATCCTTAGGGTTAACTTCGTTTATACTCTTTTATATTTCTATACGGTCTTAAAGAAAAATAAAGAAAATACATAAAAAATATATTTAGTTGAATTTTTCCAAGACTCAAAAACCAAAAAGCGCTTCAATGGTAATATCATTTCGTTTTCATTCTATGATACATGGTTAATATTAATTTTGATTAGCGTAGTATTAAATTTTAAAAATCATTTTGAATTTATTTCAGCGAATCTATTCTTCAAATTTGACTATTTATTTTAAAAAACAGGCAACATAGTAAAATATATTTGAAAGTTAACTTGCAACAGCTATAAAACTAAATATTTTTATTGGTTCTTTTAGATTAGAATGGGAATCTTCTGTACTGAAAGGAGTCAACACTTTCCAATCATTAGAAGAGGAACGATTGAACAATTTAAAAGTTGTTTTAATGGCTTATTATCGAGTGAACAGTGATCTAGACCCAAAGTTATCAGAGGTAAGAAATCACATTTTTAATTTCATTAAATTATTATTGCCTCCTGTTATAATTTGTCTGCTTTTGTTCGTTTGCAACTAATACATTCTTTTTTTTTCATAACAACTGTTAAAATTGCCTTATATCTATCAAAAATAGTAGATAAAATAGTACTTTAATCGCACGGGTAGATTAAATGATACTTTGACAGCGAGGATAGGTTAAAAACTTTATTTCTTCCTGCACGTTTTTTAATTGCTTCCATTTTTGAAAATTTTTGTATTCCTTTTCATAAGTTATTCGGGATTTAAATGGAAGTAGTTTGGATATGGCGTCGGTCGCCTCAGCCTGAATATCTGTTGGTAATTTACTTATTTCGTTTTGAGCCATTTCTTGCTCCAATCTAATCAGCAATCGCGACGAAAGAGAATTAAAAAATATGGACTCAAAACTGACAACTAAAGAGACAGCTTTATTTATTTGTCAAATTACATAGAAACCAACGCCAACCCAGCACAATATTTTTTCTACTCCGTACACCGTGTGCACCGTCTCACATAGACTACCCACCAAATTTGGTCGCTATCCGGTGAAGGTTTTAAAGTCACCTTTTCTGCATATCAAACTAAGTAGAGGGCGCAAATTTGATATGTGGCAATGTCGCCTTCTCTATCTCAGTTGGTTTTTACAGTACGTAGTCAACCTCCAAATGTTTGATCGGGTTAAAATGCATAATGTGATATCTGTTCTTCCTAAATCTATGTTTTTGAAGGCTCTTTGAGCATTTCATATATTAACGTATCAAATCTCGTTTTTTATCTGAAAAAATAAAAAAGTTATTGGGGGTTTGCCACTACTCAGAGACACCCAGTACAGAGAATAGTTGAATCGAAATTTTAAACAAAAAAAATTAAAGAACAAATGACAATTGTCAAATTGGCGCCAATCATTTCAGATTTTTGGCCACTCAGTTATCGGTACCACCAAGATTGACTTAAAGAAACTTACTTCACTTAACTTCACTTTAAGGTGGTACGAAGTTAGCAATTATGTCAATTTAAGTTTGAAATCTGTTAAAATACCATTTGAAATATACACGAACCAAATTATTGGCATACATATGCAGATTTAACTACGTTCGCGTGCATTTCAGAAAGCTGTAACACTCTTATTTCACACAAATCTAAATAAACATAAAAATAAAAGAACTGTTCCTACTGGCTGGTGTGGTATATTTTAGAAAGGTTATATCGAGTTCAAACCTGGTTGCGTAACCATAATTTAGAGTCTGTACCTGGCGCAATTAATTGATTTTTCTGCTGCGGGCTGTTTGGTTTCCAAACTAAAAATCCCAATGCGGTTTCGACTGGTAAGATCGATTCTAAATCGGTACCAGACGTGAGCTAATGGGAACTAATTTATCGGCAGTGGTACCGTGGGTAGTAACGAGTTTGAAAAAGTCATATTAGCATGTCGATTTTTTTAAATTTTTTATTGACGCAGCTTGTTATTGGGGTTGTTTTCTTGGTTAAGGATATGACTGTAATCTTGTAATGCTCTTTCCAGCGGTTTTTTTATTTGCTTTTCCTCTTTTAGAAGTTCGCCATTTTGTGCCATGATTGAGCATCTTGCCTTCTTAGCTGGGCCGTATACTCCTTTAACAGCCTCGAGGAATTTACGATAGTCGTGATGCGTGGCATACTCTTGAATCTGATTAGCTTTTTGCGACCACCAGTTATCCTTTATTTGGCGCAGGTTTCTTCGGAGCGTGTTGTTGGCTGCTTTGAAGTTGTCTGCTAGTCTTGGATTGTGTGGATTTGCAGTGACTGCTTGATGTGCTCTATGCTTTTGTTCCAACAAGGTCTGTATATGAGGTTGATTTTCGTTAAACCAGTCTGGTTGTTTCTTTCTGTTGGATTTTCCCAGTGCTGCTTTGCTGGTTTTACGAACCGCATCTTTTAGTAGTGTCCAGCCTTGTTCAGCGTCCACGATTGAGATCGAAGTTATCGGTGGAAGTGATTCTTTGATGGCTTTCCGGAATGACGTCGGCAATATCGTTGTTCTCTAGACCCCGTACGTTCAATCTGGTCATGTAGTTATGCTTTTTACAGTGCGGATATTTGGGTTTTAACAGGATTTTCATTTTTGAAATTAAAAGTCGGTGGTCAGTGCCACATTCGGCATCTACTCTGGCCTGGATCTGGGATGTTTCCAGGTACCTTTAAACTTGTCCTTCAACATGATCCACGTATTGGTGATGCAAATATTATACTCTGTGCATGTTGTTAATAAGCGTTCACCATTGCTATTTACGTTTCCTATTCCATGTTTTCCCAATACGTCAAGCCATATTTCCTGTTGTTTATTTTATTTTATTTTTCCTGTTTTTTTGTGGATGATATCTATTACCTGGGTCTTTTGTCGTATCAACTCTATTCTCTTATGGTCCCTCCTGGTTTATATCTTGAATATTCCTGTATATTTATCAAAATTGGCACGTGGATATGAAATCAAAACTCTTTTGTTTGACACACACTTTCGGACATATTTTTATCTAACACAACTTTAAACAATAAATAAATTTATTGTCTATATTTTGTTATGTATTTTTCAGAAAGATAATATGGATTATTTTTTTTTCAGGCAACGGAAATAACTAGGGATCCTATCGCAAGAGCCGAACCCCCCAAAGATCTGACCACTTTCCAGAACTTGAAGCAAACGTCACAGCAAATGTCCGAACAGCTTCTTCCAGATTTCTACTGCGAACACATCACGTTGGCCATGAATCGAGAAAGAAGGAAACAGGTAACTTCCTCTTTCTTCCTTACCTAGATTGTAGATAGTACAGTCTCAGGGCTTTAGCGATCAGCTCAGTAATGAGCTGATCGCTTTTAATGTTGCTTGACTATCTGATCAGATGGCTATTTGTTGTTTCCGATAGTTCCTACCCAAGATAAGTTGTACGCATCTTTCGATAGTGTAGAATATGATTTTAAATAAAATTTATCTCTTTTAGGCATTAATAAAGTTGTTGCACCTGATCAGACAAGACGTTGAAAGAGAAAGAAAGTCAAAGAACGGACTGGAAAATTTATCCAAAGCCATCAAGCAAACGCCTAATTTTGGTACGGAGGACTCTCAACAAAGTGTAGTAGAAAAATTATATCACGTAAGTTATTACTGACAGAAAAAGACGTCATAATAGGCGTAGAAATAACATTTCAATCCGAGCTTTACTACCATATTTTTTTAAATAAATGTAAGGATTTATGCTCTGACATAACTCGCTTACAATAATTTTCTAAGCTTACTATGACGTCAATTTTTATTCAAATGGTATTTTGAACGAGGTTGTGTTTTAAACGATTCATGTTATTTTGAAAAGAAATATATTAAAAAGTATTTTAATTTTTTTAGATGAAATCGATGTTGACTTATCTAGAAGGCGCAAGGTACAAAGTGCAGAGTGCTCTGGCAGAGCTGGACAGTAGACCTAGAGCTGGACACCCTTTAGCTGCCCATATAACTATTACAAGAGATAAGTCTGGACTGCAACAAAGTGTTCTCAAGGTATGGTTATTTTTTTGCATAACTTATATTTATTTTTTTATTTTGTTTCAATGTTGATGATCGAAAAAAAACGGCGTCCATGTTACATATAAGGTGACAGCGATCTTCATTTCATAGCCATTGCTGACGCTGTTTTTTTTTCGATTATACTGTAGAATTTAAAAAGTAATATTTTCACATATTTTTAAACTCGCAGCAGTTTAAACATATTTTTCTTGGGCACTGTAAGAACAAATAGTTTTTTGAAAAAAAAATTCAGAGTCTGATTAAGTAATATTTTTGTTTTTTTTTATTTTACAAGAGCACTAACCAAATATAAATTTAAATTTATAAAAATAATTTTCAATTCTAGGTACCTCAATGTTTACGGGAGGAGTTTCTAGAGTCCGATAGAAGTCCATTGAGTGAAAAGTCCCTCAAATCGGACAAATCGGACAACTCGGACCCTCACATCAATGACGTAGATGACCACGTGTTGCACGATTGGCCCCATAGAGGCCATGGAGATGGAAATTCAAATCAGCCCGATTCAGATTTTGGTATGTTGTAATTTAAAGTATTTCATATCTATAGTTTGTCCAACGAGACAATACAAGAACTAGTTGTCTGTCATTTTTTGGATGTTGTCTGTCGAAATGTTCACTGCTTTGTTGGACAGACAATGTTTACTAACACACATAAATAAAACTAAAACTTCTATTTATTGTTGAAGAGGTTATTTAAAGTAACTTTGTGTATTTGTTTTATTTTGACTTTTTAGATGAATTCTCATCTCAGTGTAGCAGTACGGATAATCCTGCTGAAGCTGAGAATATTCACCCCATCGCTAGATGCAGAGCAATATACGCTTACACACCAAACCTTCCTGATGAATTGTTACTGAGTCCTGGAGATATCCTAAAGGTAGTTATATTTATATCTCTATTTTTACCCACTCAATCCATCAAACTAAAAACTAACACTAGTAATATTTTGGAGCACCAATCCATTTTGTCAGCTAAATTAAAAATTAATTTTGTAACTTCGCCATCTTTTGCAATTGACAGCTCACGTCAAGCACGCTTATAGCTTATTTCCTTTGAATAAGTAGACTAAGGAAGGAGCATAATGCTATCCATGTATTCACGCATGGTGGGCGGAAAAAGCACTCTAGGGTGGGGATCCTTGACAGTCCTGTTTGACGATTCATTTGACACATTTGAATTTGATATGAAATTTTGTGGATTTGTCAGTCTTTACGGAGCTTATTTTATGTTATTTATTATTTATTCTACTACTGATAGTTGTATAAAGGTAGTAAATCTAGATGGAAATTGTGGCAGAACTTAAATTAACAGTGACACTATCGCGATTTATCGAAAAAGACTCTAAAATAGTTGGTTGTGTAGCGTGCGGTAGATCTCGGCAAAAATTGAGTGAAATAATGGAACAACTTTTCGCTAGTAAGTGACTATATAATATACATACGTGTAGTAAACCGATCATTTATGAAATTCACTTAAATTAACTAAATTATATATTTTTTCTTGCATTTTAGCTTTTATTTATTACTTGTTAAAGATTAGATGTCAAAGAATTTAGATACGTTAATTTGACTTACCTGCTTCAGTAGCGTATCGGATGTTTGTGTTAATAAATACTTATTGTAACTTATCTATTTTTATTAGAATTATATATTTTTATAACAATTTTAATAACTACCAACATTTATTCACAACGTAAAATAAAACAACAAATTATTGAGTGTACCCCACGTCTACCCTACATCATAGTTTAACATTTTTTAAATAAAATTAGAACGACACTGATAAACCGGAATTTAAGTCGGCCATATTTGAGGCCCACGCGGTGTACCTAAGATTTGTGATATGCTCCTTCTTTAGTCTTCTTATTCAAAGCTTATTTTTGGATTATTTCTAATAATCGATGTCCACTGCAAATCAGTGACATTATAGAATAAAAATTCAATGGAAAATAGTGGAAAAATAGCCTATTCAAATCTAGAAAGATATGGAAATATATAGGAAATACTTAAATCAAAATGTAAACAAACATTGGCAAAAAACTCTCATCACTTTTACTTCTACTAATCTGACTTCCTCATTTACAGTTGTATGTAGATAAAACCTGTAGAGACTGTAGATACTCTAAATTCAAAGTCATATAAAGTTCTATACTTACCAGATTTTTTTAAAAATTGGTTATACAGGAATAATAAGATATTGTAATATATTTTATCCCCCCCCCCCCCTACCTTGAATATGACTTACACATACAGGGTGTCGTGCAGAAATAAGCGCAAGTATTTTAACCGGTAGTATAGTTCAAACCCAGAAACACGCCTATGAGGTTTTTTTCGCAAAAAAAAAATTGAAAATTTGAATTTTTTTTTGTATTTCATTTAGTTTTTAGTTAAAAAAACATAATTTCTTGGCAATATGTTAACATAGGTATTAGATTAAATTTACAAGAAAGAAAATCCAGAAAAGATCCAGTGGTTCTCAAAATTTTAGCAGAAAAATCATTTTTTGGGAAATTTTCAAAGTAAAATATCTCCGTTATTTTGGACTTATTTGAAAAACGATAAAGAGAAAATATGTTTATTTTATCGAGATCTACCACCCCTTAAAATATTCGCACTTATTTCTGGGACACCCTGTATAAGCATTTTTTTCAAAATTCGATTTTGCTCAGTGGGATCACAGACTGACTTATTTAGTCTGTGATAAATTTTTGGTTAGTTTGTGGTGATACACAAACCAAATTTATGCTTTTAGTGCGAACCGTTTTTCGAAAGAGTCTCTAATAGTTTAGTTTCCCGAATACAGGGTGAGTTTTAAATGAGTGGCAAATATTTTCAGGGCTGGTAGATAAAAGAAATATTTTCTCTTTACCGTTTTTCAAATTCAAGTCCAAAATAACCAAGTTATATTACTTTGAAAATTAAAAAAATAAATATTTCTTTTGCTTAAATTTTGAGAACCACTTGACCTTTTCTGGGTTTTCTTTCTTGTAAATTTAATCTATCACCTATAATATTAAGAACCATATTATTAAGAAATTACGTTTTTTAACTAAAAAGTAAAAAAAAAATCCAAATCAAAAAAAAATCGTGAAAAAACCTCATAGACGTGTATCGGGGGTCGAAATATACTATTTCCCACTTTTACAACAAAACAATGTTATCTAAATTCTTGGCCCTTTTGTGTCAAATCATTTAATGTATTTTTATTTCCTATGCTATATTTACTCTGTGGAATAGTAAAGTTTAATGAACTACTATACTATCTTTAAAAAAACTAAACCAACAATAAATCTGAGAATATCATGAATCTAACATAAAAAAAGAAACAGTATTTAAAATACAGTTACATTAATAAAGTTTCAAATAAATTAGTATTTCAGGTTTTTTCAAATAAAACATCACATTAAAATATTAATTTATTATTTACAATTATTAATTTACTATGAATATATAGGAATATTAATAATATCAGAATTTGTGATCATTATTGTTACATAATTATTTCCTACTTTAACGTGTTTTTTTTTCTCATTAATGTTCTTTTGACATTCAAATCACCAGCAAATAAACCTTACTTTATTTGATATAAGTGTTACTTCGTGACCGTTTGGTTACTAAACACCACACTCTAAACCCATAAAACCGTTACATTATTATGTAAAATCTATGTTTTATGTTAATTGTTATGTCCTTTTTATAGGTCTACAGACAGCAAGATGACGGCTGGTGGTTAGGCGAATGTAACGGCAACGTTGGAATATTTCCAGCGACTTACGTGGAGATAGTACCAGCTTGAGAGTGTCTGTTAGGAATATAGTACGGGTTTTTAATAGAGAGACTGACGTCATAGTGTGTGCGTGGTCGTTGAAAACATAGGAAATCCCATGAAAATTTTGAACTGTCCAAATATTGGATTTCCTATTAATTTTACAGATAAGTCCTAAATAGTTTTTTAAAGTTCTGTAAGTTTCTTGTATGCAACATACTGTATTTTATTTATAAAATTAAAAGAAAATAATAATAAATTTGAATAAATAATATTTGGCGACATAATTCCGGAAAAAGCCGAACCGATCCGAAATTATCAAAAGCTTTGGGTCGCGACCGTTGCAAGAATAGCGCCAAATAGTGTTTACATTGTCCTTATGGGCACTTTCCAATCTAAACTTGTTTCATTTATCTATGAAGGGTACGTTGGAATTTACTTGTTATTGGCATGTGTATTCAGCATACAACCTTTAAAAAACATGTTTACTACTTATCTGTAAAATTAATAGATGAGCCAATATTCGGAGAGTTCAAAATTTGCACGCGATTTCCTATGTTTCCAACGATACATACCGGTATATTTTGTTACTTGTTTCAAAGTAAAATGTGTATAACTAATAGTAGAATAATTCTGACTACTTTCTAGCGCTTAAGATTAATAAGGAAGTCAAGACGTCAGTATCTTGTTAGAAAATCTATACTATACATCACAAAATTAACACAAAATAAAGACTGATACGTTACACAAAAAAAGGTTCACTGTGTCAAAGGGTAAATTATTTTTACCACTCTGTATACTGTATTGAGATTGGTGGTTCTTGATATATATGCCTAAACGGACATATTTTAAATAGTGATATGAGGAAATAATGATTTTTTTATACGTATTGTTGAGAAATATTTAAATTGTGTTAAAAAAAAGAGAGTATCGATATTTATTACTTTTAATTTGTAATATTCGGTTGTTTTTATTATTCTAGCCACTAAAACGTGTACAATAAGGTGTTAACTAATGTATAAATAAAATACGTTTTTTATATAATAGTAAATGTTTTATTTTTCCGAAAATAAATAAGTTACGTAGGCTTTAAATGTAACTTCATTATATGGCGAATGCGCCAGGATTCACCATTATTCTCGTACCTACTTATAAAGTTAGTTTGTGGTGTTATTTTGTATCCACAGACTACTGCGATAATTATTATAATTATAATACTATCTAATATGTAGTACCGTATGATCGAAAAAAAACGGCGTCCAGTTGGCTTGGAAATGACGATCGATGACATTTCCCATATAATTTTACATATAAAATGACAGCGATCTTCATTTCATAGCCATCGTTGACGCCGTTTTTATTCGATCATACGGTATTTCTGTGTATTTTATGTATTATACAGGGTAATTTTTAATCTAAACGCATAAAGTTGGGAAATTATTGCTGATGAGAAATAATGACTAATAATGAAAAAAAAGTTAGTAAAATATTTTTATTTACGGAGATAACAAACTGTTTGAAATAAAAACAAAAAATGTAAATTCCATTAAATTGAATGTGCACTAAATATTTTTATTTACGGAGATAACAAACTATTTGAAATAAAAACAAAAAACATAAATTGAATGTGCATTTACTGATAAAGTTGATAAATTTTTATTAAAAAAAACTCAAATTATTTCAGAATCTAAAATATTTTACTAACATTTTTTGTTATTATTTATCATCAGCAATAATTTCCCAAGTTTATGCGTATAGGTTAAGAATCACCCTGTATTATATATATAAATTATATGCTGCAATAAAATACTCGAAAACCCAAAAAGAAACCCAAAATCCGACTTTGGGAAAAAGAGATCAAGCGGGTTTTTTGTCGGCTTTTTCTATTTTTTTTTAATGTAAACAACCGGAATGATTCTTATATCATTAAACATATATCGTGGGAACGCCAGAGACCAAAAATAAACTTTGACAGCTATAAATTAATGGACCACACAACATCATTGAATGTGTGACAAATTTGAGGATATACTGTGACCGATGATATCTGGTCCAAGGGCTGGACCACTTCAGCGTAAGAGCCAGCGCAGTTTGCTCAAAGAGCCGTGAAATTTGCGCGGTTGCCCTTTGTGATAACTGCGCCGCAATTGAATAATCGATAAGGGAGTGGTTACCGCCCATGTTTCTATTGCAGAAGGGATCAAATTGGTATACGAGGGATGTACAGCTGGTTCCAATAAAATTGAATACGATTTAAAACATATTTTTATTATTTCGGGCAGTATATTCTATGATACCAAAGATGATACCAGTCCTCCATTTCTCTACTCATGTCATACTGACGTTCTGAAAAATTTATTTGCGACTTTGTCAAAAGCAAAGTTGTTTTATACAATGTCACAATAACCTTAACATGTCAAAGTACTTGACACCACAAATATACACTGCCCAAATATTCTAAAAAAATGTGTAAAGAGTATTCATTTTTTTTGGAACCCGCTGTACAATACTTATACAATATCACTTTGTATATACAGGGTGATAATTTGAAAAGGAACAGTATTTAATATTTGACTATACAGGGTAAATTACAATTTAAATTGCTGTTATTGAAATTTAAAATTTGTTCTTCATTTCAGTTCAGATATATCAAAATTCACAACTTACCCAACTTAATATATTTTAAAAAAATGTTCTAAATTAACGTACAGATGCTCACAAAATTTCATTTTAAAATAAACTGTCGTTCTCCTTGGAGATTCCGCGTCGTACGAGAAGCGCTACCCTGTATTATTTGTATTCATTAACCTAAAAATAAAGATGAATCAGAAAATAATGTAGAAAATAATCCTAAAATATACACCAGAAATCAGAAACTATAAAAACAATCTTAATAGAATAAAACTAAAAACTATTTTTTCCGTCACCCCTCGTATAATCAATTCTCTGTCATCCCTGCCCATTAATTTCTCCTAATTATTAGGCCACGCTTCTGTCATCCGCAGCGCAATATGTTTCTGTCATTGTCTAGGAGCGGTTAACGCACACACGTACACGGTTCAAAGAATATTATCGCCCCACTTTTCATCCTTTTTGCACCCTGTATCTGTCTCCCTCGTCCCATCGCACCCCCTCGTGGGAACCGCGGGCGTCCCATTCGAATTCATTGTTGCGCATTGTTTGCCAACAATTTTAAGTGTGGAAGATTACTGTCATTTTTTCGAGATTTGAGGAGAGGGTGGACGAATTGTCGCTGACAAATTAATAGGTTTACGTTTAAAAAAGATACGATTAGGCAGGGTAGTTTTCCTTTTTTGTGAGATCGGTTTGGTATAACAGGAATTGGGGAGGTTGTTTTTTTTCGCGAACATTTATTTTGAAAGTTTGGAATGTTTGAAAATTTTTTGGGAATTTGTTTAGTGTTTGGTTAAAAAACATATTTTTTGATAATATGGCAACATGGGTAGTAGATTAAATTTACACAAAGAAAACCCAGAAAAGATCCAGTGGTTCGCAAAATTTAAGCAAAATAATTTTTGTTTAGAAATTTTCAAAGTAAAATAACTGTTATTTTGGACTTATTTGAAAAACGGTAAAGAGAAAATATGTTTCTTTTATCGAGATCTACCAACCCTGAAAATATTTGCACTCATTTAAGACTCACCCTGTATATTGTACGTGTCTAAAAACCAAGCAACATTTTTAGGTACATCACATTTTTCAAATGCATTTCCATTGCATTTGAGAGGTCAAAAGCTTTTAAAAAAATGAAAATAAAAATCCAGGTACGTATTTAAAAAATATAACTTAGACATATTTTTGTAAAGGTTAAGAGCCACTAAGTAGTTGATATCGCCTTAGATCCTTAATCAAGGATATTTTTACATGAAAACATATAATGTTTTAAATTTTAAGTGCTATACAAAGATTTTACAAGTATACAGACAATACTTATATAGAACAAGTACCTATATCAACACTTCTAGATAATTTAAATGCAACAAATTATTATAACTATTTAAATAAAAATACGAATGTTTTTAAATGCCTTTATTTTATGTATTAGTGACATTCACCCACACATCTCCTTTCACACTGAGAACAAAAATTGATTCCGGATCCATTTCGACAGGCAGTTTTGTTTTTTCGTTTAAAGTATACTTAAATTTTCTCAAAAGACTGATAATGCCCAATTTAGTTTGAAGCATTCCAAATCGCAGTCCTAAAAACATAAATAAAACTAATTTATTAATTTATTTTAAAAATGCTAAAGAGAAAATATGTTTCTTTTGACCAGATCTACCACCCCTTAAAAACTTGCACTTATCTCTGGGACACCCTGTATATTATTTTAATCAAAATTTGCTTTGGCCTTCTATCTTACCTATACACATTCTAGGTCCTTCACCAAATGGTATGAAGGTAAAATCAGGTCTTTTAACTTTGTTCTCTTCGCTAAAATTTTCAGGATTGAACTTTTCAGGATTGGGGAAATATTCTGGATCGTTGTGTAATCCCCAGGCTGGTATAAACAGTTTTGTACCTTTTTCAATTACTACATCAGTCCCTGGTACTTTGTAATCGTTACTACATTCCCGTGTAATCAAAGCACCTGGAGGGTACTTTCTCAAAGTCTCTAAGAACATAAACTATAATAGATAACAGAGTACTAAATTAATGACATACACACCATTAACCACTTTATCCAAATATTCCATCTCCATAACCGATTCATAAGTAATATCACCACCATTTTTCTTTATCACATCCCTAATTTCATCTCTTAACTTATCCTGTATTTCCGGATGTTGAGCCAGCTCCAACATAGCAAAAGACATCGTTGTTGATGAGGTTTCAAATCCAGCAACAAAGAACACGAAACACTGAGCAATAATCTCTTCATCGGTAATATTCTCAGTTTTCTTCAGTTCCAACAGATAATGCAAGTAGTCTTTCCTTACAAGATTATTTGTTTCTCTAAATCTGATCGTATTTTTAACAGTATTCACGTAAAAGTTCGTTACTTCATGTCCATAAAGATTGAATCCTAGGTTACTCAACACCCATGAAGGTAGAAGCTCACTTACAAAGAACTTGAACATCCCCAGGTTAAAAGTTTTAGTGCCATACGTTTTAAAATCATTATCACGGTATTCTAGAGAGTTACATTCGATACCAAACCCACAACTTGCAATGACATCGGTGGTAAATCTTCCCCCAGTTTCTTTAATATTCACTGGTTCTTTTTTTGCTTGATGAGTCTGGATAACATTCTCCAAAACCTTGACTTTATCCAACAAAATCTGGAACATCAGCTTCATTTTACCCGCTGTGAAAGTGGGAGTCAATTTTGATCTAAGGGATTTCCATTCATCACCTTCTAAGTTCAAAAGGTGCATGGTTAAGATGTCTTTTTTGTGGTGGTATAATCCATGTCCTTTGAAGTAAGAAAAGTCCTTCAGCATGATATGTTTGATGATTACTGGATCGATGGGGATGTATAGAGGTTGTAAGAACATGTAAATACCAGCATGTTTTAGGTTATGAGCTTTTAGAAAACGGTATCTCTCCAGAAATATCTCAAATTTTGATTTTTCGCCTATTAGGTCCTTCCTGGCATTTCCAAAGAAAAATTCAGGTTCAAACTGGTACACTCCGCGTCTTTTCCAGTAATTTAATCTCCATTTAATGTAAATAACACAGGAAACTATCACTAGAATTATGTAAAATATCATTTCAAAACACGAATAAAATTATAGGAACTTGAATACTGCAAATTCTCACATTAGTTATATTGTTGCTATTTATATAAATAAAATAAGTTTAAAATAGCTTGAATAAGGATTGTTATTACGTCATCAGATAAATATTACTAAGGTTAAAAAACAATTCGTTGCGAAGCTAGAGAAATACTGCATGATAAATAAAAAACTTGAATTTTTTATAACGTTTATCTTAGCGAATGATAAAGTTTGTCTGTAGTTTGTTAATTATTATTAAATAGTATCAAAGTCAAGTGTGTGTTTAAAAAAATTATATTATGAAAATCATTCTCGAAATTGTTTTAAAAATATAGATATTATACATTACCTTGAAGATTTTGATTAATAATTAGAGAATTTTTGCTTGTTTTACTAAAAAATTATCATATTAGATAAATTTAGCACCATTGATAATTGATATAACTGATGTACCAGACCAGAACCATTTAGAGATTTGGAGAACTAACCTTAAGGTTTTTAATTATTAACTAGCGTGTACCCGCGACTTCGTTCGTGTCGAATTAATCATTTGTAATGGTGATGATAAAGCAAAGCAAGAAAATCCATTAACATACAAACTGGATAAAATTTTCTCGCATTTATGTCAGCATGAGAAAAAACAATCTGTGAAAAAAACAAACCCCTCCTTATCGAACCTCTACACCCTACAGTCAATCCGTTTGCCAAAAATCAGCTTTAAACGTCAAGCAGTTTAAGCACAATCGTGATTACTCGAGGTCATATTTTATGAAGCACCCTGTATAAATTTTTAGAAAATCTTAAAATATGTAAAAAACAAAATAAAATATACGTGTTTAAGCGCTTTTTTCGGAAACTTTTAAATAAAAAATATCGTAATATTTGAGGGGTGGTTTCACCCCCTTGGAACTGGAATTTCGAAAAATCTCTTCTTATCGAACCTCTACACCCTAGAATCAACCTGTATGCCAAAATTGAGCTTCTTACGTTGAGTGGTGTGAGCAGGATTGTGATTAATCAGTGAGGCAGTCACTTAAGGATTTTATATATTAGTATAGATTTAGGATATATATGTAAATATAAAAAAAATAATCAGTTAATCACAAATACCCAAAATATTATTTGCAATTAGAGTTATGGTCCTTATAATTTAAACTTTGGATACGTTGAGCCAAACATCTCCTTTGATATTAAGAACAAATATGGCTTCAGGATCTATCTCTATAGGAGTTTTAGTTCTGCTATTCAGTGTATGTTTGAAATTCCTGAGTAGGGCTATAAGGGCCAGCTTAGTTTGAAGAACACCAAAACGAAGACCTAGAAAAGAAAAATTGAAAAGTAAATACCTACTATTCTTTATAATACATATCAATGGATCAATGGAGTTCATATCTATTAGACATATCTATGATTCTATTTTACTCGTGCTAATTTCTTAAGCCTGGATATTCATAATCGTATTCTAAAAAACTGTGTCTTTGTAAAATAATTACCTATACACATTCTTGGTCCTTCTCCAAAAGGTATATAGGCAATATCCGGTCGTTTTGCCTTATTTTCGGTACTGAAATTTTCTGGATTGAATTCCTCGGGATTGGGATAAAATTCTGGATCTCTGTGAAGTCCCCAGACAGGTATAATTACTCTAGTACCTTTCTCGATGACCACTTCCGTTCCAGGAACTTTGTAAGTCTTCGTACATCTTCTAGGTATAACAGCACCAGGGGGAAATTTTCTTAAAGTTTCTGAAATATAATGCCGCATCAGTATCAGATTTGTATCTGTTCTGTGGTATCAGTAAGTAAACAGTGATTGATGCATGATCCTTGGAACCTCTTATATAATGCTTAATATAAAAATCAAATTCTTAATATAAAACACGAAACGTCGGTTTGAAAATCTGATAACACCATCTGATAAAATAAAAAAGAGGAACGAGAAACATTTATTTTGTTATGTTTATTCAGAGTCATAGAAAAATAAAAGTGAAATCGCGAATAATCAGTTTTTTTCAACAATCTATTCTAGCTTCTGAGATCTCAACGAGGAGGCTCAAATTTAGGACACTCTGTACAAGAAACTTGTATTTTTGGATAATGCCATTTTTAGTTATGGTTATGACATACCGTTGACAATTTTATCCAAATATTCCATTTCCATAACAGCGTCACAACAAAGATCTCCACCATGCTTTCCCAGAACACTCCTAATTTCATCTCTCAACTTATTCTGAATTCCTTCATTCTGCGCAAGTTCCAACATGGCGAACATCGCCGTCGTACTTGACGTCTCAAACCCAGCAATGAAAAATATAAAACACTGAGCGATAATCTCGTTATCAGTCATCGTTTTGTTGCGTTTTAGTTCCAGCAATAACTGAAGAAAATCACTTCGAGATATACTGTTTTTTTCTCTGTATTGAAGAGTTTGTGTCACTAAGTCACTGAAAAACTTTGAGGTCTTATATCCATTGCTTCTAAGTCCTAGATTTGCCAATAGTCCAGCAGGGAAAGTTTCGATCAAGAAGAATTTTAGTAATCCTGGATAAAAAGCCTCCATGCCAACTCGAGTGAATTCGTTATCAGGATCTTCCATAGAGTTTGCTTCAACTCCAAATCCACAACTCGCTATCACATCACTAGTGAATCTCCTCATCATATCTTTGATATTTATTGGTTCATTTTCTGATGAATATGAATGGATTATTTTTTCTAAAATCGTAGTTTTATCCAGTAAAATCTGGAACATTGTCTTTATTTTTAATGAAGAAAACGATGGGGTTAGTTTAACTCTCAATTGTTTCCAAGCCTCGCCTTCTATGTTAAAGAGGTTCATGCTAACTATGTCTTTTTCATGATGGTACATTCCGTGATTTTCAAAGTACGAAAAATCTCTTTGAAGAATGTTTTTAATAATTTGGTGATCAACAGGAAGATACCAGGGATCGAGAAAAGCATACATCCCACATTGTTTCCGATTCACTGATTTTATATAAAGGTATCTATCCCTAAATACTTCAAATTTCGATACAGAACCTAGCACTTCATTCCGGGTATTTCCAAAAAAGAATTCTGGATCTAACTGGAACAATCCTCGTCTTTTCCAGTAATTCAACCGCCATTTTACGTAAATCACAAACACTAAACTCACCAAAGGAATGTAAACCAATAACATTTTTAATATGTTTTACACATCTTTAAATATAAATGTTTTTATGTTGAATAATGCATGACTGTTAATTGTTGCTATTTATATTTGTTATCTATATGTATTTATTTGTTTAATAAACCTAATGCACTAAGGAAAAATAATCTTGGATTGTAAGAATAAACGCAATGTCGAAACAGAAAACAACATACCAGGAGAAGTCAATAAGTTATTACAATCTCTGTCAATAAAGGGCAATCATAGGGTTCTTGCATAAGTTCATAGTAATTGCATTGTACCGTTATGCCTCAATCCAATATATTACTTGTTGGATTACTTGTCAGCCACCATATCTACATGATTTAGCTCTGTATAACTATTGATTTGAAAGTGGTATACCGGGTGACGCATCGACGTTGGAGACATAGGAAATCACATAGGTTTTTTAATGCCTATTTAATTTTTTTGATGTGTTGTGTGTCAGTTATTAAATAAAATATCTTCTTAGACCGACATTGTCTTTAATGTTGATATTTTATACAACATTATAGTCAGATGCAGGTATCACTGATTCGTTCTGAGAAGTTCATATTTGAAAACTGTCAGTGACACCAGTCTGATACAATATTAGTTCTAGAAAATATTTTATTTCATATGTTTTTTTCTTTATGTCATAATTCGATTTGTACAAAAGTATTTTTATGGCTTCAAAAAGTCGAGTTACAGAACCACTAACACCGACTATTATTAATACCAATTAAATAATAATTATATACCAATTCAACTATGATAAAATAGAGCAATTATGAGACTTCTCCTCGTATTATTATGGTAATTAGTTTTTATTTCAATAAAATTTGCAGTATTTAATGTTAAAATAAGTTAATTATTTCATTTTTTAATCGACACAAATATAAATGTATGTAATTTTACCACAAATCCGAATATATGTTTTTAATAAAATAATTAATTACACTGCCCTCACGTGTATATCTTTAATGTAGACTCATATATTTTATTGAAAGGATAGGTTGGTATTTTCCTTGTATTTAAATACCAATTTTAACTGATTGAACTAATTTGGTTACATGTTGGAGAAATATTTTTAATAATCGTAATGATTTAATTATGATGTTAATTGGAACCAGGGATTGATTTTATTATTTTTAATTTCCTAATTCACTTTTATTACTAGCTGTGTTAATTTCCCCACGTGTTACAACAATTATTAATTATTGGGTGTTTATATTTTATAATGAGTTAACCAATTGATAAATTTATTCTCGTGCAGTGTACCCATCCTCCGCTACTGAAGTTATTTCCATAGTTATTGATGATTGAAAATGATAATTGATTTGAAAATAGAAACGCGTTTTAATTTTTAAGAAAAAAGTAAACTATATTTTCATATTATTTTTTTTTAAACGGTATGGCAATTTTTAAAAGTATAAACGGGATTAACCATTTTAGATCAAGCAAAATCTTTTATGAAGAATGCATTTTTCTCAAAAGTTAATACCTTATAAAAACGTTTTTCCGCCTGTAAATACAATTCGGGGACATACAGTATATAAAATTAAACTTATTCTTTATTCTGAGATAAAAAAAAACGGCCAATGAGTCGCAATGGGAAAATAACATTATGACAACATGATATACAGGGTGGTCCGAACTGTATTCCGAAAACTTCGGCAGCATATTCTGCAGATAAAAATAAGTAAAAAAGATCGTATAAATGCATGTCCTAAAATGTTTAGTTTCGGAGATACAGGGTGTAGAAATTTCATTTTTATTTCGATTTTTTTCAAATAATTTCTGAAATAACGTCAATATATGGATGAAAATTGGTGTATGGGAGTTTTTTGACATGAGAAATTTGGATTTTGATGTCAATCTGCCTCCTACTTGTAGAGGGCGCTTGTTGATAGCACCTACGTATTTTTTAACTGGTTTGTAGAGTAATAACATTTTATCCGTCCCTGTATAAAACTACTGAGTTAGAATATGCATTTACGAAGTTCTTTTACGTAAAAAATGTCTCTTGGTAAAAATTGCTACGAGTATGGTTCTCGAGATATTTCGAATCTAAATTATCAATACCTGTCATCATTGACATACATTAAATATGTACGAGTCATGTTGATATCAAAATCAAATTTATCACATCAAAAAACTCCCAGACACCAATTTTCACCCAAATATTGAAATTATTCTGAAAAAATAGAAATAAAAATGATATTTCTACAACATCTCTGAAACTAAGTATTTTAGGATATACATGCATTTATACGAACCTGTTTATTTATTTTTATCTGCAGAATATGCTGCCGAAGTTTCTGGAATACAGTTCGGTCCACCCTGTATATCATGTTGTCATAATGTTATTTTTCCATTGCGACTCATTGGCCGTTTTTTTTTATTTCAGAATAAAGAATAAGTTTGATTTTATATACAGTATGTCCCCGAATTGTCTTTACAAGCGGAAAAACGTTTTTATAAGGTATTAACTTTTTGAGAAAAATGCATTCTTCATAAAAGATGACACCTGTAAAAAAAGTAATAAAAAATAAAACCTAATAGATTTTGCTCTAGTTTTTGGTGGGGGTGGGGGGTTGGTAAGGGGGTTTTGGGGAGGGTTAAAAATTTAAGAAAATCGTAACTCAAAAATTGCAATAGCTAGCGAAACGCGGTTTTTATATTTGATACATACCATTAACAACTTTATCCAGATAATCCATTTCCATAACAGCTTCATAGCAAAGATTCCCATGTTTTTTCAAGACGCTCCTAATTTCTTCTCTCAATTTATTCTGAATTTTCTCGTTCTGAGCGAGCTCGAACATGGCAAACATGGACGTTATACTCGACGTTTCAAATCCAGCAATGAAGAACAAAAAACACTGAGCGATAATTTCGTTATCAGTCATATCTTTATTGCTTTTCATCTCAAGCAATAACTGAAGAAAGTCGCTTCTGGACAGGTTATTTTTTTCTCTATACTGTATAGTTCCAGTCATAAAATCCATAAAGAACTTTGTGGTTTTACGTCCGTTCATTCTCATTCCCAAATTGGCCAATAGCCAAGCGGGAAATGTTTCTATGAGAAAGAATTTGAATAAACCTGCATATAAGAAATCCATGGCGGTTTTCGTAAAGTCGTTATCAGGATGTTCCATTGAGTTCGATTCAACGCCAAATCCACAACTTCCTATTACATCGCTAGTAAATCTTCTCGTTATTTCTTTAATATTCATTGGTTGGTCGCTAGATGAGTATGAGTCTATCAATCTTTCTAAAATAACATACTTATCTAGTAAAGTTTGAAACATGGTTTTTATTTTCATCGAGGAAAATGATGGAGTTAATTTAACTCTGAGTTCTCTCCACGCCTCACCTTCTATGTTAAAGAGGTTCATGCTAACGATGTCTTTTGGATGATGGTACATTCCGTGACTTTCAAAATGTGCAAAATCGTTTTGAAGTATGTTTTTAATTATGTTATGCTCTATCGGAATATACCAGGGATCCACAAAAGCATACATCCCGCCATGTTTTTGATTCAACGACTTCAGGTACCTGTATCTTTCCAGAAATACTTCGAATTTTGGGGCGGAACCTAGTACTTCGTGTCTCGTATTTCCGAAAAAGAATTCTGGTTCTAATTGGAATAAGGCTCGTCTTTTCCAATAAGTCAACTTCCATTTTACGTAAAACAGGAACAAAAAACTCACTAAAAAACCGTACACTAGTAACATACTGATTTTGGTGTTTAATGTTTGCTTCTAAAATTTCTTTTCAAATATACAAATGTGATTATTATTACTTTCGTTTTTATAGGCTATCTCGGAACAGGTACAAAACTACAGGGGCATCTCTATAAATAAGCTGTTATAAAATCCATTTGCACCAATAGTAAGTTTTTAGTAATGTCCCTAAATAAATAGAGTACACTGGAGACATAATGGTAGATATTTGTGACATGTTGGCATGTGACATTCCATTATCAAGGTAAGTTCATAACCAAGGTTAGAAACGAAATATATAGTCCAAGAGCTAGCAACGTTTTCGAGAAATTATTTTAAGACGTCTGGCTCTGATATATCTTTTACTATGCTCTCTGGAACAGCATGCGGCCCGTCTGGCTGCCGATACCCGTTGCGTTCACTATTGCGCATCGAGACATATTCGATTTATATTCAATACTAGAATTTAAAGGACTAATAAAAATATAGGATCTTCTTTCAATGCGCAGTAGGGAACGCAACGTTTACCGGCAGCCAGACGGGCCGCATGCTGTTCTAGAGAGCATAGTAAAATATATATCAAAGAGCCAGGCGTCTTAAAAGTGTTTCCGACGTTGCTAGCTCTCTAAATTATTTCTCTAGCTTTAGCGCGCTTTTACACACACCGGCAAAATCGATGCCGGTGCCGGTCCTGAAATCCGATAAAATTACGACTATTTTATCAGATCTGAGCAAATACAATAGAGTTAAATACAACTGGCGGAACCGGCGCCGGCTTTGCACACGTGCAAAGTTGCATTTAATTCCATTGTATTTGCCGGTCCACAACTATTTTAGCGGATCTGAGTATATGTGAAGGAGCTAATTTATTTATATTGCAATCGATTTCAGCACCGGCATCGGCAGATGCCTAGAGTTGTAGTGCTGTAACCTTTATTGTAACAGAGGAAATTGCTGAACTATATCTATTCATACGTCGATAAAATAATATTGACTTGACCCCGTATTAATAAAATGTATACACTGTAAGTATATTTAATACGTTAATTATTTCGTGCTTTAATTGATACATTTAGAACTAAAAATATATTACAAAAAAATACAAGAAACGTACAATTTATGCAATAATTACTATCTTTAGTGCTATAACCGTTTATAGTTGACTAATAATTACTTTTTATTAATTTATAAATCCAAAGAGTGAGTATTTTTCCTTGTTTTCTTGTATTATCTAAAAAAAAATACTCTCAAATTTGTATTTATTAATTTAATGATTTAAGTATACAATTAATTGCGCCAGGAAAATTTTTTAAATATACCTAATTAATATATTTTTAATTACATAAGTTATTGATTTTTTGAAATAAAAATCGTGGTGACTTCCGCAGTAATATTGTGTATGTAAGTGATGAAGAAATATTTTGTTCGTAGTTTTTTTCTTCCCTTTAATTCGTTCAAAAGAACTCAAAAAATCATATAAAAGATGGTAACTATTTTTGTCTTTCCTTATTTACCTATGAAAAGAATACTGTATTTTTTATTAGACGAATGAGATAAAAAAACGTTAACGATTTTTTGTAGTTAGTATAGTAAAAAATATATCTTATTATTTATGTTAGATTTTTTATTGATTCAGATTTTATTGACATTGAGCCAGACATTTCCCTTAACGCTAATAACAAAAAATGCTTCTGGATCAATTTCTACAGGCGTTTTCGTTCTCCTATCCAGGGTGTATCTAAAATTCCGTAGCATGGCAATGAGAGCAAGCTTGGTTTGAAACATACCAAGTCTAAGACCTGAAATACAATATCACAATTAGATAAAATATAATGTGTTGCTTAATGACATGTCAATATTTTTAAGGGGGTGATTCGAGGATATATTCTAAGAAAAAATGTTTAAAAAAAATAAAACAGTACATTTAATACTCTCATACTCTTTAATTATCACTTTTAAATAAATCATACCTATGCACATTCTAGGTCCTTCTCCAAAAGGTAAAAACGTCATATCCGGTCTCTTAGCCTTATTTTCAGCACTGAAATTTTCTGGATTGAATTGTTCAGGATTCGGGTAAAAATCTGGATCTCTGTGAAGTCCCCAGACAGGTATAACTACTCTAATACCTTTTTCGATAACCACTTCAGTTCCTGGTACTTTGTAGGTCTTCGTGCACTTTCTGCGTATAACTGCAGCTGGTGGAAATATTCTTAAGGTTTCTGAAAGAGTATAAGTAATTAATAAACTATACAAAGCTGTCCTAAAAAAAACAGACATCCTGCACAGTTTTCCGAGAAAAAAAGTTCGTATAAACTAAGCATGTCCTAAAATGCTTAATTTCGGAGATACAGGGTGTAGAAGTTTCATTTTTATTTCGACTTTTTCAAATATTTTATGAAGTAACATCAGTATTTGGATGAAAATTGGTGTCAATGTGGTGAAATTTGATGTTGATGTCAATATTACTCCTACTAGTAGAAGGCGCCACCTACATATTTTTTAACTAGTTTGAAAAGTAATCACTTTTTGTTCGTACCTATATAAAACTACTGAATAAAAAAATATACATTTACGACGTTTTCTACGTAAAAAAGGTCTCTTGGTAAAAATCGATACCAGTCATGTTTATCGAGATATTTGGAATCGAAATCATCAATACCTGTCATCATTGTCTAAATTAAATATGTTGACTAAATAGTTATATATAAGACTGAAATAATAAATTTGAAATGATTTTGTGCCAAAAGTTCAACCGAAACTGTTTTATCATCGTTTTTTTTTGCAGAAAAATTTATCTTCTTACGACGCCGTCTCCTTTCGAAGGTTGGTGATCCAAATAGCTAACGTCATTCTAGATACAGCCATACGAAATATGTCGATTGATGAGCAACCAAACCATCTACGAATGTCCTCTAGCCAGGAATTCTGGCGTCTGCCGATAGATCTTTTGCCCTGGACTTTGCCTTCAATTATTAATCTGAGAAGTTCATACTTTTTACCCCTCATTATGTGGCCTATGTAGCGTGTTTTTCTTTCTTTGATGGTAAGCATGAGTTCTTTCTGTTTTCTCATTCGATTAAGAACCTCCACATTTGAAACTCTTTGGACCCATGATATTCTTAATATACGGCGGTAAATATACATTTCGAAGGCATCTAGTTTTTTTTCTAACGATATGTCAAGAGTCCAACTCTCACACCCGTACAGGAGAACTGAAAAAATGTAGCATCTGACCATGCGTACCCGTAGCTCCAAACTCAAATCTGACCTTGTGAAAAATTGTCTCATATTTATAAATGTTTTTCTAGCCTGTTCTATGCGGCTTCTAATTTCTTTCTTCGGGTCGCATTGATCATTTACAATACACCCCAAATACTTGTATGAAGACACTTGCTCTACTGGGTCACCGTTGATATCCAGGTGAATCTGCACAGGTGTTTTGGTGAATGCAAGAACCTTCGTTTTTGTGGTATTTATGAGGAGACCGCAGTTTTCACTATGCCGAACTAATTCATTCATTAGCCTCTGCAAATCTTGTTCATTCTCGGCCAGCACAACTGTATCGTCGGCATACCTGATATTATTGATCACTTTCCCGTTAATCTTAATTCCACATTCGATTCCTTCTAGAGCTTCTTTGAAGATAGCCTCTGAATATATATTAAATAAGAGCGGTGACAGCACACAGCCCTGTCTTACACCTCGTTTAATCGTGATTTCTTCTGACGATGTTCCTTCAATTTTAACCACTGCGTTTTGCTGCCAGTAGAGATTTGTAATCAATCGAATTTCTTCTCTATCTATTCCGGTTGTTTTGAGGACTTCTATAAGTTTTTGATGGTTAACGCAGTCAAAGGCTTTTCTATAATCTATAAAACAAGCGATTACATTGACATTCATGTCTCTGCAACGCTGAGTGATAACGTTTAATCCGAATAACGCCTCACGAGTACCTAGGCCACTGCGAAATCCAAATTGAGTGTCGTCTAGTTGGTATTCGCATCTTTTATAAATTCTGGTGTGAATTATTCTGAGAAATATTTTGAGGACATGGGACATCAGACTTATCATGCGGTATTCATCGCAGTTCGAAGCGTGGGTTTTCTTTGGAAGGGTAATAAATGTCGAGCGCAGCCACTCCGTTGGGAAGTTTCCGGAATACAGTTCGGACTACCCTGTATATTTATAATTATTTTATTTTTGTTTCCTAAATTATTTTGATTAAAAGAAAACGTGACTAAAATTTTGTTTAGTATGATCTTTATCTCTTTATATCCTATATTTACTTCGTACTTAATATTATTTTATAATAAATATTACATACCATTGACAACTTTATCCAAGTACTCCATTTCCATGACAGCATCATAACACAATTTATCATCGTACTTTTTCAAGACCTTATTAATCTCATCTCTTAATTTATTCTGAATCTCTTGGTTCAAGGCAAGCTCTAACATAGCAAACATCGCTGTGGTGCTGCTAGTCTCAAACCCGGCAACAAAAAACACAAAACACTGAGCTATAATTTCGTCCATGGTTATCGTTTTATTTTTCTTCAACTCCAACAACAATTGAAGAAAATCGTTCCTATATATGTTGTTCTTTTCTCTGTATTCTACGGTTTGTGTAACTAAATCGTTGAAAAACTTTGAAGTTCTTCTTCCGTTACTTCTCAGACCTAAGTTAGCTAAAATTCCACTAGGGAACGTTTCCATTAAGAACATTTTTAACAGTCCTGGATAAAAAGACTCTACACCACTTCTAGTAAAGTCATTATCAGGGTCTTCCATAGAGTTAGCTTCAATTCCAAATCCACAACTTGCTATGACATCACCGGTGTACCTACTAGCAACATCTTTGATATTCACTGGTTCACTGCTGGATGAATAAGACTCAATAAGTTTCTCCAATATCACAGCTTTTTCAACTAAAATCTGGAACATATTTTTTAGTTTAGATGATGAGAATGAAGGGGTCAATTTTGTTCTTAGTTGCTTCCACTCATCACCAATCAGATTAAAGAGGTTCATGCTGATAACATCTTTGGGGTGATGGAACATTCCATGGTCGTTGAAGTGGGTAAAATCATTTTGGAAGATATTTTTGATGATCGTTGGATCGACAGGAAGGTATAGTGGTTCTATAAATCCATATAATCCTCCATGTTTTAGGTTTTTAGACTTCAGACGGTTGTATCTTTCTAGAAACATCTCAAATCCTGACACTTTTCCTAATATTTCTTTTCTGGTGTTTCCAAACAAGAATTCTGGTTCGAATTGATATAGTCCATGCCTTTTCCAATAGTTTAAGCGCCATTTTACAAAAACCACGAATAATATAACTATTAAAACAACGCAGAACAACCACATTGCACAACGTTAAACGCACTTTCACTAACAATAAATGTTTTTGATATTGAGTTCTATTTATATACGCTATCTTTACTTATTAAACCAAGCAGATCATACAATAAAATAATAATTGTTTCATAATATTGAATTATGAATACAGAAAATGAATAATTAAATAAAAATAATAAATAAAGTTTTATTGAACTTATCTTTATTTTTATAAAATTGATGTAGTATGCGAATACTATTTATAAAATATTTACAGTCAAGTTGTGTAATATTAATTATAGATAAATATTTATTTATAACATTTTCAAGATAAGATATTTATATTATTTTTTTACACAGGCAGACGACATCCTAGAAATGAGAGAAAATACAATTTTTACGTTATAATTAAAAAGACATTTATCAACTGTCATTTTGCCAACAACTTTCTAATATTCTCTCATTGAACAGACTATACCTACTAGTTAGTTTAGGAGCATTAAAAAATATATAAATTTATTTTAATAGACTCAAAAACAAAAATTAAAAAAAATATTATATGTATTTTTTTGGAATTTAAGTTTTAAATATTTGCATATACAGGGTGAGTCTGCATATAGAGGCTATAAGATTTTTTTAATCGAATAATCAAGTAACTTGGTTATTTTTGACTTATTTGAAAAACGGTAAAGAGAAAATAGGTTTATTTTATCGAGATCTACAATAATAAAGTAAATCAATAGCCTTAAAATATTTGCACTTATTTAAGATTCGCCTTGTATATTGTACAGTACACAATGGATAGTAATTATTACAAAATGCGTAACTTATTTCTAATAATCTTGTTAAGAGATTCAAATTTTAGTGACATCGAGCCAAACATCTTCTTTTATTTTAAGTGTGAATATAGCTTCAGGGTCTATCTCTATAGGGACTTTGGTTCTGCCATTCAGAGTGTATTTAAAATTCTTTAGTAATTTTATCAGAGCCAATTTCGTTTCAAGAAGCCCAAACCGTAGTCCTGAAATCAAATTAAAACAGAGATTAGTGCATAATATGAACATGCTGTGTCTATCTAAAATATTTAATTTCTGACAAGAAAGATCATACAAAATATTGGAAAAAAATATTAAACTAATATAATGGTTGAATATATTATGTATCAATAGAATACAAGACAGGAATCTTAAAACATATGATAATACAAAAAAATAATTGAAAAAAAAAACCAGCCTAACATTATGCTCCTGAAAAGGATATTAATAATATAATAAAATAGATAAAAACATTTTAAACCTAATTCTGGAATGTTTTTTTAATAAATTAATCTTTAAATTGTGCATACCTATACACATTCTTGGTCCTTCTCCAAAAGGAATGAAAGCCATATCCGGTCTGTTCGCCTTGTTTTCAGCATTAAAATTTTCCGGATTAAATTGTTCTGGATCAGGATAAAATTCCGGATCTCTGTGAAGTCCCCAGATGGGAATGATTACTCTAGTCCCTTTTTCTATTATTACGTCGGTCTCTGGGACCCTGTATGTTTTGGTGCAGTTTCTAGGTATAATTGGACCTGGTGGATATTTTCTTAATGTCTCTAAAATCAAAATACTATATAATGATAATGGTAAACTATCTAAGAGCATGGTAGTGCCCTGCCAAGTTATGCAAAGCTATACCATACTTTTCTCAAAGCAACCCCTGTGTCATTGGCACTTTTGACCACTCTGTAACTTTTTTGTGGATAAATCAAGACTCCTTCATTTTTTGTGATCAAGAGGACATACAACTACACTCACCTTAACAGAATATGTTGACATACAATTATAAATACAATTAACTACATACTATAACATACCATTCAAAACTTTATCCAGGTAATTCATCTCCATCACGGCATCATAACAAACATTTCCATCATATTTTTCCAAAACTTCTTCTATTTTATCTCGTAGTTTATTTTGAATTTCCTGATTCAGTGCTAATTCCAACATGGCAAACATCACAGTAATGCTAGTTGTTTCAAATCCAGCAGCAAAAAATCCGAAACACTGAGCAATTATTTGGTCGTCAGTCATTTCCTGGTTTTGCTTCAATTCCAGCAATAATTGCAGAAAATCATTTCTGAAAACCTTGTTTGTTTCTCTGTACTGAATGACCTCACTTATCAAGTTGTTAAAGAGATTATTAGTGTGTGCTCCATTTGCTTTGAATCCTAGATTTGCTAGAATCCCACTAGGAACAACTTCCATAAGGACAAACTTCAATAATCTCGGATTGAATGTTTCTACGCCACATTTCATAAATTCTTTGTTTGAATTTTTCAGCGCATTTGTTTCAATTCCAAACCCACAGCTTGTTATCACATCAATAGTGAATCTACTAGCTACATCTTCAATATTCAGCGGTTCGTTCCTGGACGAATAAGAACCTATTACTTCTTCTAAAACCTCAGCTTTATCAACAAAAATCTGAAACATACTCTTCAATTTTGAAGAAGAAAACAACGGGGTGAGTTTAGCTCTGAGATTTTTCCAATCTTCATTAACTAAGTTAAACAGGTTCATACTTATGTTATCTTTTGGATGACAATACATTCCGTGATCATTAAAGTAAGAAAAATCTTTTTGAAAAATGCTCTTGATGAGCTTCAAGTCCACAGGAAGATACCAGGGATCGGTAAAGCAGTACATACCACCGTGTTTTTGATTTAACGATTTTAGATGCCTGTATCTTTGCACAAAAACCTCGAATTTTGATGTGCGACCAAACAGATCTGTTCTGGTGTTTCCAAAAAAGAATTCTGGGTTCAGCTGATACAACCCTCGTCGGTTCCAGTAATTCAACCGCCAGTTTACGTAAAATACAAAAACTAAAACCACTAGAACTATATAAACTAGTATCATTATAATCGTCTTGTGTGGTACTGATTTTTTTCGAAATATCACTACAAATAAAAGACGTTTTTCTTTAAATATGTGAAGATTAAACGGAATTTTTACATTTATTTATTAAGATTATTTATAACTATTTGTTTAAGCTACTTGGGTTAACTACCTAAAGTAAAATTAACCGTCAAGCTAATACGTACAAACCAATATCAATTTTAACGTTTATTATATACATTTTTCTAAACTTTATGAAAAATAAAAATATCAGATTAGTTTTCTTTGAATATGAACATTACTTTAAGTATACGTTATTTATAACTCTTTGTCTTATAGTCTTATAGCTAGACTACACAAATATATACATACACTGCTATTCTTTATTTAATTTTCCAATTATTTAAAAAAAAATCGTAAATAATTAGTTGTACAATAATCTATGAAAATTCTTGTCGCCTCAGCCTGAATATCTGTTGCTAATTTACTTATTTCGTTTTGAGCCATTTCTGGCTCCAATTCAATCAGCAATCGACACGAAAAAGAATTAAAAAATATTAACTCAAAACTGATAATTAAAGAGACAGCTATAGGAGACAGCTTTATTTATTTGTCAAATTACATAGAAAGCAACGCCAAACCAGCACAATATTTTTTCTACTCGTAATAAATTCCTTGAAATAATAATGTTTGAATATTTTTTAAAACGTAACTCTCTATGGAAAAAATATTGTTTTATACACGACGATAAAATTGCATTATCGGCTCCCGAAATTAATTCAATCCAAATCTTTTGCAATTCGTTTTTAGATCTTTCAAGGTAACTTATATAAAAAATTCAAGTTTTTACCGAAACTTCCTAATTGAAGGTATTTTTCCTTGGACTAAGTGGAGACGAATCCAACAAATGAAAGATCATTAAAATGGGTCCAACCGTTTTTGAGTTACAGATGGTACGAGGCATGTTTTTTAAGTAAGTACCGTTTTGGAATTAAAAAAAACGTGCAAAGATATCGCAATAATTTTATTTTTACATGAAAGCCTGTACCTTAATCTGCTTTTCTACATAATTTCCGTGAATATTGAGGCACTTGTCATAACGTGGCACCAGTTTTTCAATACCCTCCTCATAAAATTCTGCCGCCTGACTGGTTAACCACTGTATCACAACTGTTTTGACTTCGTTATCGTCTTGAAGACGCTGACCGCCCAGGTGTTTCTTCAGGTGCAGGAATAAATGGTAGTCACTGGGCGCCAGATCAGGGCTGTATGGAGGATGATCTAGAGTTTCCCATTTAAAAGATTTGATGAGATCTTTGGTCCGATTAGCCACATGTCGACGGGCATTGTCATGCAGCAAAACGATACCCTTACTCAACTTGCCACGTCTTTTGTTTTGGATTGCACGGCGCAGATTGTTCAATGTCTCACAATAAGATGCTGCATTGATTGTCTCATTACGAGGCAGAAACTCCACTAGCAATACTCCTTTTCTGTCCCAAAAACTGTGCACATGATTTTCCGGGCAGAAATTGTTTGCTTAAACTTCACTGTTTTGGGTGATGATGAATGTCGCCATTCCATGGACTGTTGTTTCGATTCTGGTGTGACGTAGGCCACCCATGTTTCGTCACCAGTAACAATTTTGTCTAAAAAATCTTCACCTTCATTGTGGTACTGCTCAAGGAAAGTCAATGCACTGCCTAGACGTTGGGTTTTGTGCAAATCCGTCAACATTTTCGGAACCCAACGTGAACACAATTTCCGGTAATTCAAGTTTTCGGGCACAATGCGATACAAAACACTACGAGAACATTGAGGAAAGTAGTCGCACAATGATGAAATTGTAAAGCGTCTGTTTTCTTTCATCTTTTCGTCCACTTTCTGCACCAAATCTTCATTAACAACCGAAGGACGCCCACTCCGTTCTTCATCATGCACATTTGTGCGGTCATCTTTAAATGCACTCACCCATTTCCTGACCATTCCATCACTCATAATGTTTTGTTCGTAAACTTCACAGATCTCACGATGAATATCGATCGGTTTTACGCCTTTAGCACTAAGAAATCGTATGACAGCCCGTACTTCACAATCGGCGGGGCTTACGATTGTCGGAGGCATCTTAACACTCAATAAACAACGTATACAATGAAGAATCAGACTGTACTGGCGTCTGTGCATAGACAAGAGATGTAGGTAACAAGCGCGCATGCGCGGAACGCCGACCGTAGCGCTGCGGCGGCGGAATCGCAAAACGGTACTTACTTAAAAAACATGCCTCGTATAACTGACTCGACTTTGTTTTATTTATTAGATAGAAAAATAATAAAATAAAATAAAAGTTTATACAAAAATAGAGTTTTAATAATACAATTTGTTTTTATTATAAATATATGATAAACTAATAATACTAGATAATAAATAAGCTAAATTTTAGCTCAAAAATAGACACATCACTATATTATATACAACAATGATTTTCTAATTAGATAATTTAACATTTTTATTTAATCAGATGTATGTAGTTTATCAATAAAACAATTTTATTGATTTCCTAAAGTTCACTTGCGTTCAACCACACGTCCCCTTCAACAGCCAATATGAAACTGACTTTTTCAAACTTGATGGGAGTTTGAGTTTTGTCGCTTAGGGTAAATCTGAAGTTTCGCAGCAAACTGACCAGCGCAACTTTGGATTGTAACTTGCCAAAACGCAAACCTGGATCAAAAAAAAAATATTCGAATAAAATAATAGTTATTTTTTATACAAGACGATAATGCAATTTTATCGTCTTGTATTTTGGTGATTTTTTAAGCAATTTGTATCTAAATTATTTGACTTTTTAGCACCTTTTTAAATCAAGAATTAAAGTTCTCTATAATGTGAACGAGTAAACTCACCTATACACATTCTAGGTCCTTCTCCAAAAGGTATAAAAACCATTTCGTGGATTTTGGCCTTGTTTTCTGCGTTAAAGTTTTCTGGATTAAATTTATCAGGATTGGGAAAGTATTCTGGATCGTTTTGGATACCCCACACTGGAATCTGAACGTTGGTTCCCTTTTTAATAACCACATCCGTGTCGGGTACATGGTAGTCTTTGGTACATAACCTGGGTATTACAGGAACTGGTGGGTATTTCCTCAGTGTTTCTGAAACAAATTAAAAGAATAAAATAGGGTAAGTTAGTTAGTTAAGTGCTGTTAAGAAGGTGAGTTTTATTGATGTAAATAATAACTCTCCAAAAAATTTTATATGTGTATTTCGCCACTGCAAGAGAGAGAGAGAGAGAGAGAGAGAGGTATTGATTTATAGAGCGCGTCAACAGCGAGGGTTTTTTAGCGCTAAATAATAAGCTTTATTTAATATGAATATGATGTTATTTTAAATTATTTTAAAATAGAAATTAAAGTTTTTTCGTTATGTTGATGCTGTCTAAGAATTCCATAACTTTACTAATCGTCGAAATGTTAAAAGGCGCGAAGATATTCTCATAGGTAACAGCATTAAAGAATCTAGACCTATGGGAGGCACTATTGCCACATTTTAGATAGTGGTCTACTTTAATTTCGAGGAGTAAACGACTTGAACAATGATTTAGTGCCTAAAATCAGAACAAATAGAAAAAAACTATAGTAACATAAGGGTAACATATTCATAGAGCCTCGAGCGGTAAGTATTTCTTCGCTTCTCTGTTAATATTTTGGCAATTCCTTTAATCGAAAAATACAATGAATAGATAATAATGTTTTTATTAAAACCCCACTGCATTTACAAATACTTCTCATTTGTCAGTGGGGTTTATTACGATTAATGTTGCCTAACCAGAATGATTGTAATAACAAAAAGGATCTATTTCTAGATAATAATATTTACGTAAAAGTATTTTTTGTTAAAATATTAAAGATAAAATACGGAGTATGTACTTCAAAATTAAAATATACAAAAAAATATAGCAGTGATGGATCAAATCTAATTATACCGAATGAACGAAAAAAAACGGTGTCATGTTAGCTTGGAAATGACAATCTATGATATTCACCATATACCTTTACATATTTAGTGACGGTGATTTAAACTGGCTAATCTTATCAAAATTTGGATATATAAAAGTATTATCTAATTTTTTTAAATTTGTTAATAATATTTTTAAATAAGTGTACAAAATCGTAGCTCACAAATATTTTACTTTGAGGATAATCTGGATTAGGAAAGAAAGTTGAATTTTTAGTTAAATCTGAAAACATTGAACGATTTATTCTATGGTTATCTGTTATTACGTCTAGAACTCTAAAGCCACATTTTTGAATTAATGTTATGACATTTCTGGTAATTGGTGTCATTTCCGAGCCTTTCATTCTGTGCACAGGTAATAATTTGATTACTTCGCAGACATTTCCAAAAGCCGAACAGATCATAAAAGCTAAAATGGTTGTAGCCAAGGAGTTGTGGTTGGAAGAAACACCTACTAATTTTTTCCCCCTATAATCTAACCTTTTACTTATATATATTTCATCAATTAAAAGGACAGCAACTTTTTCATGGGGTTTTAAAGAGTTCGAGATATAATTTAAGTAATTACATGCAGTTCTGTCATTATCAGTAGAATTAGAATACACAGTAGGGGCGACATCAAGACTTGACGAAAGATATTGAAGATATCTCTTTGCTGGTAAATTTAAATAGTCCCGCAATAAATCGTATGCGCAAGGGGAAACTGTATATAACATAAAAGACATAATTACAGTGTCAGATGAATATCGTTTTTTTCTTTAAAATCAGTAACTTCAATTGATCAATGAACGAGTTTCAATTTTTGATCAATCACGAGTTTTGTGATCCTCTGAACTATCTTCCAACATTTCTGGAGTAATTTTACTACAAGCCTCATTTAAGCAACATAAACCTTTCTCAATTAAACATTTGAATGATTTGTCAACATTGTCATTTGTTGGGGTCCTTGTATCTCATTAACAGATTTTCTAACTCAGACCATCTAAGTTAGTTTCAGATTAAAAGGTAAAATCCAACTTAAATAGATATATTTTAATTCTATTTCATTTAAAAATACTTTAATCACCATATCCTGATTGACTGAAATTTGATTGGCTATCGAAACTGGTTCTTTGCTTAAATTAAGATTACAAAAATGTATTCTATTTGCTGTATTTTCGATATCTGTTACAATTTTTGGTTGTCCAACAATCAGAAATATTAATTTTACTATTATAATTGTGGATTAGATCTTGAAAATTATTAATTATATCTGATGTTTCAAAAATGTAATTTAAATGTTCTTGTCGATCTATAACTTCCTTTCGTCTTTCATCTGGGCTTTTTCTAGGCAGTGGTACTTTTTTAGATAAATATTGAGGTAAATTTGGAAAAATAGAAGGGACAGCTTCAGGCCTTAATCTAGTTTTTGTAGGTATTTTTTTTAAAGTACCATCTGGTAAAAGAAAATTGCCCTCCCTAATAATATCACTTTCAGGAAAATGCAAACCACAAACAACTGAATATTTTGAAGGAGACCAATTTTCCCGTGGTATGGCTTTCAACCACTTACCTCTTAATATATCAGTTTTAGGAATCTGAAATGTAGATACAGATTACCCTCCAGTATTTATAGTTCTTTTATAATTGGATTTACATCCAGGGACACAACAGGTTTTCGTCATTACTTTAAATTAAAATTATACGTATGAACACTTTAAACACAAATAGGTACTTAACTATTTAAATAACAAAAACACCTCTCACATAGACATACAAGTTTAAGTTAACACATAAACACGATTATTTTACAGAATATATAAAATGTTTTTTAATAAAACTTATAACTAGCATATTTGTAACACTTCGCCAAACGGAATATATCCACTTTTTAGTTTATAACACTATAAACTATAATTAAAAAATAATTATAGAACAGGCTTGCAGTGGTTGCAAAAGTTCATGGCGACGTAACGCCATATTAGAACAGTTATTTTTTAAAGTGCCGAACATTTAGTTGTCACGATTTTGTGCAATCTTTTTGTTTATTTATTGGCCTACAGTTTATTTTAATGTTTATAGAAAATAAACTATTTAAATACCCATTAGAAATGTTAGATTTTAATATATTTTAAAAGTATTTCTTAAATGTATGTAATTCAGTTAATGAAAATAAACAATTATTAATAAATTTTTGTTTGTCCGAACATTTAGTTGTTAGGGCTCGTATTTGAAAGGCTGTACAAGGCAAATATCGCGAGTTTTTTAAAATAAAGATGAAATAGTTTATAAGCAATTGCTAACATATAGAATCTCCATCCCAGATAAGATAATTTCCTGTTTACTTTTAAACTAATTATTATTTTTAATTTATTGTAATACATACCATTAAGAACCATCTCCAAATACGTCATTTCCATGATAGCATCATAGGTAATCTTCCCATCGTGCCTCTCCAACACATCCTTGATTTCCGCCCTCAACTTATCCTGAATCTCCTGATCCTGACACAACTCAAGCAAAGCAAACGTTGTCGTGGTGGACGAAGTCTCATAACCAGCAGCGAAAAAGACGAAACACTGCGCAATTATCTCATCTTCTGTGATAGAATCCGCCTTATCTTTTTGATTCTTCATCTGTAACAACAGATGCATGAAGTCCTTTCTGATCACTTTCGATTCCTCCCTGTATCTAATGGTATCCTGCACCGTTTTCGTGAAAAATTCGTTAATCTCTTTAGGAAAAGCGTGAAATCCCAGATTAAAGCATAAATCTAATAAAAATTTTGGAAGGCCGTTCATTACAAACACTCTCCAGGTCGTGGGTTCGAAAACTTTCTTTCCGTACTTACGGAACTCGTTCTCAGCTTCATCTAAACAGTTGCTTTCAATTCCAAACGCACAACTGGCAATTATATCTGTCGTAAACCTTGCTATAACTTCTTTTATATCAAGGGCTTTGTTATTTTTTATGTGACTCCTAACTAGTTTTTCTAAACCAGTAGTTTTTCCAACTAAAGTATCGAACATCAACTTCATTTTACCTGAAGTAAAGGTCGGAGTGAGTTTAGTTCTTAGCTTCCTCCAAGGATCGCCGTACAGTCCGAAAAGGTTCATGGTAAGGTTGTCTTTTGGATGGGAGTTGTCTCCATGGCCCAGAAAATATGGGAAGTCTTTGATGACTATTCTCTTGATAATGTCTAAATCCACTGGAACATATACTGGTTTAATCATCAAGTAGACACCTCCGTGTTTCTGGTTTAGTGCTTTGAGTTGCCTGTATTGTTCGCTAAAGGCTTCGAAAATGCTTGCTTTTCCTAGTAACTCTTTGCGGAAGTTTCCAAAAAGAAATTCGGTGTCAAACTGGTATAAGCCAGCTCTTTTCCAGTAGGATAATTTCCATTTTACGTAAAAAACAAAAACTAGGATGGCTGATATTAAGTACACCAACATTTTGCTGAGAAAGGTGAAAGGAGACTGTTGATCTCGACGGTACTGTTCGACATATTTATAATAGTTGTAAAAACGCAAGTAAGATTCGGTCGTCCTATCGAATCTCGTATATTCGAACGTATCATTATGACAACCACTTTATAATGTTGTTATGTTGTCGGGTTGCAAGTGGATTTGTGATGAATCATTGAATCATTAATAAAACTCGCAAAATATAGATACTCATTTCCTTAAGCAAAATTATAATTAACTCTACAGGGTGTTCCTTAATTATATTCTTAATAATTTATCCTGAGAAAAAAACTACAGCGTATCTCAGAAATAAGTGCAAGTATTTTAATTTGGAGTATAGTTCAACCCCAGAAACACGCCTATGAGGTTTTTTTTTCACAAAAAAAAATTAAAAATTCGGAATGTTTTGAAAAAAAAATGAATTTTTTTTTAGTTTTTAGTATATTTTATAATTTCTTCATAATATGGCAACATAGGTTTGGTTTTTAAATATACTATATATTCTGTTTTTTTTTCTCAGGTAAGATTTCGACAGACGATGACAGAAGAAAAGCAGATGACGTCCCATACCAATCTATTTATTTTACTAAAAAAAGTTTCTAATTATTTTTAAGTTATCTATGGATGGGTTTAAATATAAATCCGTCATGCGTCGTGTCTTGTTGTTTTTAACCAGTTTTATTGGTTTATTTAAAAAATGACAGATCGTATTTCAATTTTATTGGTTTGACGGAACGATGAACGACAAACGGACGCCGATGCGTATGAACTCGCCTTTAGATTTTTGTCATTTTTGACGCTTGTCAAAGTCTTGCCAAATTATAGGTTGTAATTTTGTGTCAACTTTTGTTGAATACCCTGCGTTTTGGAAGATGATGCATTTTGATTCGTATTATTACGTGTGTTTTGTGTCTTTTGAAGTCAAGTGGAGGAAAAATCGAGTGAAAATTAACTGTAGACCCAGAGCACAGTTTATGGTTAATACTCGCTGCCCAGGCAGGAAGTCTTAAACCAATGAAGTTGCCATCGATAAAGTTTGTATACCATTTCGTCGTAGATAAGTGCATCTCGTATAAGGTAGAAGGATCAAACTAAACACATACTAAAAACTGGAGTAGCTGTAAAATATCGACATCACACGATAGGCAAATAATGGATTTTAGTACTGCAGAAAAATAATGTCAAAAGGTACTGGTTTAAAAAAATTAAGATTAAAGTTAATTAATCAACCTTTAAGGTATAAAATTTGGTAGGAGTTATTATTAATAAAATAGTTTGTTTTATTTACCTATGTTGTTTTATTTATTCCTGCGGAATATTACAAATTTGTATTTGTACATAAGTTATATTGAAAATATAATCATAAATGCGGGTAGTTTCATAAAGCTTGAAAGTAAATAATAGTTCTTTTTTATATTTTTTTGGTATGTAGTGTCTTCTTCTTGTTTGTTTTGTATTAACACATACCGTTTTTATTAAATAAAATAACTCGATTACATTTTTTCAGTTTTATACAGTTTTTTTCACAATATTTTGAAGTAATCACTTGTCATCTTGTCAATCAAATTTTAAATATTTTCTGCTATGCGTTCCAGTTGTACCAACTTATTTCTTTGTAAAATAAAATAAACTACTTTGAAATTAAAATGACAGACACATCTATCACTGTCAAGGATCTTCTCGTTGGACAGACTATAGATAATATACGCTGTATACTCTTTTTTTGTTAGATGGAAAATTAAAAATGCTACAGATGCCCGACGTACTACGTACTATTGCCTAACCCTGTAGATACCTAATAGCCTTGTTTATATTATACAAGGCTAATAGTAATTATATGACAATTTTCATTGTACTAGACAGTAATCAGAAATTACTTACTAGTCAAGCAAAATACATAAAATATTTAAAATATTGTAATTAATTTTTAAAATTATCAGTGAGATCTCGCAGGTATATATTTGTAATTCCTTTATTCAAATCATTTTTAACATTATACTTCCATTATAACATACAGTAATTACGAATTGATGGTTAAAAAAGCGCCACAGTAGCCTTGGAGACCACAATCATTTTTAATACTCTCTGGTCGATACTTATACAGGGCGAATCTTAAATAAGTTCAAATATCTTCAGGATTGGTGGATCTCGATAAAAGGAACATATTTTCTCTTTATCGTTTTTCAAATAAGCCCAAAATAATCGAGTTATTTTACTTTAAAAATTAAAAAAACATATTTTCTGCTTAAATTTTGAGAACCATCGAATTTTTGCTGGTATCATCGTATTCTTGCTTGTAAATTTAATTTGCTACATTCATGTTGCCATATTATCAAGTTATTATGTTTTTTTAACTAAAAAATTTAAAAAAAAATTGAAAGAAAACTCATAGATGTGTCGAAATATACCACCCCTAGTTTTTAGTATCTAACTGTCGTCTAGAGAATGACCTCGCTAAAATTATTATCGATTGTGATTCCGTAGCCGTCTTTCACATTGATTTTTTTAGATCATATATTAATGTGGAGATAATCATAATAAATAATTAAATATCATTGTTGATATCTCTTTGTATTATTATTTTTGCCTAGTCTAGCAAATCATCGTGATTCATGAATACGAATCACCTGACTAAATTTCAATGTATTATAATCTCAAAATATTTTATCTCGTTCATTTAAATTCAAAATTGATTTTGTGGTTGGGTATAGATAAGTGTGCGAAATATTGCGAAATATTAATGCTTGTTATTATTGTTACGATAAAAAGATAAACAGAAGGATTGTTTTAAAGTGTTATAGTATTATTATTAGATAATCGGAAATCTGGAAACTATAGAGGTTATTAACTTTTTCAGGGTTGCAAAATATTACAGAAGTAACAGATGCTCTGATGTTGTTGGTTTGCTTAAAATATGTACGCAACTGAATTACAAACCTGTTTACAATAATATTGTATTTTGTACAAAACGAGTAGTGGTTTAAAAGCGATTCGGTGGTAGCTCTGCTATAAAAAATGTCAAGTTGCCGCCATTTATTTATTTACTTCCTGACATTGTCATTCGTTTTGACACTTTAGTTTTGTAGTACGAGTTTTTGGCTTAAAGAAATAGCGTTGTGATACTTTATGCTTAGAAATTTTTACTATAGTCTATAAAATGAATAACTTTGAATTTTGACCGTTATTTTTTACCAACATGTCAAATATAAAATCCCTCTGTCAAAAAAGTTACTGATATTCTTTAAATTGAGTGCCTGAACGAATCAGATAGGTAACTCTTTTTACTTTCATGAAATAGAAAAGGAAAATAATAAAACAAGTGACAGTTCTTCCTCTTCTTGCAAAAATCAACACGAAATGTCATAATTGACAAAAGTAAAATGTCATCAGCTTTTGACACTTCTAAATATTAGACCAATGCCGTCTCTAATAGAACAGCCACGGGCGAGATTTATGACGTCACGCTAGTAGATACTACGGATTAATAAATATGTTGTAGAATACATGGAAAAAATAATTATTCCTCGTATTTTTGGTTTGTATTTTAAAAATGATATAGTTTACATGAAATATACATAATATACAGTTAATAAATACAATATAATATACTTAGATTAAGAAGATAATATATACCTATTTATTGTAATAAATACTTTGGCAAATAAACTATGAACCATACAGATGCAGCAAATGTTTTACAATATACAAATAATGTGGTACATAAGATAATGCGTAAAATGTAAAATATATTTTAAATTTTGGGGTTTGAAAATCGATCAAATTTAACAAAAAACATTCAATATCTACTAATAGTGATGTATTATTATTTGCAATCACAACATTTATTTATATATTATAATGTTTACTGCAATTAATAAACTAATATAAATTTGTCAAAAGATGACCACATATTTTTTTAAATTATTATTCTTAACACAAAAACTTTCTACACTGACTATGGAGTACGATTTCAGCCATATTTTAAAACATTTGCTGCATTTGTATGGTTCATAGTTTATTTGCCAAAGTATTTATTACTATAAATAGGTATATATATTGTATTTATTAACTAAATATTATGTATATTTCATGTAAACTATTTCATTTTTAAAATACAAACCAATAATACGAGGAATAATTATGTTTTCCATGTATTCTACAACATATTTATTAATCCGTAGTATCTAACTAGCGTGACGTCATAAATCTCGCTCTGAGGCTGTTCTATTAGAGACGGCATTGCGTCAGCATGGCCGCAAGTTGCTAACCTAATAAAATTAACACTAGAAAAGCCCGCGGGAACTGTCAAATTCAAAGTTATTCGTTTTACGGACTATAGCCGACCTTGCAGTCGAACATTGTTCTTTTTAGAACCTCTTTTAGTGCGAAGCGGTACAAGATAGCTTAATAGCCGTAAAATCTCATCGCAACTTTATTAGAATATTTTGAACGGGAAAGCGGTAGTAATATAAAAATAATAAAAAATACACATAATATTCACCCTAATTAATGCAATGTAAAAATACTTTTATTAAATATAAATAATATAGCTTAAAACAGTAGCAGTAAACAATAATTATTTTAATAAGTCTACTAAATTTTGGTTTCCGAATGTTGAAAACCAACATTTTGAAACTAGATTACTACTAATTATCACATAATTGACATTGACCTAAATGCATGGCCTGCAGTGGACTATAATTATTATAGAGATTTATTTTCTAATTGTACATTTCCTATTTTTGATAATTAATTTTCAAGGACATGCTACATATTACAACAATAATTTCACCGATGTAAGGGGGTAATGCAATTTTAACCAGATTAACTCAAATAAATCATTATAATAAACAAGAAGAAAACTGAATAATTTAAATAATCAAAAACAATTAAATTTTAAGTATATTAAATTACCTTTTTGTTGTGGAAAAAAGCATGCGTTGTGAGATTTGGCTATTTTTTACATTTTATGTTTTGATGAAATCTCATTTTATTATACCTATAGGTTAATTAATAAATAAGTAAGCAGTCAAATCACAAAAACAAAAACCGTCAAAGTATGCAGCAAACTGAAAATTTGGCATTAGACATTCAATTTTAAAATCAAGACATTCAAAGCAGTCAAAATTAAAAATAAATAATACAGAGAATCACTAAAAAACGTTGAAACCACAGTAATCAAAACTGATTCTTGCAACGCGTGTCGACTGAGTGATTAATTGCCGCTAGCGGCTATACAGGGTGTCCCAGAAATAAATGTAAGTATTTTAAGAGGTGGTAGATCTCGATAAAAGAAACATATTTTCTCTTTATCGTTTTTCAAATAAGTCAAAAATAACCAAGTTACTTGATTATTCGATTAAAAAAATCTTATAGCCTCTATATGCAGACTCACCCTGTATATGCAAATATTTAAAACTTCAAAAAAAAGTTCAAAATAACGAAGTTATTTTGCTTTGAAAATTTCCAAAAAAAAAGTTTTTTTGCTAACATTTTGAGAACCACTGGATCTTTTCTGGATTTTCTTTCTTGTAAATTTAGTCTTATACCTATGTTGCCATATTATCATGAAATAATGTGGTTTTAACAAAAAACTAAAAAAATTTCCATAGGCGTGTTTCTGGGGTTGAACTATTACTACCAATTAAAATACTTGCCCTTATTTCTGGGACACCCTGTATAGGCGCTTGATTTGATAATACTTATTTTTCGTTTAATGGTTAATGAAAATTTTAGGAATTTTCATTTTTAGAATATTTTTTTTCAGCTTAGCAATAACTCATAAACCATAAGGTATAATTATTATTAAATATATTGGCAATATAGCCAGTTATAGTGTGGTTATACTATGTCTTGATCAGTAAAAATTCTTGTTTTATCCACTACGAAGTCACATCAAAAGTCTCGTAACCTTCCAGAAAGTGTTTTTTTTTTCTTCCAGCTGTGTTCGACTTTTTTGTGATCGACTGTGCAGATTTTCAGAAGTTTTCAAAAGTTTACATATATGGCAGCCTAAAAAATGTATCTTTTAATTCAAAACATTGACTGAACCCCTAAAAATGAAAATACCTACCTTTAAATTTAATTTCTGTTCTTATATTTTATTGATATTTAGACACACATCACCATCAACAGATAACAGGAAATTGGTACTCTCCATGCTGATTGGTACTTTCGTTCTTTCGTTTAGGGTGAATTTGTACTTCCTCACTAAACTAGCTATTCCCAATTTCGTTTGTAACAATCCAAATCTCAAACCTTAAAAAACACCAGTGAGTTAAATAGAATAATTTTAGTTAAGTAAATATACGATTTTTTATATGACTATCAAAAAATTAACTAAAAATTTACGCTATCGAAAGAACGGTACAACTTATCTTAGATAGGAACTATAGGAAACAAAAAATAACCATCTTATTTGATAGTCAAGCAGCATAAACAACGAGAAGAAATTAGAAAAAGAACCTGAACAAATGAGGCAAATAAAATAAAGCACTAAAACTCAGGATCAGAGCTGGCTTGAAAACAGAATATTTTCACATTTCGTGTGGGTAACACTTAAAGGATGGCCACTTGTTATTGAAAAAAAAACACCTGAGTAGATTGCAGCTACTAACGTGTTTTAATAATTTTACCTATACACATCCTAGGTCCCTCTCCGAAGGGCATATAAGTAAAATCAGGTCTTGCAGCTTTGTTTTCCTCACTAAAATTCTCCGGATTAAATTTTTCAGGATCTGGATAATATTCTGGATCCTTGTGAAGTCCCCAAATGGGAATATTAACTCTGGTTCCGTTTTCAATGACCACTTCTGTGTCTGGGACTTTGTAAGTTTTGTTGCATATCCTGGGAAGAAAAGCTAGCGGTGGATATAGCCTCAACGTCTCTAAAAGAAAATGAGTTTAAAAAATACCTTTTAATGAACGTCTTGCCTTGATTTTTTTTAAATTGAAAGCCCCACGTATTTTAGCATCTTCCGATAGACATATTTTAGCTAATTTCAAAAATATATACCGGGTGTTGCTTCGTCGAGCGGGACATAGGAAATCCCATGTAAATTTTAATGGGGTCAATTATTGGATTCCATAATTATTTTAGAGAATAATTCTATTTAGGTTTATTGAAGAGCACTAAAATCCACATTCAAAAGAATAACTTTAGATATTTTTGATTAGCCCGTTTACGAGTTATCGCCGATTTCTTTTTAAATATTTCACCAGTCAAGGTAAAAGATAACTGTCAAATGAAGTTGTCATTTAATAGTACCTAAATTAATAAGTTATTGAATATTGTAATAATACTATAATTAACCTTGTAATTGATTACTTTATTTTACTTTAATTCATGTTAATTTGTATTTCTAAATACATCTTTAAGATTTCCGATGTAGGAATGAGTTTTCAATAATAATAAATACACTAAATAATAATAAATGCACTAAATAGGTAAGTTTCTGAATTGGCAACATGATGACAACTTCATTTGACAATTATCTTTTACCTTGACTGGTGCTCATAAGTAAATACAGGGCCATAAGAAAGGAGAAATATTTAAAAAGAAATCGGGCGATAACTCGTAAACAAGCTAATCAAAAATATCTTAAGTTATTCTTTTGAATATGGGTTTTAATGCTCTTCAATAAACCTAAATAGAATTATTCTCTAAAATAATTAGGGAACCCAATAATTGACCCCATTAAAATTTACATGGGATTTCGTATGTCCCGTCCGACGATGCAACACTCGGTATAGTTTAGTATACTTTGCGCTTACCGTTATCTATATACAGTGCATTTAAAAATGAAATGTTCCAGAATCATTTTAAGTGTCTCGCCCAATTTAAAATTTTCCTGTGTCCTATTTTAAGATAGTAAAAAGATATTTTAATGTATTTTTTCGCAAATATTCCGATTTTTTATCGGAAAATTTTTTAAAACGTCATTTTGACAGATACGACACCATCTTGATTTTTTTTAAATTGAAACCTCATATTTAAAGTAGGTAAGCCCAAAAATATGCTAAACTATATATTTTTGAAATTAGTTAAAATATGTCTACCGGAAGATGCTAAAATATGGTCGATGTCATCATGTCATCAAAATACTTACCATTTACAATCATATCAAGATAAGTCATTTCCATTAAAGCCTCGTGACTAAATTCTCCATTATATCTTTCCAACACCTTCAAAATTTCTGACCTCAATTTATCCTGAACGTCTTGATTTTGAGCCAATTCCAAAAACGCAAAAGTTATCGTGGTAGAAGATGTCTCAAACCCTGCCAGAAAGAATAGATAACATTGTGCAATAATTTCATCATTACTGATAGACTGGATCCCTATTTCCTTGTTGGAGTTCTTCAATTCCAACAGTAACTGCATAAAATCTTTCCTATAAAACTTGCTTTCCTCTCTAAACCTTATTGTGTCCAGTACAGTCTTTGAAAAGAACTCGGTAACATCCTTTGGAATGCTTTTAAATCTGATCAAACCCAGGAACCAATCAGGAAAAAGAAAAATACAGAAAATTCTCAAAATCTGGGGAGCAAAGACTTTTTTCGCAAAAACTCTGAACTCACTTTCTGGATTTTCCAGTGAGTTACATTCCAGTCCAAACGCGCAACTGGCTATAACGTCAGTAGTAAACCTAGCTCCCAATTCTTTGATATTAATAACTTCCTGATTTTCAGCACAATTATCCATTACCTTTTCTAAATCCTTGACTTTTTCCAGGAGAGTTTCAAACATCATCTTAATTTTCCCTGATGTGAAGGTGGGGGTGAGTTTTGATCTGAGCTGTTTCCATAACTCACCCTCTAAGTTGAATAAGTGCATGGATAGAGGTTCCGAAGGATGGTGGTAGAGTCCGTGACCTGTAAAGCTCCAAAAATCTCTTACCAGGATGTTTTTGATGATTACTGGATCGATAGGTATGTAGACTGGTTCAATAAAGGTATATGTTCCTCCATGTTTTAAGCCAAGGGCTTTAAACTGTTTATATTTTGCTAGAAAACCTTCGGCAAATGAGAGTTTCCCTGTCACTTCTCTTCTGGAGTTTCCGAAGAAAAACTCTGGTTCTAACTGAAATAAACCACGCCTTTTCCAGTAAGTATGCTTTCGTTTAACGTAAATGATGAATAATAGAACTATAAAAAATAAATAAACTAAAATCATTGTAATATGCAAGCGCACAAAACTTGATAAAGTCACACAGTGCGGAACATGCTGAATACTGAATGAAATGAAAATTGTATAATATGAAAATTGTTTGCCAATTAGGTACTACTAGGTATGGGTTTCTTAATAAGAAAACATCGATAGATACGCGGAATATGTTAATACTGACAAAATTTCTTGACATTTTCTTTATTGATAATTGTAAAATAAATACAGGATGAGGTTCCTACGATGTTCTCTATGGGTATCTCGGAAACTACTGGAGATACAGAGTCGGTTAAATGGGGAAAGAATTGCAGTTTTGTGGGGTCATAAATATTCGCCTTTCAGATTTTTGAAAAAGTCCATGGCTTACTAGATATTTCGAAAAAAACAAAAATCACCCCTTAGATGCAATTTTCCCAGTTATCGGGTAATTTCAGTTCTTTTTTATATCTTTAAACTCCTGTGCTTATACTCTTTTTCAACAAAAATCTACTGAGAAATGACTCAATAAAATTATGGCAAATATACCTGTCGATGTATTTCAAAGTATCGATTTTTTCTAAATCGATATTTTGGAGCGTCTCTAATTATTAATAATATTTTCAACCTTGATCTCAGATTTTTAAGTCTGGTACGTTTTTATTGCGGGAAATTATCATTTCGTTTTCTATCAGTACTTTTATGATAGGTGCATTATCTTGCAATAAAATTCCTCGAATTTAAACTATTATCTAAGAAATGCACAGTTTTTTTATAGAGCAAGATGAGTATCATGACTTATTTTATTGTAAAACTTGGAAAATAAGTTTGTTATAATAATGCTTTTATTTATTCACTATTCTAATAAAGAATATGCTTTCCTTCAGAAACTCTCTATCTATATTTATCATTATTACTAATGCTAAAACACTCTATTTGAAAGTCAATTAGAGAAAATAGTATGATTCATTGGCCAGCGATGTAAATATTTGTGATCAGGTAAAATTGATGAAAAAGGAGGCTTAACTTGCCGGCGCGCGGCAGGTCAGTCAGTAGTTGATAGGCCGGTCGGCTGTGTAGTGTTGTGTTTTGTCACAGAGCTGACAAATGGGGGTTGCGAGTCTTTTGACTAACATAGTTGCAAGTCGTTTGACTGTAAGCCAACGGGGTCGTTTGACCACAGGAAGAAAACCTCTTGTGACGTCCTGCCTTCGAGTTGGTCTTGAGAGTTTGAGGTCTCCATAATGTCTTCTCGATTTGACGATGCGGCGTTGGGGTAGTGAGCTACCCCAATTAGCTTATTCGATTGGGATGCGAATCTGTTTAGCGGCAGAATTGCGTCCGGGGGAAGCCCCTATACTATTTCAGATGACACTAGCTAGTTGTTGAAGATTATCAACCAATAGATCCGAATAATATTTAAATTAGATGGAAAATATGGAATGGGATGTGCTGCTGGATCTGTGTCTATGAAAGGAATGCGGACAAAAAACATTTAAATAAACAGCAATATATTTTATACGTCGACTTGACGAGTACGTCACCGCAAATCGCTCCGCCCACTTAGCCATTGGCTACTAAATGAATTTTCAGGTTTTTATTGATGGGACGCGTCGTCTAATTTTTTACGAAAAACATCGAGAGAATATCGTTTCCCCTCTCACGGATACCCCGTAGCCACAGAACGGACAGACGTACTGTACATATATTTTGCTAAGTAACTACTTTCAGTAGCGTAACTGATATTTTTGTTATTAACCAATATTATAACTTCTCTATTTTTAATAAAAATTTTATAATAAAAATATTGAAATTTCCAAAACATTTGACATATCTTTCAAGATATTTTTCAAAACCCAATCCTCAGTATAGTTTAACAAGCTGCTTGATAGTATTACAACGTAATAAATGCTAAATAATAATAGATAGAACATTTCTATCAATCACTGGTATAATTTCTCCTATTTGTATTTTTTTCAAATACCCTACCCTCCATATCCCACCAGATCCCTTTAATTGATTTAAATAAACTCGTTCTCATCAAAACCTTAATCGCCATGAGAAATAAAAACATCACCACCACCGATCGACCACCCATCAAACCAAACAAACCGCAGGGCCAGAAAAAAAATCGGCTTAAAAACCCCCGAAAAGCGGGGATTAACGGGCGAATAAAGAGTTTGAGCGCCCTCTACGGTCGAGACTGAGAGCGAAATAAATAATTTAAAGGCCGAGGAACGACCGCGAAAAACAAATCCAGTTGGCTTATCTTTCCGAACAATTGAACGGGGAATTTTCCGATTCGGTTGTGGACGCGTGCGTCGAGTGCGTTGCGTCGCGTCGGTCTATGTGGCACCGGCTTAAAAATTGACACGGATGGTCCGCACCAAAATTAAACGTTTTAGATCTATACTAATATATAAAATCCTTAAGTGACTGACATACTGATTAATCACGATCCTGCTCAAACCACTCAACGTAAGAAGCTCAATTTTGGTATACAGGTTGATTCTAGGGTGTAGAGGTTCGATAAGAAGGGATTTCTCGAAATTCCAGTTCCAAGGGGGTGGTGAAACCACCCCTCAAATATTACAATATTTTTTATTTAAAAAACGGCCAAGTTTCCGAAAAAACGCTTAAACACGTATATTTTATTTTGTTGTTTTACATATTTTAAGATTTTTTAAAAATGTATACAGGGTGTTTCGAAAAATCTGGTCATTGATTAATCACGATCCTGCTTAAAGCGCTTGTCGTAAAAAGCTGATTTTTGAAAAACGGATTGACTTTAGGGTGTAGAGGTTCGATAAGAAGGGATTTTTCGAAACTCGAATTCTAAGGGGGTGAAACCACCCTTCAAATATTAGAATATTTTTTATTTAAGAACCGGTGAGTTTTTCGGAAAAACTCTTAAACACGTATATTTTATTTTGGTGTTTTACATATTTTAAGATTTTTTAAAAATTTATACAGGGTGTTTCATAAAATATGACCATTGAGTAATTACGATTCTGCTTAAACTGCTTGACGTTTAAAGCTGGTTTTTGGCAAACGGATTGACTGTGGGGTGTAGAGGTTCGATAAGGAGGTGTTTCTCAAATCTCAAATTCCAAAAGGGTGAAAACGCCCCTCAAATAGTATTACAATATTTGCTGTTTAAAAAACGGTTAGTCTTTCGGGAAAACGCTTGGACACGCATAATTTATTTTGTTTTTTTACATATTTTGAAATTTTTTAAAAAAATCATACAGGGTGTTCCAAAAAGTTGGGTAATTGATTAACCACGATTCTGCTTAAACTGCTTGACGTAAAAAGCTTATTTTTGGCAAACGGATTTTTCGAAAGTCAAATTCCAACGAGGAAACTACCCCTCAAATATAACCAAGTTATATAATAATATCGCCATATTGTTTTTTTTCATGTTGACATACATGGGCGCCGGAAGAATGAAATTTAGGAGGGGGGGCAAGGTAAAAATGAATAAAAAATTGACATTTTTGGTAATTTTTGGGAAAACTGGAAATCGTCCGATTTTCACCAAAATTGGTATACACCCTATTTTGAAGTCGTAGATTACGTATCTGAACTTTTTTCTTGGCGGTCTCTTACTGTTTTTCAGAAAAACGGAAAATAATTTCAATATCGAATTTTTCTTAATTTCTCATATTTTTAAGGTTTTCTAGCACATATTTTGTTAGGTATTCAATAATCAATAATGTTTTTGCTATTTTCTGTTACTTTTTTAACCAATTCTATGCATAATAGAGGAAAATTTGCTAAAATAAATTTGTAAACAATCTGAAAATGTTAGATTATAGCTTTTTTCGGGTTCTTGTTATTACTGATTCTGAACCGTCCAAGAACTCTGCAGCGCATGCGCAAATGAAATAATGTCTTCATATTTCCTTCTGCGCATTCGCATCACAGTTCTAGGACGGTTCAGAATTGGTAATAAGAGAAACCCGAAGTAAGTTTATTTGTTTCTGGCATTTAAAGCAACGTTGCCAATGCTAAACAAAAAAAGGCGGTCGCCAGAAGAACGGCTCCTTTCCATAACTGCTATTTTACCAACGAGATCTGACTATTTATACCGACGAAGTTGCACGAAAGAGTTTTGATTGCATTGGTTACAACTTCCATGCAGAGGGTGTTAATCTTTTGTTGTTATATTATTAGATTAACTAAAAAAAGATTAACCCCCTCCGCAAAGAAGTTAAAACCAATGCAATCAAAACTCTTCCGCGTAATTTTGTGGATATAGGTGTATATTTAATTATTGTCGATCTCATAATAGGTAATTTATTTAAAATCCGTAATCACCCGAAAAAATAGAAGATATGGCAACGTTGTAAATTTTAAAATTTCTAGATTAGGTCTAGAATATATTTGTCCCTCTTATTACATAGGAGAGAGAAAGAAGGATATATCAAATGTCAAACTTCTATCTGGTCTCAATTTTCTGTGCTATTTTGTTAAGAAAAGTGTTTTTCAGTAAAATGTTGGACACTTTTCTATCCCCAATCAAGTGTGGCTTTTAGATAAACTATAATATAATGAAAATATAGTGAAATTATTACTTTATAGGGCCGAAATAAAGAAAAATTCAATGTTGAAATAATTTTCCGTTTTTCTGAAAAACGGTAAGAGACCGCCAAGAAAAAAATAGATTCGTAATCTACGACCTCAAAATAGTGTGTATACCAATTTTGGTGAAAATCGGACGATTTCCAGTTTTCCCAATAATTACCACATTTTTTATTATTTTACAGGTAACACCTAACAATTTCATAATAATGATTATTTTTTTTATAGATGGATGTAAGAAGATAGCTTTTATTTTTATTGTTTCAGTGATCCAGGGGGGGGGCAAATGCCCCCTCTTGCCCCCCCCCTGTCCGGCGCCCATGTTGACATAAATGTGTGAAAATTTTATCCAGTTTGTATGTTAATGGAAATTCTCTCTTTGCTTTATCATCACCATTATACAAATGATTAATTCGACTCGAACGAAGTCGTGGGTATACACGCTAGTAATGTGCTAGTAATATATATAAAGATGAAAGTATCTGTTGTAGCGGATAGGCTACGACCTCGAACCCTAAGGACCGATCGCCACCGAAACCATGTTTGACAAATGTAAGTGGGTGCTCTCGTTGGCCGCACGCGGCCGAAGAGTCAGGCGCACGGCCCGGGGCTAAATCACAGGCTGCGAGCGTCGTCACGACCGTAGCGACACGCGGCCAGCGACAACGACACACCCCCAAAGGGCCAATTTACATGGGATGGGGTGATTTCCGGGTCGGTGAATGGGGTGCGAGGAAGTGTGAACGGAGTCGGTAGAATGTTGTTTTGGTTTAGGTTGGCGGAGCGGAATTAAATGAAACGTCTGTTAAGGTGTCAATTGGTTGCTAGAGATCATATATAAATGTCTTTTTTATTTCCTTCTATCCCTTATTGGTGAGCACCCAAAGTAGAAGGTCTTTATTTTCTTTGCCTAATTTGTTCAGCTTCTCTAGGCATTCTTTGACCAACTTCGAATTGATGGTTACTGAGTTGATAGCTCTTAAGGCTGCTTGACTATTGGATAAGATGGCTATTTCCTGTTTCCGATAGTTTATATCTTTGCGGATAGTTCCTTTATCACGGGTTACGTAGATAATATTTAAATTAAACTCACAAGATCGCAATAATAACATCGAAAACGAACGCTTTAAACAATTTTCGGTGTTTTTCCAATGAGGGCGTTTTTTATTGATAAAGATTTTCTAATATTTGAAAATTTTGATTTTGACAAGGAAAAATCTGTCTTGTTCTGGGTTATTCTTAGCAATAGCTGGTAAAGCTCCATGAAATCTCCAAAACAATTATACGTTTTTAGTGAGAAACCAAACATTTCAATCTAAATTTAGTTCCTTTTATCTGTGTTTGCTAAATAAACCCAAGAGCCTCCATAAAAGCTCAGTTCTTTAGCACAGGCTGACTATGTAGGCCAGTTTGCGCAGTTTAACCTATACCACTGCCTATCGCATACACACGTAGTGGTATAGCAGAGTGAACTGAATGACGCACCCACTAATAGTTTCAGAACTTTTTTTACAGTGAAAATGGCTTCCGGGGATACAATTGTGTCTTACATTCTGCTCGCTTGTGCAATATTTTTTTTTATTCCCTTATATAATATAGTACCAAAAAGCTACACCTTTTGGTACCTAAATAAACGGAAATATCGATATAACATAGAAACAGGCATTTAAAAATGGGAAAAACGATATAAACTCGGATATAAAAGTCCATGCGTAATTTCAATTAAAAAAAAACGGTTTCCTGAACATTTATCATTTCTGGATACTCATCGTTTTTCCCATGTGCTCCTCAATTGTTATATTTACTGTTACATAAAATTTAGTAAAAACTCTAAAAAACTTGTCAATAGCAGAAGAAGTTGTATGCACGTATTTTTATTACCTGACGATAAAATTTGGACTTTCCAGGTAGGTAGTTAAAGTTAAATACAAACATCTAAAAAGTAAAACATATTTAAAAAAATGCAAATATCTTAAATAATAATTTAATATGCACTTTGCAAACCGGTAAATACTGCAAAATCCAAAACATAATAGTAAAGTATCTACTACTACTCTAAAATATCTACTAAAATAATAAACTAATTGTTAAAAATAAATATTTTGGGCACATTCCGAGTAAAATCTTTTCTTAATTTATATACATATATTTTGAAAACAATTTATTCATAGTTAGGTTTCCATAATTATAATATACTTAATATGTCTAATACTTTAATTATTATATACTTAATATCCTATACTATATAAACACATACCTTCCTTCATCTTTTGGGCACCTAAAGAACGATATATTGTCTGTCATTCTACTTTCACAACCATCCACTGCACAAATATTTCTAGTAGACATTTTATTCACAATTCGAACAAAACAACTAAAACACTATTTTTGGTTCACCCTATGCGTCGGGCCGAAAACAAAACTAAAATAAACTTGGAACGCTGTGTACACGTCGAGCAACGGATGTAGACTGACCCAAGTCTACAAAACAGGCGGGGAACGGCGGGAGGAATTTTGATTCGGGCGAAGAGTGGGTCAACTGATATATTTTATATTCTTTAAACTGTGCTTTCGGGCTCCAAAGTTTGTGCGGAGTAAATTCAGGCAAGGTCTGATTTCGCCAGATGAGGTCGAGAAGTTCCCAGATATGTGTCAATATGTCTGCACAAATCAGATTTGTCTGTGCGAAAAAAACTGAGCGTCTGTGGTGACCTTAAGGAAACTGTAATGTCAAACTTCCATACTTTCATGGCATTTAATATAAAATTTACGTGCGATGCACAGAGGAGTGTTTTAAGTCAAAACATGGCCAATAATATTTTGTAGCTGTTTTCACATTAATATGTCGTAAAAACTGATTTAGAGGCATAAGACCGATAAAATTTTAATAATCAAAAATCAAAAGGTTTTGTTGTTATCTCTATATGTATAATAATTTGATTCTTCAAGACCTCTCCTGCCTCTTCAGCCTAATATTTTTTAGAACATTTTAACACCTCGTATATGACTCCCCAATCGACCACCCTAAAATAATTTCCCCCCCAAACCACTCATTTCCACTCACTCCTGCATTTGATGGTTCTTTTGAGAACTGTCGGCGTTTTTCCAAACCTGTCACCAACAGCAAACCCCCTTAAATCGACTTTTCAACTCGAAAATCGTCCACCCCTACTATGGCCGACCAAAATCGCCCTATTTTGTACTCTCGACCAATAGAAATCCAGCATTTCGAAAGCAATTTCAAAACGAATTTCCATTGGTCCGACAATGAGGGTTGAACCGCCCTTAGCTGGGATAAATCGATTTTCCAACAAGACACCCTTATTTTAAAAGGAATTAGGGGTTAATTTTGGTTGCTGTGATAGTATTAAGGATAATATATCTTGTAACCGGATATAAATTGACATCCCCCGGGATTTAAATCAGTTTGCTATTTGATACTGGTGTCGTTAAGTGATTTCCTGTGATTGTGTGAATAGTATTGTGTGATTCTTTGTTTACTAATAGACTTTGAATATATTATATGATAAATATGAGCAGAGGACAGTTACCAGATTCTTCGAGTTCACCACCAATGAAGTATGTACTTTTTTGTCATGTTTAAGATAGTATTTTATTTATTCTTATCATTTTATCTTTTGGACATGTAATAAAATAGAACTAGTTTTTTAAAACGTTTCAATTTTTCACCTGTATTAAACCAAGAGCAGTTAAAAAGAATCAAACTGTATTTCATACATCGATTTGTCCTCAAATATAAATTAAAAAATTATACAATTTAACCAAGAGCTCCTACAGTGTTAAAAACTAAGTTTAAATGATCTTTTTAAAGATATGACATTATCAATAGTGGGACATTATTCATATTTTTATAATTTGCCATTTGTGCAATACACAGCCAGGGAAGTTAGTGTTTTCTATCAAGTTATTGTATCTATTTATTCTCCCTAAAATAAGATTTTTCTTATAATAATTTTAAATTTGTACATAGTAGAATATTTAGACTATCTGGTTACAGGCATTAGTGCTACATAAATCTTTCTTTGTATTTTTTGAGCCACAAGTAGGATTCTTTCAGCAACAGTGAACATACAGAAACTTAAAGATATATTATCAATATTTATAGTTAAAATTACTTTTAAAATACTACAATTTCCATTCTAGTATTTATATAATTATTAAAAGTTTGTGTATCTGTTACGCTCAATAGTCGAATTCGGGCAATGCCCGAAAAAAATACGCAAATCTAGTTTTGAGCAAGGAATATTTCCCAAACCCGAAAAACCTGCTAACCAATGAATTAACACCCTCCAAATAACCACGCTAACCAACTTGCCAAATAACTAAACCAATCCAACCAAAAAGAGTGAAACCAATGCAATCAAATCACACTATAAGAAAAAAAAATTAATGGAATAAAAATAAGTTTTCGGGTTTGGGTAATATTCCTTGCTCAAAACTAGATTTGTGTATTTTTCTCGGGTATTGCCCGAATTCGACTATTGAGCGTAATATATCCACTAGTGATGACCCAAACACTTTGGACTCAATCTTAAGGCATTGTCTTTTTTTAAATTTATCGTAGAAGATATTATGTTGTATTATAAAGTTTTATTGAGAAACATATTGAAGAAACATATGTATTATTTTATCACTAATATTATTTATCTCTTTTCAGTATACAGTATGGTTATAATACTGGAGATTTATCTGAGGATGAAGTGTCAGATCTACCAAGTTGCGTGTTTGCTAGCAGATCATCAAATTCCAGCCTTCAGCATCATTATTTAACTTCTCTGCATCAAAACACAGGTAAGAATTAATGAGTAATACAACTAAACTACAGTTCATACCAAACAAACTTTTAGTCACGTGATTAAACTTGACCGGCACAGCGTTGCCAACTTTTATATATTTTCTTTTAATCAAAAAATCGTGCCCTCAAGTTTAATTGATATCAAGTATAGGTATATTTGTGTTTACACGTCAAATTTTATTCGCTAGTAGACCTGTGATAAATTTTAGTTGCTAACTGATTATTCTTTTTTTTTTTTTTTTTTGGGAAAGAGAATCTTGCGTAAGACACCCAGCACTAATAACAGTAAACTACTGTCCTTAGTGCCGGGTAGTGCCGGATTCTTACCGGCTAAAAAAAAACCACACTTCCCTAACGCTGATCATGGTGGAAACCGCTTCCGCATTACTTCGCCATGATAGCTGTCTGTTTACTGTCTTCTTATATCATTTTCCTTTTCCTCTAATATTTGTGTTAGTATCCCTGCAGTTAGTTTCCACATTTCCTCTGTCCCAGTGAGGTATTTCATCATATTTTCCGCATTGAAAACTGAGCCGGTATGAGTTTTATAATCATTACGAATGTAGTCCCATCTCGTACATCTAAACAGTGTATGTTCTGCGTCATCACTATTTCCACAGTAGTTGCAACTATCTGAGTCCCGTTTCTTTCTTTCCGTTAGATACTTCATAAAGCAACCATGTCCCGATAGAGCTTGCGTGACAAAGTAATCAGTCTCTCCGCATGGCCTGGACACAGCTTAAGTAAAAACTGTTATTATGTTACTTATTCTGTAAGCTGTGGCCTGGATATCCATTGCCTAATATCAGGAATCAAATTATATGTCCATCTTCCTTTTGTTCCTCTCACCCATCTTTCCTGCCACTTGTCGAGTAGGTCCCCTCTTGCGATTTGCTTCTGTACTCCATTGTAAATTTCCTTCCTTTCCTCTATTAATAGGTCTATGGGTCCTACTGCCTCTGTAGAGATTGTTCTGTAGGCACTAGCAATTCTGATGGAAGTAAGTCTTTGGATCCCCGCGAGTTTTTTTGTTCTGCTGTTATTGGAGCTATGTTGGAGCTATTATTATTATTATAGTAAATATAGTAATAGAAAATATTAGACCAGTGTTTATAAGATCAAATTTGATTATCAAAATATACTACTTTCATAAATAAATAAGTAAATGCCTTTATTGTCAAAAAATATAAGTCATTTACGGCGTAGAAAGCCTTGTCTAGTAAATAAGATTTCAATGCTTTGCGAAATGAAGAAAATTATGTTATGGATTTGATTTCAAATGGCAGGTGATTGTGGATTTTTTTTCGAGTTGTATAATATTGAACTTTTAACAAACTTGAGCGTAGGGTAGGTAGATAAAGATCTTGCTCCGCGTTCCTGTGTGGATAAGTGTGATATGGCCTTTGTTGAGAAGCTGATACATTTTAGAATGAGTGGGAGGGGGGTTAATCACTTCGACCTTACAGATCCATTGTGTCCCTTAGAATTTAGAATGTAAAAAGCTGATATATGCTTACGTATTAGGCAGACAGATTCAAATATAAATAAGGAAGGAAGAGTTAATATTTTTAATTTTTTAAAAAAGGCCTGGCAATGAGTTCTGCTGTTTAGACCCAGTGAATATCGAACAGCTCTCTTCTGGAGCTTGAAAAGAAAATAAATAATTTTTGGTATTAAATTTTAGTAGAAGTACCTAATTTTCAACTCCACTCTTGTAGGTTGAGTTGGAAAATATTTATACTAAAATTTATGTAAGGGTGGGGAAAGTTTTTATCCTTCCCGTACTTTTTCTCGACTTTTCTGAAAGCTAAATGTTAAAGCACTTAGAAAAATATAGACACCCAAAATCTCATTCAAATCGGAATAACGGTTCTTAAAATATCTGAAAAAATGTGTTTATTTTTTTAAAGTTTGATGCCCTCTAGCGGACAAACGAAGCAATTTTGTATAGAGATAAATTGTGTCCAATGAACTTATTTTGATTCCAACAATACGTAGTAGTTCTATGTCCACGGAATATTGGGACACCCTGTATATTAACCACGGGACTGAAGGATAAAACACTATATTATCTTTTAAATTGGAGATTCTTTGTTCTGCAGTCATTTTCAAGTCAGATTTTTAAAATCTGGATTTTTTTTCCAGAAAACGGTCCCTGTGGTTCAACTGGAGGTGGCCTGGGTTCCAGTCCGTCGGACTACTTCGGCTCTTCGCCCTACAGAGTCCAGCGGCACGCGGCCAACATCAGGGAAAGGAAAAGGATGCTGAGGTCTGCTATTGGACCCACCGGGTACTCTGTCTTGCTCGATTTCTTTTTAGTTTCGTTCCTTCCGATTTTTGTTCTATGTGTTTTTGTAAGTAGTGATTTTATTTTATTTTTTTCTTATGTTTTATTCTTATTAGTTTAATTTAAGCATGTTTTAAACATACTTTTTGTAATATCAATGGTTCTCTTAAATACGTAAGACCCCGTATTTTACTAAAACGTCAGTGTTTTACAATATGTCTAGTCTTTTTGCAAAATGCCAAGTTACGACATATACATATTTCTTTACCTCACAGAGAACATGTAATTATATGTTCTCTGTGTTTACATTTATCGTGGCTGTTGTGTGGGTATATACAGGGTTGTCCGAACTGTATTCCGGAAACTTCGGCAGCATATTCTGCACATTAAAATAAGTAACAAAGTTCGTATAAATGTGTGTCCTAAAATGCTTAGTTTCGGAGATACAGGGTGTAGAAAGTTCATTTTTATTTCGATTTTTTCCAAATAATTTCTGAAGTAACGTCAACATTTCGATGAAAATTGGTATCTGGGAGTTTTTTTGACTGAGAAATTTGATTTTGATGTCAATATGACTCCTACTAGTAGAGGGCGCCTACAGTTCGGACCACCCTGTTTACCTCTGTGCCTGTGCCCTTTAAGACCACTTGCCACTACAAAAAAAAACCTTTTTTAACTTGAACATTTGTGTGATACCTTTCTTATTTCCTAATTTCCATGGGTTTACAGCAGTATCAACTCCGCTTTCGACGAGTTAAGAATGCACGTGCCCACGTTCCCGTACGAAAAGCGTCTGTCAAAAATCGACACACTCCGACTAGCCATAGCATACATCGCCCTGTTGCGCGAAGTACTGACAGCTGATTGCGATCCATTGACGTACGTGGAGAGATGCCTGCGGGGCGAAATCAAGGCGGATAGGGCTAATTGGAACACTAGCGGTGAGTTATATTTTTTATACAGGGTGTCCCAGAAACAAGTGCATGTATTTTACCTGGTCGTATATTTATTCGGCCTCAGATACACGACGTCTATGAGGTTTTTTTAGTTTTAAGTTAAAAAACATAATTTCTTGATAATATGGCGGTAATTAATGGCAACATAGGTAGTAGATTAAATTTACATGAAAGAAAATCCAGAAGAGGTCCAGTGGTTCTCAAAGTTTAAGCAAAAAAGCATTTCTTGTTTAAATTTTCAAAGCAAAATAACTCGGTTATTTTGGACTTACTGGAAAAACGGTAAGGAAAAAAATGCTTCCTTTGACCAGATCTACCACCCTTTAAAATACTTGCACTTATTTCTGGGACACCCTGTATAGAACCCCAATACAAAATTTGGTAGTTTCAAAATTTGGAAGCAAAAAGGGATTTTATATTTCTCTATTTTTTAATACACATTATACATGTATAATATTTATTGTTTTAGATTTAACAGCGAGATTGTCTTGGATAAATTGGGAAAACCTAGGAGTTACACCTGGAAGAAGAAGTACATTAACTTCACTAGCTTTAAGTACCACAGATAATGTAAATAATTAAATATTATAGTTAAGTATGTATAATTATTTAAACTAAATGCCAGAACTCGTGCAATAGTATCAATATCGCATTATAATGATATAGATGTTAAAAATAATTGTTAATATTTTTATAAAAAAAAAATAAAGAAAAAATGAATAAAATTAGATTTTATTTTAAAGTGTTTTAATGTTTATTTTTTGTTAGTTTCAGTCAATGTAAAAATAATTAAAATCTATTTAACTCTAATTAACTAAACAGGTTTTTTCATTAATGTTCTGATATTTTTTTGAATAAATACATAAAGCAAAAAACGAAATGCGAAATTAAAATATTTATTAAATACAAAATAACCAACGTTACAAAATACTCTTATAAACTACTCCTACTCAACTTTTTAGTAATTATAAATGAAACAAACAATTATCATAAATATAATAGTTAAAAAAAACTTTTTAGAAAAGTAATATTAAGAAGAAAAAAAAAGCATGTGCAAGTCTTGTAACTATATTATTTTTTTACTATTAAAGAACTTTAAATAAACAAAACTTAAGATTTTAACTTATATATCACACAATATATTACATTTTTTATTCTCTACCAAACTTTAACAAATTCAAAGCTTTTTGTAAGTTTTCAACAGCTGTTTTGACATCGTCATAGTTCAAAGCGCTGGTAGCAAACTTGCTGTATTTCTGTGCTTTGTGGATCTGTTCGGATGTCAGTGACACCTGAGGACCACTGCTGTCACTTGTCGGTGGTAAATTATAAGTGCTTGGTTGAGGTAAAGGCTGTGGAGTGCTTGGAACCACAGGAGTTACAGAACCTGGATTCTGTGGTATGCTTGGACTAACCTAAAACAATAATGCTGAGTTAATAAAGAAACTAAATGAGGTATTATTTTTCTAAATTTACCGGGGAATATTTTGGGAATTGGAAACCAGATTCTTGTCCATTTTGATTGGGAAAGCTAGACCAATCAGGTATGTTTGATGGAGTTCCACTGTCTGAAGCTCCTGGAGTGACATTTCCAAAAGCATTTAATTGTTTTAAATCATCTTCTTCTTCTTGTCTACGTCTTCTCTCTTCTTCTTCCTGATTGCGACGTTTTTCTTCTAAAAGCCTGAAAAATATGCATACTTGTTTACTATAAAGTTTCAAAAATTTACAGATAGTTTACCTTTGTTGTTCTTCTTCCGGTAATTCGCTAATATGCACCAACTTATCCTGATCAGACCCAGAATTAGGGGGTCCTGGAAGAGGTCTCTCTCCACTCTTAAGACAATTATGAATGTATGCTGCCTTCCATTTGGCGTATTTTTGTTTTTCATGAAAGTCCTCGGACAAACCGAACTGTTCCAATACATCAAATAGCATTCCTGCTGTGTAAAATGTCTTCACAGTATTTCTAAAAAAATACCAGTAAAAAAAAATATTTTTAAAATATTCTTATATGTACTTATTGAAAATCTCTTCGGCATCCTGTTTTTCAGCATGTGCAAACATTTGTAAAGCATACTCTTCTATAATTGCTTGTGCAGCTGTGTCATTCCGTATCCCATCATTGTCTTTATTTTCCTTTTTAGTAGTCTCTAACCAGCTCAAAATCTCACCTAACAAAACTGTTGTTTCTGGTGATTTCTTATCTGGGACCATTTTTAAAGCTAAACGACAGGCTGCCATGCGTGCTAAAATATAATTAATAAGATTACCTTCAGTAAATAATCAAATATCTTAGTAATAAAGATAATTTAAGTTTCTACGACGTACCCCAATAAGCAACAACAAGATTTCGAGCATCATGTTCATCAGCAAGCTTCATCAAATGAGCCACGGGTTTAATTTCTGCAGGAACTGGAGAAAATCCCATTTTTGAGAACAATTTTGCACAAAAAAACACTAAAATAATTTTTAATTGATGTCTATTTTTGTTAAATGACAAACAACACAGCTGATTTTAATAGTCTGAAGTTAGTCAGCGACTTTGGTTTCTTAGTGACAGAATCTGATCGGCCGGATAGCTGTGGCAGCTGTGGTCTTTCTTCTTCTTCTTTTCTTGATTGGTTTTACGGCCTAAGCTGCCAGGACTATACGGCCCTCTAGTCAATAAAACAATTTACTACTACTAAAACTAAAAAGAAGAAAATAATGATATGCAACCAGTAAAACACATGAATTTTAAATTTTATCCATTTCAAATATTAGTAATTTATTCAATATTTTTAAAAATCCTTATGTATTTTTATCTCTACACTAAATAATTTTTATATATAGAGTAACAAAATAGCAAATAAAACAAGAATTCAATAAATTCCTTTATATTTATTAAAATTGTAATATACAAAAGGTTTTTTCTTACTTTTAAGTTACGTATAAAAAAAAAATAAATAAATGTATATAATAAATTAATATAAAATCTAATATAATATCACAGTTTGAGGTTACTTCAGGTCGATATAATACTATATAATAGAACATTAATGAAATCAAGATGAATGTTCTGGAGTTGTTACAGATTCTTTTGTAGAGCTTCTCGCATCTTTTAAAATACATTTTTTGTAATGCGTTCTCATGTTGCTGCTTTGCGAAAAGGCTAGCCCGCAATTTTCACAAGTGTAGGGCTTCAGTCCCGTGTGAAAATTCATGTGAGTTTTCAGGTGATGCTTTTTGGTGAAGCTTTTTGGACAGAGAGTGCAAGCGTAAGGTTTGACTCCTGGAACAAAAAAATAAGGTAAATTTGAATGTCCTATTTTAGGCAACTGACAATACACCGAACCCTAATGATTTTTCTTTATTTCTGTATACTGAATTTCAATCATGTAAAGGATAAGGTTTTACCTGTATGTAACCTGGCATGTAAGCTCATGTTTGATCTATCTGCAAAGGTTTTGCCACACTCAGGGCACGAATAGGGTCTTTCTCCTGTGTGGACTCTTTGGTGTTGTTTCAGTAACATTTTTCTTGAGAAACTTTTGCCACAGGTGGGACACTCGTGAGGCTTAACACCTAGAAAGCAATAAAATGATTAAATTAGTCTTAAATAATAATCAGTATTTCTGTTTATATGTTAATTATGCATGGTGCGCTCTGAGATTTACATGCAGACACTTAATTATACCACGTTCCCCTATCTTTTAAGCCCTGTCTAATAATAATAATAAGATGGTCGAGATGGTCCATCTTCGCCCAACCATCTGAGCGAAGAATTTTAATTTTTTTAAAGTAAAATAAATTTGAGAAAATTATGTTTTTTTGAAAATTATTTTTGTTTTACTTGACACGTTTTGACTGAACATGTAAGACTGACAGGTAAAACATCATGTGTAGACGGTGCTTTAGCCGCATAATCCGATACAAAATAAATGACTTTCTGGCCGCTTAATAGCACTAGTACCATTCCGAACTTAAATATTCGAGTTCAAATGGTACCGACAGAATAAATATAAGAGAACAAGACGTGAGATCGTTTGTTTTAGGTAGGTATCTGGTACGTTAGGAAAGTGAACAACGGTACGCCTTGTGGCTTGTGCGTTCTATCTTTTACTGTCAGAATTAGTTATTATAAAGCTTTTAATGCTTTTAGTGCCCGGCGCTCGCCTTAGCGGCATTTAAAATGTGTCAGCTATCCGATCCAATAAAAACAGTTATTGCAAATTAATTTCAGAATTAAAAAGTATACAGGGTGGCGCCTCTCGGAGGCTCCAAGGAGAACGACAGTTTGTATTAATATGAAATTTTGTGATCATATATGTAGGTTAATTCAGAGTTCTACAGGGTGTCCCCAAAAAAAGTTACATATCAAAGTTGTGTTTTTTGTAATGGAACATCCTATATATTTATTGATTTTCGGATTCTGGAAGAAAAATAAAGGTGATTTTTATAAGTCATTTATCAGTCACCTGTGTGTATCCTAAGATGCATATTATAAGCAACTCTCTGGTTAAATCTCTTAGGACAGTGCGGACATGCATACTCCTTTTTATCCCTATGTATTTTCATGTGGCTGCTCAGGTACCCTCTATCGTTGAATGTTTTACCACATTCAGGACATTTCGTTGAAAATTCTTTGGTTCCTTGGTGAACAGATCTGAAATAACAACAAAAAACAATAAAACAACTTTAAATAAAAAGTAGTGTTGTTGAAATGTCATGTTTCATCTGCATCTGAAAACTTGGATAAGTTCTTATACACTTTTTATATTTAGCCATATATCTAACAAGATCCTCAGCTGGACACCAGCGGGGCGACGAAAAAGGGGTAGACCACGCAAGAGCTGGAGAGGACGAATAGACAATGAGCAATGAGCTAAAAGAACGAGAGCTCGAAGACGACCTTTAGCTAGATAGGGAGCAATGGCGACTGGGCATCGGAAGACGTCGAAGAACGTTTTAAAACCGATTGATATACATAATATAATAATGCATTCTTCATAAAAAAAATTTGCTTGTTCGAAAATGGTTAATCCCGTTTATACTTTTCTAAATTTCCATGCCGTTTTAGAGAAAATTAAAAAAAAATAAAAATATGGTTGAATTTTTTCTAGAAAGTTCTAGAAATCTATGGTAATATAATTTCGTTTTCATTCTTTGATATATTGTTATTGATAGAATTGTCATATTTTTTGCTGTTTAAGCACAAAGTTTATTTAGTTCAATTCTACGGAAAGAGTAATAATAGTTATCAAAAAGAAAGCAGAAATTTGTATTATTTAAATAGGTAAATTGAGATGTCTGGTAGAGAGTATTAACCGAGAAGGCCATGACATGTAATTGGATAGGGGTATCATGAATCCTTAATATGGTAAATAAGAGGTTGCAAGAGCGTATTTGTAACCGGAATTGACAGCAAACCACAAACACTTTGTATATCATTAAATGTACTGATAGCACGGATGACAAGAATAGAATAAATTGATATTATTTAACAAATATTACAAGATTTTTTTAAGACATACAAAAAAATGACAGAACATTCAATTTAGCTGTGAATTAAAAAGACTGTCACCTGTCACTTTTATAAATAAATAAGTAAATGCCTTTATTGTCAAAAAATATAAGTCATTTACAGCGTAGAAAGCCTTGTCTATAGTAAATAAGATTTCAATGCTTTGCGAAATGAAGAAAATGATGTTATGAATTTGATTCAAATGGCAGGTGATTGTGCATTTTTTTCGAGTTGTATAATATTGAATTTTTAGCTAACTCTGAGCGTGGGGTAGGTAGATATAAAGATCTTGCTCCACGTTCCTGAGTGGATAAGTGTGAGATGGCCTTTCTTGAGAAGATGATACATGCTTACGTATTAGGCAAACGGATTCAAATATAAATAAGGAAGGAAGAGTTAATATTTTGAGCTTGAAAATGCGGTCAAATTGAGTCGTACAACACGCACCCAAGAATGGAAGGGCATATCTGAGGTGCGACTCAAAAAGTGCATAAGAAACAGTTCTAGCCACTGACAAGTTAAACTCCTTAGAAACAGATCTATAGTACTAGAAAAGTACAAAAGGCTGCAGCGAGTTTTTATACGACAAAGCTTTAATTTTATAAATGTTGAGACTCAAGAGGTTCGAATCGCTCCAAGATTTAATAGTGATTAAGTCATTTGATATAAAGTGCCGTGACGTTGCTCCAAGTGAAGCTAGTCTCGTCCGCAAAAAGATATATTTTACCCCTGATGTAAGCAATGTCGTTAATAAAAAGAAGACACAAAATAGGGCCCAGTACTGAGCCTTGAGGTACTCCACATTCTATTGGCTTGCTAGAAGACAACGCGGTATCCACCCTCACAAGTTGACTTCTGTTGCTCAGATACGACTTAATTAAACCATTCGGGAGATGTTCCCCTGAACCCATAGTGCTGCAGTTTATTAATTAGGATCTTATGATTTACACAGTCGAACGCCTTAGAAAAATCACAGAAAATTGTTGCTGTAAAATGATGATTATTTAGGCTGGAGTAAACTTTATTAAGGAGGGAAAACATAGCGCCATTTGTGGACTTATTGCTGAGAAATCCAAATTGATGTTCAGTAAGTACCGTATGATCGAATAAAAACGGCGTCAGCGATGGCTATGAAATGAAGATCGCTGTCATTTTATATGTAAAATTATATGCGAAATGTCATCGATCGTCATTTCCAAGCCAATGGGACGCCATTTTTTTTCGATCATATGGTATTTTGTACTTAAACAGCAAAGATACCAGGATACTACTTGCAGAATAAATAATAAATAACATAAAATAAGCTCAGATAACCCTAACAATCTTCCGAAATTTCAAATCAAATTTGAATGTGTCAAGTGAAACGTTAAACAGAACTGTCAAAAATGACAGATCATGACGTCCTTTATTCTATTTTATTCAAAGCCAATTATCATTAACCTCACCTATGATATTTGTAGTTCCTTAACTGGCTAAACAACTTCCCACAATCCTCACATTTATAAGGCTTCTTCTTCTTAGTCATGTGTTCTCTTCTTTCATCATTACTAGATTCGTTACTACTTAAATTATCGTTAGAAACCATATCGTTAGAATTGGAAGACAGATCCAACTCAGTTTGATCATCAAGATTTCTTGATACAGTTGCTGAAGTTTCGGTGTTCATAGAATCTTCATTTGATCTCTGCTCCAAAAATTTAACAGCTGTAGATATCTCTTTATGACTTTTAATTGAATTTTCAACGTTATTATTATCGTTATCAGTTGTCGTTTCAATGAACCTTCTCAAAAACGAAAATTTAGGCACTTGTTTCAACTTACTGCTTGATATATCTTTAGAATTCACTAGATCAACTTTTTGCGTTGATGTATTTTTATCTGAGTCGCTTCCAGTAGTATCAATGATGTTTTTCGGTTCAATTATTGTATGCGTTGAGTTCAGTTTCACTACATTGTCGTCCTGAGTTGAGCAAGTATTATATTTTGATGATTCTGAGTTGTTTAAATAAAGATTCCTTATGATGGTGTCTAGTTTTTTCGAAGTTTGTTTCTGATCCACGTTCCTAAATGGTTCTGAGTTGTTATTTTTGTCTTCTTCGGGTTGTTTGTGGAGCAGTAAGTCGGTTTGGGTCTGAAACTGTAAAAAAAGGTTTAAATAAAGGTCTATAATAGATGTTTATCAGTGATTGGAAAAATGCCCATTACTAATGTAAAGGTATTTTTTACCATACAATGTAAAATAAACAATATTAACAGTAATTAAGAGTTTTATGATCGTGACAGTTGTACTTTTCGCTGTTCTCGGGTATGTCAGGTATTCCTATAAAATTATCGACATATTTAAACAAGCGCACAAGCTCATGAAGATCAAACAATATCGTTCGCTCACTAATAACATTTACAAACATCGAAAGTCGCGTCGATGTTTGTTCAAATGCTAATTGGCATCTGTCTTTAACACAACAAAAGGTCTTAAAAGAATTAATCGAACAACTAAGAAATAGGTCCTTATGCGGTAAAAATTTCCAAAATTGTTCTTACGAATTCGTAACAAGTCTTCAGAATAAAAACGCTTGCTTTAATGTAGGTGTAGTCATAATGCTGACGACTGATGGAGGGAGTCGTATTTGAATTACCCTGTATAAAGGTATTTGGAAATATCATATGATAGATTTAAATGATTTATTCTCTCACACTGACACTAATTTTATAATAGTAACATCAACGGTCACTCTGTTATTTACAATATCTCATAAAATTTACTAATAAAATTTATACTATTAGATATAATGCCTGTACCAGAATCTTTCAGAAAATTATAGATATTCTCTCTTAAGTAATTATTTAGTGCTTTTAAGACCTCACCTTAATTCATTAATTGTTATTTTCTAATAAATATACTTTAATTTGACAACATATTAATAAACCTGATGTATAATAATAGTGCTTCCATATAATAAAACTGAATTTTATTGGATTCACTACTTTCTATGCCAGCATTAACTATGATTTGCCATAAAACCATGAAAATATGGCGGACATTGAAGAATATTATTACTTAAATCAGAGTCTGTCTGCTATTACGTATATAGTTCGAGTATAGGTGTATAAACATAACAAAGTACATAAACATAAATAATAAGGAACATCAAACAGAGAGTATTTAGGTAAATTTTCTTAATATTAACATATCGAGTCGTATCGTCAATATATTTACTTGATGGGAGTATGGACATGATTAACAGTCAACAAAAAATCATGCCAATTTCCTAATATCATATGGTTCTTTGTTATTTCCAGCATATTTCGTTCATTTTGAGTAAAATTAAAAAAACTTTTTTTTGCCGATCGGACCTTTTTAAAAAAATTAATTTTATTTTTCAGAAACTATTAGAGACAGAGTTTACCAAAAATGCTTTTTATAAATACTAGCTGGTAAATGAATTTGTAGATATATTACGAATTTTCTTGGAACTTTAGTTTCGGAGATATACATATAATCGTACATTTTTAAAAAAATTAATTTTATTTTTCAGAAACTATTAGAGACAGAGTTTACCAAAAATGCTTTTTATATCTACTAGTGGGTAAATGAATTTCTAGATATATTACGAATTTTTTGGGAACTTTAGTTTCGGAGATATTCATTTAATCGGACTTTTTTAAAAAAATTAATTTTATTTTTCAGAAACTATTTGAGACAGAGTTTACCAAAAATGCTTTTTATATCTACTAGTGGGTAAATGAATTTCTAGATATATTCCGACTTTTCTTGGAACTTTAATTTCGGAGATATTAATTTAATCGGACCTTTTTAAGAAAATTAATTTTATTTTTCAGAAACTATTTGAGACAGAGTTTACCAAAAATGCTTTTTATATCTACTACTGGGTAAATGAATTTGTAGATATATTCCTACTTTTCTTGGAACTTTAGTTTCGGAGATATAAATTTAATCGGACCTTTTTAAAAAAATTAATTTTATTTTTCAGAAACTATTTGAGACAGAGTTTACCAAAAATGCTTTTTATATCTACTAGTGGGTAAATGAATTTGTAGATATATTACGACATTTCTTGGAACTTTAGTTTCGGAGATATAAATTTAATCGGACCTTTTTAAAAAAATTAATTTTATTTTTCAGAAACTATTTGAGACAGAGTTTACCAAAAATGCTTTTTATATCTACTAGTGGGTAAATGAATTTGTAGATATATTACGACATTTCTTGGAACTTTAGTTTCGGAGATATTAATTTAATCGGACCTTTTAAAAAAAATAATTTTATTTTTCAGAAACTATTTGAGACAGAGTTTACCAAAAATGCTTTTTATATCTACTAGTGGGTAAATGAATTTGTAGAAATATTACGAATTTTTTGGAACTTTAGTTTCGGAGATATTAATTTAATCGGACATTTTTAAAAAAATTAATTTTATTTTTCAGAAACTATTTGAGACAGAGTTTACCAAAAATGCTTTTTATATCTACTAGTGGGTAAATGAGATATAAATTTAATAGCCTACCATACCTGTTGGTATAGTCGGCTAAAAATGGTTGAATAAGCTGAAATTGATGATGATGATAATAATATTATTCTACCAAACTACCAACGAGTTTGTTGTACATCACTTTAGTTTTTCCTAAATTCATTTTGAGACCTAGGTACTTTATCGTTGGCTATTTGCGCTTTAAGTTCTTCAGGAGTATGTCATCGGCGAATCTTAGGTGGTCTCCATCTATTTCCAATCCTTTGTTCATCCGGAAAGGAGATTTTATAGTAATTATTAATTTATATAAAGTAGCTGTCAGAGATTGTTATTTATTTTTTATTTGATTACCTAGAGTATTGAATACTTAAATTATGAGGTTGTGGTTGTGAATAAAAGCTGTAATACGATTGGACAACGTTATTATCTCGAACTGGTCATCAAACGTTTTTAAAATTAATATTTTATCCAGCACGCGCCTTCATATGAGCACATCTATCATTACTGTCATGCAAAGATTCGTAATTTGCAAGTGTAATTACCATATACTAACTACATGCAATTATTCGCGATAACATATTAAGGCGACAGTTCCGTAATATTGTCGTAAAATTATTTCTGGGCTACCTAAGAAAACCATTTAATAATAGGAGAGTAGTACTTGTCAGGCTAACATGGCCATCGATTATCAAGTACCTACTTTATCATATCTTTTATAACAGGTACTTCGAAACTATCATAATAATGAATAAAAATATTAATTAAAAAAAACTCTTTAAAGAATTTTATTTTATTTTTTCAGATAAAACAACGAGATTTGGTATGTTAGTATATGACATGAATTAGGATGATTATGAGCCACTTTTGAGACGCACCCGGTATATATCTTTAAGGCAACCAAATAAACTAGTAATCTCTAAAAAATATTTTTCCTACCACTAGCGACATACCGTGTTCTTAGTTAATACTAAATTATTTTGTCAAAATTTCACCATATTAGTTTCCAGGCAATGGTCAAAGTCGAATCACTTAAAAGTCAGTGCTATTAAAGGAATTACTGCATACTTTGATATTACCGCTCTTGCTTACCTCTTTATCTGGAGCCTCAAGATACACCATCCTAGGATCCCCCAAAAAACTACCTTCACCTCTTGGCCTCCAAGGACTCGGTACCACAGCATTACACAACTTCCTGTTCACAGTTTTCTTAAAAACCTTACTTCCAATCGGTAGAAGATCGGGCACTTTCCTCTCACTCTTTGACACCACCGAAAACACACTGTTTGCACTCTTCAAATCAAACTTATTCTCTACTTTGTTCACATGATCACCCAGACACTCAGTTTTATCCACACCAAACAAAGTTCTACCGGAAGATTTTTCGTCCAGGTCTATTTTCTTCACGTCGGGTATTTTTGGTAGATGATGTAGGTCGTTTATGAAATCACAGGTGAGGTCTACGTAGATTTGGAGGAATTTGGCTACGGAGAGGAATTCTTGGACTGAGCTGGTGTAGAGCATGGCTTTGCCAGTGTAGATGTAGTCTAGAATCGAGGACATCACGTTGGCGCTGATGTCAGGTAGGATGACGACTGAAGGGCAATCAGGAACTTGTTTTAGAAGTTTCTGAAAAAGAAAAATAACTTCAAAATTCTCATATTTGTATGAAAAAATATCTTTTTTTTATTTTGCCAGTGACAAGGGTTTTCAATTCGTTACTTTTTGATTATACGTGGAGTTATACCTAAAATAAATCGTTTTTAGGTTATTTAAAATTTGGTTTCTAAGATTTTAACTAGAAGCTTATGACTTTGAACGTCAATCTGACGTTCATCTAAAGTTTTCTCATAGAAGGAAATAAATTATCTGATTTTTTGACACTCAATGTCAAAGAAAGCTGGACAAAATCAAGAAAAACAAGAAAAATAACTTAAAAACGATTTATTTTAGATATAAGAACATGTATAATCAAAAAGTAACCAATTTTTTCGCTGGTGAAATAAAAAAAGGTAGGTTTCTATTTGAAAAAAAAACCGCCATATTGAAAATATTTTTAATAAATAGATCTCGTTGTGAAACAATGATGTGCAAAAAAATTTCCGATCTAGATTTTGTAGTTCTATAGAAACTTCTAATGCACGCTCAGTCTGGGACACCCGGTATATGAATATTTATTTTACATAAAATTCAACTTTTTTAGACAATAAATTAGCTAAACTGTCATTTTACTGTCAGGTTCAATTCAAGCTTGTCATCCTTTCTAGAAGGGAGAAATATAAAATCCCTATAATCTTCAGTGTTAATGATGTTAATAAGGCAATTTTAGCAGTTGTTTTTTTTGGAAATATAACCAGTTTTTAATAACAGACTGACACCTGTAGCAATTTGTGCCTGTAGTATATAGCCTTCTCCTATATTTATATTAAATATATATTCTCCGGTAAACCTAACAGTTTTTTTCGAAATTCTTACATGTCTAATGATGGCGAATAATTAGTGTATGTTATAAATTTAGGTTTAGCTAATTATTGAACGTTATAGACATCGTTCTGCATTCGAATGGGTTTTATGTATAATAAGGATATTTTGTTACCTCATTAAAATCTTTAGGTAGCTAATTGGAATAGTTTTTCTACATTTATCGATTTTATGCTTCCAATTAGGATGTATTAATATTCTGTAAGAAAATCAGATCTTTGTAATTTGTTCTTTTTAATTGCACATCACTCATATAATAGGATCCGGCAATAGTGCGTCGGGCATATGTAGCTCCGATAATAAAAAACTTAGGAATTTTGTTTAAGTACGCAGACCTAAAGTATGTATTAGGATGCATTTCAGGAAAATATTTTAACTTCTACAGGGTGGCTCAAAAAAGTGTGAGTGGATCGGGATGATTTTTTTTTTAAATGGAACACCCTGTATATTATGGCATTTTTGGCTTCTTTTCAGATCGCTTTACATAATCCTAAGATATGAATAATTATGTTTCGATAGTTAAAGAGATATTAATAAATAAATAAAAAAATTATATTTTTCAAATACAACACCCTGTATTTTTAAAAAAATACATAGCATATTGCATTTGAAATAACGAAGTTTTTATGTAAAATAAATATTTAAAATAGACCAGCAATTTTTGATACCCCTGTATACATTTAAGAAAACAATAATTTTTTTTAGTAAAGTTTATTTCTCTGGCTTCAAAGTCAGCACAAGAATTAACTCTGAAAAGTAATGTACAGGGTGTTCACAAACATTTTTATTATAGCATGCATATTTATAAATATCTTTAAATATCTCAAAAACCAAAGCATTTAAACATATTAAACCCTTACAATATATGCCTTATTTTATGCCCAAGAATCCAAAAATGAAATAAAATACCGGGTGTTCCATAAGAAAAAACATATGGATCTTAGTTTTGACTTTGGTATGGATCTTAGTTTTGACACACCCTGTACATTTGAAAATAATATATAGATAATATATTTTGTTTCTAAATGTTTCCGTTTTCGTATAATCAACCGAGGCGAATGAGGTGCGCCACCCTGTATATAAAAAAATAAAAAAATAACGAACTACAATAAACAATGATAATTACCTATTACTCTTATTCCCGACTAGCACTAATTAATGAAGTTATTATTTATCTTTTAAAGAAAACGGCTATAGACTTCAACAGAACCACTGTAGTGCATCAAAGCCGGTAGATGCAGATGCGGGCACTGTCTTTATCAGATGGTACTGCTAGTTAACGCCAACAATAATAACCAGAAAGATTTATCAGGATTTAACGATGTAGCTCATCTTATCGAAGGCAGAGTTGTTGTATTTTCGAAGCTTGTTTTAAATCACTCTGTATTTTAATGCTTCTGCTTGTAATCTAAGGAGTTATTGATTAACACGTTGTAAATAACCAGGCATTCGTTTTGTGTTAAGTTGGTTCATTAAGTGTGTATTATTTTCCGTTGAATTTCTATTTTACAGGGTGATTCAAAAAACATGTGTCATCTCACGTGGGGAGATTCCTAATGTAAAAATAAGATTTATTTTTCATATCAACATCAACATAGGTCCGATTCTGCTTCGTTTCGTAGCTACATGGAGTTAAGTCTTAATTTTTTTCGATTTATTATATTCTTCTTCCAAATGCTTTCTGCGATTCGAATGAAATTTTGACGGTAAAAATTACCATAAATGGCCTTACTTATTTCTCTCTATAATATACTGTTAAAGAAAAATCAAATTTAAGTTCTTGTTTGTTAATATTTCGGCTCAACTTTCGTTTAGCTGAAATCAGTCATCTAAGACATATTTGTTATTATTAATATTTGTAAGTCCTTGCGCATAGAATGCCACAGAAAATATTTCTGCGAAATAATGCATCCTTCTTGAGTTTTTCAGCTTTAGAATAGCTGAAATCAGGACTACTTTCGTTTAGCTGAAATCAGTCATTCAAGAAATATTTGTTTATTTAGTATTTGGAAGCCTTTTTGAATAGTAGTTAAAACAAGTTTCATAAAAACACGTTGATTGATTGCTTTGATTTGTTGGTTTGCTGGTTTGTTTTTGTTCATTTTTGTGTTTTCTCAGTACGGTATTGATGTCTAAATTACAGTATCTACTAGGTTAAGTTCATACCTACACAAAAGTGTTTAGAATGTAAAGCAGGAACATGTTTTCACGTAACTGATTTCGGTTATTCTAAAGTAGCAAAAGAGAGAATGTTGCATTTCCGCAGAGACATTTTTTATGATTTTGTGTTTGGGGGGCTTATATATACTGGATGTTTTGTTTTTCTTTTAATAAGTGATTCCAGCTGAAAAAAAGTTCACTCAATATTTCTAAATAGAACCCTTTTATATCGTATAACCGTCGGATTCACACCTAACGTGAAACTATATTCAGTATAATTTCCAAAATAAAGAGAAGGTATTTTTTTATTTAGTTCAAAAATACCTTTATCTTTTTAATTGCTCGCCTGAATCTCAACGGCAGTATATGCACCCAACTGTCTTCAGTGAAAGTATTTAAAATTCGAAAGGTACGCTTCGTAATTCGAATATTTTTTTACAGGTACAATAAATACTTCCACTGTTTAAGAACGATCAGATTTTCGATTATTGCAGTGCCATTTCTGGTACAAAACGATATACATATATTTACGTTTAAATCTGCAGGCCCAAAGATGAAACGGCAAAATACTTTCAAGTTCAGTTAACGGTACAACAGCAAATTAAAAAAAAAGTTAATGGTGGCAAAATCGATTATTTACGCGACTCCGATGTTGCGTCTCTTGTTTTTTCTGCTCGTCGAAGACAGAATTATTGGTTTCATCAATAATTGTAACAGTCAAATTTTCTCGCTACGACCTCTTTGTGCTAGCTCATAAATTATCGCAAATAACTATTATTTTTGCATCATGTTTACTATAATTTTATTGTTAAATATTATTTTATTTAAATTTTACGATTATGCAACCCAATATACACCGCGATATTATACAGCTACAGCTACACAATATCGTCACTGGATGCGGCCACCAGAGTAGGCTTTTTGTCGAGCTCTCTTTATCTTTCATTATCACCTGTTCCTCACTTGTCACTGTCAGATCAAATCAGAAATCCGATGTTTTTGGATTTATTTATCCTTTGTTTTGGTTATTGAAATTTTATAATTACCAGATAAAATGTCGTAGTTAAATTGTTTATTTTTGATGTGGATCGTAGTGTGCAATTCGTTCATTTAATTGTGGGAATTCCTGAGTTAAGTTCGTTCATTGACCGGATACGGAATATGGCAGTGGAAAATATTCTAGAACATCGTTTTTTATTTGTGCCTTTTTGTGAGTTGGACTAAAGTAGATATATATTTCTCTATCTATATCTTGGAGGGAGATTTCCGGTTGAAATCTGATTTAGTGAAGGAAATCCAATCCTTGCATTACTTCCCGACTCGAGGATATCATCGTGAAGAACTGGCTGCCGTTTCGTGAAGCATTCCCTGTTGGTGATTAGCATGTCTTCTTAATGATGGATTAAGTCTTCCGGAACACATTTGGTCAGAGACATGGTTGGATTTTGTTGATTTTGTATGGACCACAGACCAATTTCCGTAATGGGATTAAAATAGCTTTTTTCCGACCGATATTCCGATTCCACGTGCCGAAGAAGTCCCCGAATAGAGTTCCAAGGTATGCTATAATTCTTCTGCCTATTCTAAGTCAATGCTTAACTGATTTTTGTTCATATTGTTGTCTGGTTTTCGAATTTTCCACGCCCACGTGGTGTAGAAAGAATAGTTGAGTGTTACCTTTCTTAAATCTTATTTGGTTGTTCGTAATAGTAGAGCAAGAAGACCGATTCAGACCGTGAAGCACAGAACAGTCCAGAATTCCATCCGTTCCTGTTATCCATGTAGAGGTACCCGTTGGACATCATCAACCCTCGTTGAGGTAAAGTTCAGATTTGATTAATCCTTCTTTATTAACTTTATTGGCATCTACACGATATGCTAGTCCTTGTTCTATGATTGAGGCTCTCTTCTAAGACAACCAATATTATTTAGGGTTTTTGTGTTCACCTTTTTAAGTCCTACACCTGCCTGTACATTTGCTGACGGGCTCCAGTGACATTGCATCGAGCTGCTGTACACCGTCGTAGCCACCCTGTAGCTATGCACTATAGCTAAGCCAGAGGAAGTTTCAGTAGTTTGCAAGTACTTGTCAAGACATAGAACCAAGAAATTTGTAAATTTACATATCACATAATATTTGTATTTATATGCTAAATACTCGTTTCCCAAAACCACAAATTTCTTGTAATATTTTTTTGTTTATCTGCGATTTCAGCGAATTATTCTAAATGGGGAGATAATTTTGCAATTAAATAGAATTTGACGCCATTAAGAAAAAAGGAATGCATTAAGACTTCATTAAAATTTAATAACCAGTAATTTCAAATGCAAATCAAATATTACACTATAAATAACACTTTAAATTCTTGAATTAATTCTTAAATTAGATTTATTGAGACACTTTTTTGCTGAAAATTGTCATTATTTAGGTTACTAAGAGATTTGACTATACTTTCTAAAAATGGAGAATCATTTTATAATATATATTATAAATATATAGTTTTTAGTTTGATTTTTAAATCTATATAAAGATAAATTACCTTTATCTAACCAAAGTTTCAATTTCTGTATTAAATTATATAGTTCATACACGTGTATCTTTTATAAAATCTTTTTTTTTCTTTGATTTCATTATTTAGCTGTGAATTTGACGTTGATTTCATCAGATATCTTGATGGTTCTGTGTTAAATCTTGTAAAAGTGGTCTCCATCTGACACCCATGATGGATGGAAAACATTAACGGAAGTCTGGTTATAAAATTTGAAGTATTACGATTTTTTTTATTGTATACCGGATGATCAATGTCCAGAAAAAGCTCCACATTACATTTCCCTCTTAGTCAAATAATATAAATAAATTAAACAAAGTCGGGTTCACGTTCAAAATTAGCATTTTAAACAAACATATACAGGGTGCGCCTCTCACACGCCGCGGTAGTTTATATCAAAATGAAATTTTGGCAGTATATGTAGGTTAACTGAAAGCATTTTATAAAAATACATAGAATTATACAGGGTATCCCCAAAACAAGTTACATATCGAAGTTGTGTTTTTTGTAATGGAACACCCTATATATTAATTGATTCTCGGATTCTGGGAGAAAAATAAAGATGAGGTTTATAAGAGTTTAATAAGTACATGACTAAAATGTAAGGTTTTTGACATTTTTAACATTTTTAACAATTTTTAAATTACAATAAAAGCTACCTAAATTGGAATTTACCCGGTATAGCCTAATAACTAGTTAAATTAACTATTGTACTTTATATCAAATTAAAACCTGATCCAAAATTTATACAGGGTGAGACAAAATTAATATTGAACATTGGTCACCTTTAAAAGCATGTTACTCTTTTGTTTCGGAACGCCCAGTATATTATTGCAATATTCAATGGATAATTCAAGTTTCTTCACAATACTATTAAGGTTGCCTACCCCTCAAACAAAGATTTTCCTAGATATTTTCATTTACATGATTTGATCTGAGTAGATCTTTATTATTTGATAAAATCTAGTTCTGATGTTACTTCAACATAGCTGTCTAATTAGTCCAACTTTAACAACTAGTTATCATTTTGTGTAAGATAAAACAAAAAAAAATTCTCAAAAATTTGCCGAAAATGCAATCTTATCCTACATCAGAAAGAATTGATATGATTCTATTATTTGGTCAATGCAGTGTGCATTAACCAATTAATAGAATACTTAAATGCTCCTAATTTTATCTAGTCTGGGTGTTTTTTATGAGGATATGTTAAAGACAGTGTTTACAAAACTCGATCAACTATTGTCGACAACACAAGTCATTCAGTTCTACAATTAAATTGTTGTAAATTGACAAAAAATAATATGGATATATTACAGCATCTTTAATCTAATATGTTTGCATAATTGTAGAAAATAATGTAATTTTACAAAATTGTCTAGATACATTTAATGATTATAGCCAAAGGATACAATTGTCACAATAAGGCTTGCGTGTTTTACAAATAAAATTTAAACCGTAAATACAGATTTGTATTAGAATTACATGTTTTGACAGCCAACTGACACGTAAAACGTTATATGAAGACAAGGCCTAACATAACATGAAACATATTCACATAAAGAGAGAAATTATTGTAGTTACATGCCGAATATATTGCTCTTTCTTATGTAGCAGTATGATTGGCTAACTCCTGTGCAATTCTGCAATTAAATTTAATTGCTTTGGTTTTCTTAATCGCGAAATTAGATGACGATAGACATGAACAAACGTTGCATGTAATATATTTTAATTGTTGTTAATTCATATGGACGTCTCTTATGAAATTGGAAACAAAAAAAATAGTTAAACTCAAAGATTGTGAGTGAAAACGATTTTTTTTTTCGTTAATGGTAAATACATTTTAGTGGAGTATAATTAAAAGGCGATTTCATGCAGAGTAATGCTTGTCTATAAAACATAAATAAAGAAACATCGCTAAAACTTTATCATCGATTGTCATTCCCAGCCGTCTTTGACGCCGTTTTTTGATAGTATGGTATATTTATAAATATATTTCACATGAATTTCAAAATCAATATATCTATCTAAATTTTTCATTTAAATATGATAATTAACTTAAGTATTTAACTACATACATATTTCCTTCTAAAAAATAATTTAACTCACACAGAATATGAAAAAATATGATAAACAGCGTAATAATAAATAATAATTAAGTTACTTCACACGTTCATCATTCAACATTATAATTTCTTTAATTTCTTGTCAGTAAAACCGTTTAAAATATTTTATATCCCGTTTTTATTTATCAACATATCATAAATTATTATTTACAAGCATCTTTAACAAATTTAATTAAAGACTCGAAAAAAGTAATATTCTATAATTATGGTTTTTATTAAACACTAATTGGAGGAAATCTGATATTTCTATAAAAACATGTTAATATTATAATTATTGCACAAGAAGAGGTAAATAAAACGAGTCCTTATATTAATTACTAAAATTAAAATTGACAGAAGAAATTGATACTGATAAATAAATTATATAGATACCTTAAAAACTGGACTGGCTATGGAAAGGATCAGTTTGTGAGCCAATAATCTGTGGCCTTTGCAGCTGAGGATGACGTCACAAGTTGATTCTGTCACTTGAAGCCTGAGGGTTCCTTCTCTGATTACTTTGTCCATTATATTCTGTCCCTGAAATATAGAAATAACACGATAATTAAAAATGTCAAAATTATGGGGATAGATGTGACAGAATAATAACAAAAAATCAATTGTGTTGCATCCTCAGACTTACTTCAATGCAACATAATACTAATTAAAATGTTTTGTCCTTAATGGAACTGTTTAGATTGGCTAAAAAGGGCCCTATCGCGATATCTGAGAGATTTTATGGGTTAAAATGCAGTGGCGTCAGGTGCAGTAGGTGAAGGGGCACTTCACCGAAAAAAATACTCAAATTAAAGAAAAAACTTTGCTGCTTAAAATATTAATTTAGTTTAATATATTTACATGTATCTAAATAATAATTTTTTTTCCGGGCGGACCTGTGCATAATAGGTCCACCGCATTGTTAATTCCGGCCGAAAAAGTAGCATTATTGGCCCGCACGCGCCTATGTTTCCACGACGCCAGAAGTAAAGTGAAAATATTTGTGAGCCAAGCGGCTGCGGCTGCACGGTTTCCACGGTAACGTGACGTCAGCCTAGCGGCAGCATGTAAATTCCCCGCCCCGAAATGTTTTATCGGCGACCGATGTGAATGAGTTTTTGGGCAGTTCGCTTCGTCTTCCTTTATGCTAATATTCGGCTACCTCGGCGAGTAATTAACCGTGTAAAGACTGTAAAGTTGTTGTTGATTATTTATTGCTGTTTGTTAATGGTTTTTGTTGATAAAGAATCTAGTGGGCTGCTGTAATTTTTTTAGGAAAAAATCTAGTCGGCCGCTGTTACTTTTTAGGATGTTCCTAATATTATATTATTTGACATTACTCTACTTCAATACGTTATTATCTAGATGATTATTATTATCGTTATTATCACTAGATTCTCAATCTAAAAATGTTTTTTGTCCTGACATGTAATGCTTTACATTTTATTTTTTAATTTCAAATCGGTGAGTTTTATCAAAAAAACACAAGAGATAAAAAAGTTTCTAAACAAACTAAACTATCCAAATTAATTTTTTTGTATGTGTTTGATAAGATTTTTCTTTAAATTTCGTTAACAAGAATGATAGGGGTAGTTTATTTCAACCCCTTCCACTCATTTTAAAAAAGTGAAAAAATTACCAGAAAGTGTGTTTTCATAACAGTAATGCTTCCATAAAATTTTATTAGTCTATCTCTTTTCGTTTTCAAGATAAAAAATAAAAACATTATTTTTCCGCCATCTTTGTACCGCGATATCTCCCTAATGGTTGACTTTTGACCCAACGTTTATGAAGCAAACTACCCTTTATTTTGAACAAGGAATCACCCCCTGAAGTATTTCGCATTTGTTTTGAAACACCCTGTATATGCCTCATTATTAATTAAGCAAATAACAGTATTTTTTACAATAGATAATTAATAATAAAAAATGTCGTAAATAAACAATGTTTTTGCAATCATATTTCAAATTACATCGTTAGCTTTAATATGCTTCGCGGACAAAACTTATTGCAGTGGCGCACGGTGGGGTATTAGCATGAAAAGGGTGATCGAAATTCGAAAAAGCAAATGTGGTTAAGATTTCCCAAAAAAAGATAAATGATAAGTTAAATCATCTCTGCCATGAATGTCGTTGCTATGGGTGTGTTTAGTTGCATTCATTTGTTTCAACGAAACGTCAAAGTTGTTACTTCTCACCATAGATAAAAGATTTATACTATTAAATAGATAGGCAACTTATAATACATTTCAATTTTATTATACAAGAGCGCCTCTGGTAGTCGGAGGAAGAAATACTAATGGAAGAGAGGGGCGCGGGGAAGGGGGGTTGTTTTAGTTAATTTAAAATAAATTTAAACATACATGTTATGTACAAAGAACACTTTGTCTGCTTTTAATTAGGTCGAACATATTATAAACGATAAATCAACTTAATTAAAAGCATACAAAGTGTTCTCATATGTCGGATATTAATTAAAAAATATATTAAAAAGACTAGAAATAGTATATATTAAGTTGTTACAGTTATAATTTAATCTTTGGCGGTTTTCAGCAAATAGCAGGCAGTTTTACATAATTTTCCTCCCTTTGAAGTGAATTGGAAACGGCTATATAATTTGATTCCCAGTTTGTTTCCGTTTGAGACCTGAAATAATAAAAACAAATTAAATTAGATTTAATCATCTGCTGATCATGCTAATATAACGCAACGCGCATCCTTAATTCCTTACATGCACCGTAAAAAAATTAAATAACTGCGCAGCAATTAGCATTTATTAGCAGTACTAATTTAAAAAATCTATAACTGTAAGTAGATATATTTAATTTACTTACCATTGTATCCTTCGGAAACCAGGTGTACAACAATTAAACTCCATGATAAAAAATAATTAAGAGTCTATACAAAACACAAATTGTCCCACCATTTTTAAAAAACATTGTCTAAAACAGAATACTGGCAAAACCTCTGAAGGAATTTAATTTTACAATAATTCGACAAATCAAAACGAAATCAAACCGTAAAATCACAACAAAAGCGTCTCTGAGTGACAGTTAAAAATCAAATTTTATTATTGTGAGATATTGACATTTGCATTGTTAATATTGACAGTTTTGATATTTTGCGCCTCTGCATCTTGGAGGAAAAACTATTTTTAATGAACCGTCATTTCCATTTAAGTTTCCCAGCCATGCTTCTCACAGATAAGAGGTAGATGGCTAAATTTTATGTTTAAAATTATAAATTGTTGTTGTTCTTGTGCTTTTTTTACGTTTATATTATTGTTTTGATGGAAAATGGCTCAGCTAGCTGCAGGTATGTATTCTACAAAAACGTATTATTTATTTTGATATTCTCTATACTAACGATTTTTTTTTGCAACTAAAAGTTAGGCGTTCAGAAAATTTGATTAAATTTGTGACATTTTTATTATTACTTTGAGATTTAGTTGCGCATTTCGAAGAATTCAGCATATTGTCTATATACGTTTTACTTAGTAAACATTGGGCTTTCATACAGTAAAATAAAATACTGCGACTTTTTGCGACTTTGCTGATAAAATGAGAAAAACATTCTTGGTTTCCTCTAATTTGCCAATCAGTGATATACTAATGCGAGGTGTAAACCGCGATGGGGCATTGTTGTGTACAAAGCGATCGCATTAGTGCCATTAGCAGTATAGCACAATTTGGCATTAGTAGCGACTTTAGCGGTATGGGCATGGGTATGGGTATGGCGTATGGCGGATCAGTCGTAGCAGTAGTTGCGATATTACTACTGGCATTAGTGGCATTGACCGTGGAAACACTGGAACAGTGATTTTTCTTTCTTTTTTTAGAATCGACGAATTATCCTTTATTTTGTTCATATTATTTCCTCTTTAATTGAAAATAGCAATAATTTATATAAAGTCTACATAAAAAAAATTCGATCAACTATCTGTGTCAAATACCCCACCGTGTGGCGGGTCGTGGTCAGTTTCAAAGGTGAAGCAAAACAATAAGATGCGGTATTGTCGTCGTTTTTTCTAGAGGTTATTCGCCATTTTCCACCTTTCTCTTGCTTCTAGCACGCGAAAAGTCAACAATTCCGGTGCTCCATTATCTAAATTAACTACCCAATTAAAGTTAAATTCCCCAAGACCATGCGTATAGCACGAAAAATTCAATGAGGCGGAGACACAGATAACATGGAATATATTACCTGTGGCAGAAAATTACCCGTTCTGCCTGACTAGAACCTCTGCTTGAAAATTCTCGAGAAATTTGTCTTTAATCGAGAATGGAAGTAAAAATTCAGCGCCTTGAGAAATCATTTCAGTGCTTTAGGTAACATTGTCACTAAAATAGAAAGAAAATTAAAGATTTTCCATGGTTTCAGTAAGAAAAATTAACAGCATCTTGTTAAAAACGGAGTTATTAACAAGACACTGGTCTGCTTAATGAACAACTCAGTAGATTGATGTTAAGACACAACGGCGAATGCAGATTCTTTGGGGAAAATGGGGAAACACCAGAACACCTGATCAATTAGTGCATCGAGACGACCATTCGTGCTATAAACTTTAGTAAGACTGATCTGAGATATGAAGAACCAACCTCTGTAAAACCGTCTCAGCTACTGGCTTTTGTCTGAGACTGTATAATGAGTTATAACTTGAATTGAAAAAATGCAGTCACTGCAGAACTGAATCGGTGTATATTTATTAAACAAATTTGGCAGTTTGGCAGTTTGTAAATATGTATTTGTATTAAGTAGGTTACTACTATATTAGTTAACATAAAGAATGTAAAATTTTTGTATGACTTGAGAAATAAAGATTATTATTATTATTATGACTCAAGAAAGGAAGACACAATAAATCGATAAGGTTGCGGTGATTAACTTACCTTCTACCATATTCATTTCGCTCACAACGCCCTCTAAATTTTTAGTTTATTGTCTAAAAAAAATAAGAGACCATTGTAAACCCTTAATATTCACAATAAACCTTGCCCCAAAGACGATCAATTTCCCATTTAAATTACATGGGAATTTGCTACTTTTTGCAAATATGTTTTTCTCTTGATCTTGCAGCCATAACAATTACATATTCTTTGGGGGGGCAAGGTTTATTGTGAATATTAAGGATTTACAATGGTCTGTTATTTTTTAGACAATAAACTAAAAATTTAGAGGGCGTTGTGAGAGAAATGATGAACTTTGTAAATGTAACCACCCTAATATTCATTTTGCAATATCCCATTCTGCCAAATAGGTGCTACGGAATTTTAAGTGACATTTTGCTTTGCCTGCTGTACCCGGCGAGCCGCTACTGACCTATTGCACCGATGGCAAAACTGCACTTTAATGACGTATATTATGAGAACACCGAAGTCGCGTAGCATTGTTAAGTAAAACACCATAAAAAGCTAGTGCGTTAATTAAGAATAATGTGCATGAAATGAACAATAAATATAAAAAAAAGCTCCATAAGAAATTTAATGAACATTTTATGTGATGTGTCTTCTTTGAAGCACAAATTGGAAAGACGATGCTTTAGAGCTTGTGTCTGATTTCTAAAGGCAAAACTTAAGAAAACAAAACTTAAGAAAGCATAAGTAATGGTGTATTGAAATAAAAATTTAATAAAATACAAGAAAAATATACCAAGCTATGGAAAAATTACAATTTGTACATCATGAGCAATACGTTGATACACCAAAAATACCAATCATATTCAAATCTAGAATGCTACTTTATCTAAAAAAGAAAACATTCGACTAATGTGTACTACCTATGATTTATGCATGCGAAACCTGGACATTATAAGGAAACTGCAGGTCGCACAACGCTCAATGGGACGAAATATGCTGGATCTAACCAAGAAAGACCGTAAAAGAATAGAATTGATACGATAAAAGACCCAGGTAATAGGTGTCATCCACAGAAGCCAATACTTCAAGTGGCAATGGGTAGGACACCTGGCAAGAAAGATGGACAACAGATGGACCACAAAAATTACAGCATGGTATCCACAAGGAATTAAGAGACTTAGAAGAAGACCCAACCTGGGTCTGATGTACATGGTACCATGATATTAAGTAATTAGCAGGGATAGCTTGGGCCCGCAGAGCCAACAATAAACAACAACCAATTGCCCAATAAGTACAAAGAGAGTATCGAAATATGTGAGGAAGACTATACCATAATTGAAAATGGTTCAATAAGCTGAAAATGATGATGATGAAGATGA